GGACTGGAGGAATGGAGAGGGTGAGAACGGAGGTCGTAAATGGAGTAAGCGGTCAAGCGGTGGGCCTCGTGGCGCGTGGCAGCAGTACAAGGATCCAACGGCCAACGGTTGATGCGGATCTGGGGGGATTCCCGGGTCCAACGACAGTCTTGGGGGGGGAGAGGGGCATTTGGGGGGGGGGGGGAGGGAAGGTTGGCTGCCTTGGGGGAGATCGGAATGCCACCTCGCATGGTGCGGATCGTGCGGAATCCGTCATCCCTCTTTACTCACTCTCAATTCCACTCTCCGTCGAATCACATCCACACAATTCCACCCATCACCACTCACCCAAGTTAAGACGACGGCGGTCCGATAGCCCTGGTGGCTGGTACATGCTAGTCCTCATCCGTGGGCCGTCGCGCTCGCGCCATCGCCACAGGTGAGCGTGCGCTCTCCGGGCGGGCGGGGTCAATCAGCCGCCGTTGGCTCAACTGGTCATCTCGCCTGGATCAATTTCGTCTCCGTTAGTCATGCCCTGCACTAGCGAGCGGCACCTCCATCCATCTCCGTCCGGCCTCGCGGCCTGGCTATGGGAGGCACGTGCGCGTGCACGCGAGCGGCGGCGGCCGATGCACTCAGCGGCCTGAAGAGTGCATAGCAAGTCAGCCTTCCTCCACACAGTGTAAAGAGCTCATGTGAGCGCTGTCACCGCGAGTGACTGACTGGCTTGTCAGGCTGATTGTCGCCGTGTGTTATCCGCTCATGTTGCGGCTGGTCGATTGGATGGATTCAGTACCCGTGCTCACCATCGACTCTGGTCCGTACTCGATATATCGAGATACAAGAACGAAGAGATGAATCCACGAACGAGTCGGCATCTCTTCACATGCATCCACTCAAGACTAGCTGGCAAAACTGTGGAGCCGGGGGTGGAACGGAACGCCCAGGGCCTTCCGTCACCAACTCCATTCGCAGGCATACGGCAACAACAATGAAAGTCGTTCATAGATCGCTGTGTGACGATCTGAACCAGCATCCAGATTGTAACACGCGCACACGCAGCTACACGCTGAGACCGTGCAATCTGCTCACGGCCGCAGCGTGGATTGCACATGCACCTGACAGTCTGAATCTCACGCATACCCACGTGAGCACACTCAAACCTCCCACCGCCTGACTCCCGCGCAGGACCCGGCCCTCTTCCGCTCCATCAACGGCAGGAGTTGGCCGATGTCGGCTGAGATGCGCGGCTGGGCGCCTCAGTTTACCGCCAAGCGAGCCACCACCACCTGGTCCACCTGCGACCTGCGACTGGGCCTGAGAATGCCGACTCTTGCCTGAGTCAGCCCGCGGCCAGACCTAGGGTGCCGACTCCAATCGCGGACCTGCGGACCAGCGCCAGATACCAGCTGACCTCGGCACATCGGCACGGCCATCTCCTACGCCTCGACCTGACAAAATGACTCGAGGTCGGCAGACCAGCATGATATACTGACGAGACGTCACCGTCTCACACTGAACACCATGCGCTCAGCCTCCGGACGAGCAGCGCCAGCGCCAATACCAACATCGCCAAGAAGAGACACCTCGCATCTGGACACAGACAGCTTGCACACCATGAGCTCCGGGTCGTCCCTCGACCCCTTGGAGAAGGACAAGGAGATGGAGGACGATGTGGCGCCGCTGCCTACTCCGTCCCCGGCGCCGCCCCGCCGCCCACATAGCCTGCACTCGCTGAGACTTGCGCGATCTGCATCGTGTGCATCCCGTGCATCCCGCGCATCCCGTCTCAGCCGAACAAGTACGCGCATGAGCGGCTTACAGGCCACGCAGCTGGAGATGTCGCTGCGCGCGCAGACACGCGAAAGCGGCGTACTCACACATGCGGCGGGCGAGGGCGGGCGCGGCGTCGTGGAGAAGCACACAGTGCTAGACTTTGGGGAAGGGCCCGAGGAGGTGGTTATCATCGACTGGGCACCGGGGAATCCGGAGGTGAGTTTGAGTCGTGCGGGTCGGATGTGGCCGAGCGTCATGTGAGAGAATATTGCAGTCGGGTGTCAAGGTGGCGATGGATGGAGCAGTGGCTGAGGTGATCCGCAATCGTTATCCGTCAGCCACAGCGACGTTGGCACAGACCGCTGATCCCAGAACCCCTTCAACTGGTCCCCACTGCGCAAGTGGACGGCCATCGTCGTGCTGTATTACCTCGTGGCGCTCACCGCTATCAATGCCACAAGCGTCGGAGTCATGGCGCCGTGGGGCGTGCCATGGTTCAAGACAACGTATGTGGGCTACGCCCTCAGCGTGTTCATGTATCTATTCGGGATAGCAATCACGCCACTCGTGCTTGCGCCCATGAGCGAGCTGTTTGGACGCAATATCATCTACCAGGTGACGACGCTGCTGTGAGTCGGGCCGCAGGTAGGGTGTGGTGGCGCTCTTTATTGTGCAATCTGCCTATCTGCCTACCTGATTGCTATCCCATCCCTGGACCAGCTGGCGTCCTATCCATCCCTCCCGCTGATGCCAGTAACGCTGTCCTCTTCCTGCCGCAAGCCCTCACACACTCACACAGCGGCCTGCTCGCCGCCCGCTTCTTCCAGGGCATGGCGAGTTCCGTCGCCAACTCCATGGTGGGCGGCACAGTAGCAGACCTCTTCGAGGCGCGCGAGCGCGGCCTCGTGATGAACCTCCTCGCGATCGTAATCTTCGTCGCGCAGGCGCTCGGCGGCGTCGTCTTCGGCTGGGTCGGGCTGTACCTCGGCGTGCAGTGGTGCTATGGAATACAGGCAATTCTGGCTGGCGTCTCGGTGGCCCTCAATGCCGCGCTGCTGCGCGAGACGCGCGGCGACGTCCTTCTATCGCGCCGTGCGCAGAAGCTGACGCGCGAAACTGGCGTGCGGCACATGGCGGCCGCAGAGACACAGAAGAAGAGCCTTCGCCAGATGATCACTGTCTCTGCCATCCGCCCACTGCAGTACCTCCTCACGGAGCCGATCGTGACTGCCATCTCACTGTGGATCGGCTTCGCGTGGGGTGCCGTCTTCCTCGGCACATCTTCAGTCCTCCTCGTTTTCGGGCAGTACACGGACAACCCCGGCCTCGTCGGCGTGTCCGAAATCACCGTCGCTATCGGCGGGATCCTAGGCTTCATCTCAAACTACCACCAAGAGTATCTGTACCAGAAGGCCTGCGAGCGCAGCCCGACAGGCAAGGCAGCGCCCGAGGTACGCTTGTACTGGGCGACGACGGCGGGCCTCCTCTTTCCCCTCTGCATGTTCGTGTACGCATGGACGGGCCAGCCCCAGTTCCACTGGATGCTGCCCGCGACATTCCTCAGCCTCTCGTACTGGGGCATCTACGTCATGTACAGCAGCGTGTTCACGTATCTCGCGGACGCGTACGAGACGTACTCGAGCTCGGCGCAGGCCAGCCAGAGCTTCATGCGCAACCTCCTCTCGTCGACGTTCCCCCTCTTCGCCCGCGCCATGTACATGAACCTCGGGTATCCGATCGCGTCCACCGTCGTCGCGAGCTGCGCGCTCGCTCTCGCTGCATGTCCCACCCTCATCGTCATGTTTGGCGCGCAGCTGCGCGCGCGCTCAAAGGTTGCGAGCGCAATCGCCGCCAACAGCTAGACACACAACACCGTACGATATAGAGTTAAGACTAGATCCGCATAATTGCATGCACGTGTACAACAGCCCACACGAGCACGAGTGTTCTACAAGTCCTGTCGATCTGGCCGATCAGTCCGTGCCCCGTCCCGTACCGGGCAAGAACGCCCACACCGTGCCCATGCACATGAGAATGGTGCTGACTACGAGGATGACGAGGTGGAGCACCCGCAGAGCGCGCGCCTTGCCTTCCTCCTTGACGCCGAGCACGCTCGGTGCGAGGCGGAGGTAGAAGGCGATCTGGGGTCAGCGTGGGCGACGCTCTCAGCTCACCGGGAGGATGATGCAAATTAGAAAGGCCGAGAAGGATCTAGGAGTCAGCGCAAACTCTCGCATTCAGAGCACTCACCCAAGGAACGCCATGACCTTCTCAAAGCCCGGGAGGACGATTGCCACGACCGTGCCCGCAGCCGTGATGACAATGCGCATGACGGCGCGGGCGACGCCCTTGCCGCCTTCCGCCGTCGTCGCCTCGGAAGGCGGCACGATGCTCTTTCTGTGGTGGTGGTGGTCAGGGCGCTCGCACTCGTCGTCGACGTAGTCGCTCTCGCCGATGCGCGTGAGCGCCGAATTGACCGCGAAGGAAATACGGCGGTGGCGCCGGCCGCCCTCTGGCGGCTCGACGGTGAGGCGGGGAGGAGGAGCTTCGGGCTCAGCCTCGGGCGCGGCCGGCGCGATGCCCAGGAAGCTCTCGACGGCGACGTGCAGCGGCCGGCTGGTCAGACCATACTTCGTCAGAGGGACGAGGACGATCATCCACAGCGCGACTTGGTTGAGCGTCTCGGGGTACTTCATGATGGGGTTCATCATGTCCTTGGAGATCTCGTCGGACACGTTGTCGCCCATCATGAGGTAGCCCATGGCGCCGGAGACGGCGGCGACGGCTCCGGCGACGGTGAAGGAGATGTTGAAGAGACGGTCAATTGCGGCAGGGTTACGTGCGTCTTTCGCAATCGCAGGGATTACGGCGTGCCCGCCGTAGCCGGCGAGGACGAGACCGACGCCGCCTACCCAGTTCATCATCTTCATCTCGGGGCCGAGGCGGGTCGGCATGGGGTCGAGGAGCGAGCCGGGCGCGTGCTTCTTCCACAGGCCGTCGAAGAGGATGATGCCGATCAGCACGACGACGGCCGCCGTAGAAAGCACCGAGGGGACGGCGAGCCAGCGCAGCGGCATGAATGTCGTCGGAAGGACTAGGAAGAAGCCGAGCGCCATCCAGGTCTCGGCGGAGTAGTCGGGGAGGACGGCGTTCATCGAGTCGCCGAAGAGGACGATAAGCGCGACGCCGAAGGCAAAAAGCTCGGTGCAGAAGAGGACTTGGATGGCCGAGCCACCCCACGCGCCGAACGCAGCCATTCCGATGTCCGTGTAGCTCGCCAGCGACACGTCAGAGTACAGCAGACGCGCGAGGAGCTTGCCCCTGGCGTCAGTGTGACGCACACATATACCGTACTTACGTGTGGCACGTAATCGCAGAAAATGCGATGACCATGATAGATCCCCCGATCCAGCCGGCGTACGAGAACGCCAGCGGCATGCTAAGCAACCCGATGCCAATGAGCACTCCGATGGAGTTGAAGAGCGTCTGGCCGTTCGTGCTCTCACCGCCGTGCACGTTGATGTTCGCCGCCATGTTGTCGACGCGCGACGGCTTGCGCAGAAGCGGCGCGGCTTCGCCCACGCCCACGCCGGGCCCCGCGCCCGCGCTCACGTCTCTCGGACCAACAGCGCTCCCGCGCCGCCGCGGCGGGGAGTGTCGCGGCGTCGCGCCGTAGCTCGGGCCTTCGCCGTCGCGCTCCACGTCGTCGTCTCCCATATGGTACTCGCTGAACCCCGAAGTGAGCGCCAGGTCGTGGTGGAATCGCTCCTCCATTCTCGCATCTGGTGTCAGAGTGAAAACAAACGCGCGCACATCGCTTCACGAGGCCAACGACGCTGCCTCTCGCCCCCTGGGGGTAATGGCCTTCTGGCGACGACATGGTGAGTCGAGGAGTCGAGAAGTCACGAGTCGAGACGAGTCGAGAGGGCGCTCCAGGGGAATAGTGCAAGGTTAAGAGATCGAAGTCGTTCTCAGACATACGTGCTGCATGTTCGTTACACCCTCACGTGAGGGTGGGGTATCCGGTTGTGGGGTCGGTTCTGGGCTGGATCCGGCAGGCACCAAGTGGGCATGCCTCGTCGCTCGTGTTTCTGATGCCTGCCAAGCCAAGCGAGGTATCCAGGTCGTGCAGGTCCGAGTCCAGATCATGCTGCATACAGACTGCCTCTTGTGTGCGACATGCTATGAAACGGGGAGAGTGGGGAGAGCAACCGCGGGCCGCCCGCGGCGCCAGTGGTATTGTCCTATGAGCTCTCTCGCGCATTTGTGGTGTGAAACCATGACTGATGAACGACAACGTGTGAAGCACAATGCTCGATACGGTCGATCCGCGGTCGTTCCGTCGATTCGCGCCTTCTTTCCCGGTGATCCCGGTGGCTTCGGCGAAGGATGCGGATCACCGAGTGTTCTCGGCGATCAGCCTCGGCCTCGGCGGGCATCAGCCGGCGGTTCTGGACGCCGAGGCTCGAGCTGATATGATATCGTATCGAACAGACGATCATTCCATTCCCAATTCCGCGACTCCCCCGCCTTTATCGCAGTCACCTCGCTGCCCGCTTCCACGCCGCATACGCCTCGCGCATACAAACCCCACACGGCCTGTATCCAGCCTCCACTGCCGTTGACTCGTCCGCAAAGAACACGCGGTGCTGGACGTATCCGCCGCGCGCGATGGCGCGCAGCGCCGAGGGACAGTCAAGGCGGCCGTAGATCCGGCTACGGCGGTGTCCGCCCAGCGTACCCGGCGTCGTGGACGAGTAGGAGCCTGCGGCGGATAGGAGAGTGTACGTCCGCGCTGGTGTCATTCGTTGATGAACGGAAGAGATATTGCAAGATGCATGACCGCATGATGCAGAGAGTGGGGCAGTATTAATTTTGCCGGCCGAGCGGAATCCCCGGCTTGCTTTATCCGGAAGTGGAGACCCCGCAGCCATCTGCAGTATGATAATGGCGATTCATCGTAAAACATGCACTGAACGAGACCTCATGCTCGGCCCCGTACGCATGCCAACATTGCCTCCTATATATCGTGTATGATGAGATATCTCCGCCTTTTCTTTCTTTCTGACTGAGCAGCCGTATCGACAAACTCCACTCTACCTTGCACACACCGAGATCTTGTCGCGCGCACCGAGATCTTGTCGTTTCGGCTAAGTTGCCGCCTCCACCGAGATTGGCACGCTTCGGATTTACTCCGCCCACATCTCCCCGGCCAAAGCCGAGCTCTCCGCTCTCTACTTCAAGTCACGGCAGACACAGCGCGCGTGCTTTCACATCTTTCCATCCCCGACTCTCACTCACACAAAATGTCCAACGCCGCCGACCAGCAGGCCCGCGAGGCCGCCGAGAAGACTCTCTTCGATCTCGGCATGAAGCAGGTGAGCTTGCTCCGGCGATGCCCCCACAAGGATGGCGCGCTCCGACTCGGATGATGCTTGCTGCTCAAGTCCATCATCGCGCCTACCTGTCTCGTTCCCGCTCACATCAGCGCCGCACCGTCCTCGGCGACCAGTACGTCGACAACCAGCTCGCGACGCGCAAGTCCGAGTTCTCGCTCCCCGCCCAGGAGTACATCACGCGCTCGGCATGGGAGGGCCTGTGGTCCCGTCCGGGCCTCGAGCTCAAGTACCGCTCGCTTGTGGTCATCACGTACGCCGATCATCGACAACGCTAATAGCAGAATCCTGGCGCTCGGCGGACACAGGGCCGAGCTCGCGGCGCACACGCGCGGCGCGCTCCGCAACGGCCTCACCGAGGAGAACATCCGCGAGGCGATGCTGCACGTCACGGGATACGGCGGTTTCCCGAAGGGTCTCGAGGCGTGCGTTTGGGCGGACAGGGAGAGATACTTACGCCAGATTCCGCGTTTGTGAGGAGGCGATCGAGGCCTACCGCCTGGAGGTGGCCGCCGAGAAGGGCGAGGGCTCGTCTGCGTGAGCGTGGGTCGGGGTTGTCTGAAGATGAAGAGATGTGTGATGATATGGGAGGAGTAAGCTGCGCGGACGGTTTGCAGCGGATTGCATTCAGGGGTCGGGCTCCACTTACGACAGCTATCGCTGAACGTCATTTAGCGTGCTACGAGCGCGTCTGTCACGCCGCTCGCTATCCGTACACTGACGCGCACTTATGGTGACTATCTCCTGCTCTTTGCACTTAGCCAGCGCGCTACCTAGCACCTGCTGCGGCATCGTGGCTCCGCTCATCCGCTAATCTTCAAAGTCGCAATCGCAGCATATCGCGCACCTAGTTGACGCGGACGGGGCGTGCAAACTCGGGCTCTCGCCCCTCCGCATTCACCCTCCGCATCGACGATACACCAACACGCACACAAAACACCACCTTACACGCACACCACACCGGCGCTCTCGCTGCAGTATCCGTCACGAGGCCATGCGACCGTGGCCCACGCCCACCCGTCAAGGCCTTGCGTGCGAAGCATCGACGGTCATGTCGCCACAACCTGATGCCGCCACCGGCGTCCGCGGCCGGCGTGGGGATGTGCCCACGGCCGCGCGGCAAACCTTCAAACTGCCGGGAACCGGGAAGGAGAAGCAATGGGCGACTCGCTCCTGCTGCCTGCCTGCCATGAACAATGGAGCCTGACTCGTATCATTCCCACGCTCGTAATGTACAACCTTGGCGCAGCGCGGCCGCCATGCGCCTCACTCCACGCTCTCCCCCACCCCTCTTCACCGCCAGTTGTTCTCCTTGACGATCTGCGCCTCCTCGAGGATATAGCGCCCTGCGATGAGTGTGAAACAGCTGCACCACCTACCCTCCTTGTACCTCTGGTCGCCGGTGGGCGCCTTGATGTACATCCACCCGACTTCGGCATCGCACGAAGCACAGTGGAGATCCGCGACCGTGTGTCTTCCGGTTCTAGGGTTAACAGGATCAGCGGACGGATGTGCGTGGGGCCAAGAGGCTAACAGGCTAACAGGCTAACAGGCCCCAAGGAGGCTAAGACACCACAAGAGGCTAAGATGCTAAGAGTGCTGGCCAAAGAACAGTAGGGAGAGGAGCGTGCTCGAGGCGTTGCAGATACAGACTCATGAGGCGGTAGGGGTAAGAAGCGAGAGGCAGATCGGGAACCGGGACGGCTGCCGCGAGCGCGACCGTGTTCGAACGCGTAAAGGTGGCCCAACCCACTCCCCCGCCACGGCACACTCCCAGGCCTCCAGCCTTCAGCCTTCCGCCCCAAGACATGCTCGCCTCCGCCACCGCCACAACAGCCGGAGCTATGGTCCATGGACCATGAGGCATGAGTCGAGACTACCCACATGAGTTTGCGTTCCTCCCGCTTGCCCAGATTCGTGTTGATAGTCGAGTTCATGAGGCTGGATGATTAGTGCGCGAGTAGTAGCTGTTGACGAACTACGCACGGCCCGAGCGGCCGGTGAATGCCTGCGATACGAGCTCGTCCTGGAGTGCCTGTGCGTGAGTGAGGGAATCCTGGGACAGATCGGAGAGTGATGACGCGGGATGTAGGGGATATGATGGATTTCCAAGGATAGAAGGAGTTTGTGATAGCATCCGCAAAGGACCCATCGGAGCGAATGATCGTGGGGTCAGGGGGAAGGCAAGGGAAAGAAGGATACATGCACAAGCGCACAAGCATGATACACACACGCGGAGCACTCCCTGAGTGCCACAGTCAGGGGCTACGAGGGGGGCGACTCGCGTGCGAGCTTGGAGCTTTGACCCACCAGAACCTCTGAACACTTTGCGCACGCAAACACGGGCTTGTCGCCGGGAAGCTGATGCAGGTCCAGACGGGTAAGCCCGCCACCCTTGGAGTTGAGGAGGAGCGTGTTGGCCACGTCAAGACGGGTTGCGGCCCCGGCGGACGATGTCTGCATGGTAAGGTGTGATGGGAGAGAGAGAGAATGGACGATGGAGAGAGCAGAGCGAGTGTTGGGTGGCAACTGAGCGCACTGCGTCATGTGACTTGGGCCCCCGCATCCCCTCTCTCCCCTCGTGGCACCTCGTGGCACGTGCAATCTGCTCCCGTGACTGGTTTGTGTGGAATGTGGCCCGGGATCAGGACTAAACCAAGTCATCCAGGGATGCAGAACACGCTCGACTCAACTCTGATCTTCCAAATCCCACTTCCCCTCAGAAATTCAGAATATTTCCTCTCCCCCGGGAACTCGCCGGGACATTGTTCCCAAGGGCTGGGCCATAAGCCTCATCTTGATCCCTCAAACTCAAGCTCTGACCTCCTCTAACCTCCTCTCGTTGCTCCCCTAGCCCTGCATCACTCCCCCTGACCCTCTGGGCCTCTGACCGCCTCTGACCGCCTCTGACCGCTTCTAACAGCCTCTAACAGCCTCTGTCCATCCCTCCCCTAACCTAGCCCGTGCTCCAGCCGCCACCCCACGCCGCCGCCACAGCCACCAGCTGCGTCACGACCGGCGGCAGACAGGAACCAGGACGATACCATACGGAAGGTATGCTTCGCGTCCGCTTCGCAATCTTGGTTTCTCCAAACCAGTCGGTGCAGACCACCATCCCACTCGTCTCGAGATCCGTCGCGCTGCGCCACTGCAACGTGTGCGTCGCGCACGGCAGTTGTCCCAGCTCTGTCCCAGCCCCCCGTCCCATCCCCCCTGCCCGGCCTCGCCCCCGATGGCGCCGGCCGGTCGTCTACGCGCTGCGCGGTGCCCTCTCCGCGCTGCCGCGCAAGGCATCCTCGCGAGACCTTGCACTCCCGTAGTGTACGTCGAGGTGTTTTTTCCATCAGCGATTTCTTACTATCTCAGCATCGCCATATCCTCTCTCTCTCTTTTTCTTCCACACTCCTCTCTTCCTCTCGCCCTATCTGCCTTATAGCCTCGCCTTTACGCCGTACAATGGCCCACACCCACACCCACGCCCACGCCTCTGCGCATCCCGCTCCCTTCTATCTCCCTCGCATCATGGACTTGCACACGTCGGCCTACGACAGTCTAGCTCTGCCCGCCATCGGGCTGCGCTCGAGCTCCATCAACTCGTCTCACTCTTTCCACTCTCACCAAGCACACGGCCAGGCTTCGCCCCCATCGTCGCCTTACACGTGAGCCCTCTATTTAGCAGCCTAACACCAGGGGCAGCGACGAGCCCGACGACTACGAGGTCAAGAGCACGACTAGAATACACAAGATGCGCTCCAAGCGCGACTCAGCAAAGTACCAGCGGCAGGTGAGTCGTCTTCTCGGCTTCAACTCCCTCCCATCACCGCTTACGCCCAGCAAGACTACCTGCACGACCGCTCCCTCCTCGAAGTGATGGACAGCGAGCGCTGTGACCGCTGCCATCGCAACGGCTGGCGCTGCTTCATCGAAGCGGACGCGGACAGCCCGCGCCGTGTCTGCCGCCCCTGCGGCAAGAACAAGTGCTCGTTCGGCAACACGACCGTGCGCCCCGCGACCAAGTCGCCGCGCTGGGAGGGCACGCCGCGCGTCGAGCACGACAAGCCGAAGCGGTACGAGCCGTACACGGTCGCGCCGCGCGCCGAGCCCCTCCCGGGCGTCGCGGCGCTCACGGCGTGGCAGCCGCTCACGCCTCCGACGGAGCGCGAAGGCAGCCTCGAGCTGCTTGCCGAGGCGGCGCATCGCGCGCGCACCACCCCGCTGCCGGAGGAGCGGGGTCGCGAGCGGCCCCGTAAGCCGTCGTACGACGCGCTGCCATTCTCGCCGCACGACGTCGAGAATGACCACCGTTTCCTCGAGCTCGCCCGGCACTACGCGCACTACGTCCTCCCGGGAAACCGCTACAACGTCCTCGCGCACCTGTACAAAAGCAGCCAGCCACTGCCGGCGTACCACTAGCACCTCGCGAGCAGTCGCGTATTTTGGACCTGTGTGTATTTTTTTGGCCGGATGGACGTGTATCGTGGTTTCTAGATATATCATACCCATATTCCCTCTGTCCGTATATGAATTAATACAATGCGATGGCTGCTGATTTGGTGCGTGATCGCGGAATCGCGCACAAGATGATGTGAGAAGCACGCCGACTCGCCAGAAAGTCAGGCCGTGGGCGTGTATCTGTGTCTGCTATAGTGCAGCGTGTGGGATTCGCGTGGTGGTGGGTGTCTTGGTGGTGCGACAGGGGTACACGGCGGGAGCGAGGTTACGAGTCATTATCCGACGCCAACGTGCTGGCCCGCACACCGCCTCGGGCTCTGCAACCGCACCTCCGCCTCAGACCTTGGGCGCCCTCGATAGCGACCCGCCACTCCATGATACCACACTTATGGTTTTACCACACGGAGGCTCGAGCGCACTGATCGGAGGTTTGGGCGTGGCATTTCCAAGCTCTGCCGTTCATCCCCTTCAGACAATTGTGGCACTATCACACATACCTCGTGAGGCATAGAAGACCTCCTTCACATACTTGTACACGAGCGATCGGTAGTTCCGTACCGGGTACAAATGTCGTACGAGCGTCGAAGCCACAGGTTCGGCTTCTTACACGAGGCGGCCGCATTTTCATCTCTTCCCCCTCCCCTCCCCTACACCCTTCTCTCCCCTCCACTCCGCCACACCTCCACCCCGTTGACACACAAGGGCGCAGACGTCACTGCGCCGCCCACCACTCCACGAGCGTCTTGACGTCGTGCGGCTCCGTAGCCGTCTTCGAGTCGCGGCGCACTGCCGCCGCATACGATGACGCGCCGTGCGCTCTGAGCGCATCGAGGCATCTCCCAACTCCGTGGGTGTGGGGGTCGATCGCAAGGCTGGGGCACTTATGACACCCAACTCCGGCCTTCTGGCAGCTAGAGACTCCGGGAGGGCCGGGCAGCGGTGCTGCCTTGGTCACCGGCCTCCCGAGTGTCGGGGTGGCCGGAGCCACCGCATCCGCGCTTGCAGTCTTGCCTTTAGACTTGGGATTGTCCACCGTCAAATTCTTTGCCTTGGGGTTATCAGGCGCGACACTTTTCTTCTTGTCTCCAGCCTTCTGGCCCTCCGCCCGCTTCTCCTTGCTCTTGTGCGCCACAGCAACCCACACCCCATCCTCTAGCATTAGCACCCCCTGGCGGGGAACGCACCCGCAGCGCGCGCCTGCTCCTCGAGCGCGCGGCGCAGGCGGCCGTTTTCCGCCAGCAGCGCGTAGTTCTCCGCTACGAGGTCGCGCACGTCGTCGAGCGCCACGAGCTCCGCGTCCGCGAACGGCGTGCGCGGCGTCACTGCGTCAGCGGCGCCGCGCGGCACGTACCCGTCACCCAGTCGTCGTCCATGGTGAGAGGGTGGATGCAAGATGTGGAAGCCGACGTCACGAGGGCGTGACGTGCAGGTGGCGGTCTGCTGCGTTGTGTGCGGGATTTTCTTCATGGAATCTGCATGTTTCGGATACGTCTTCGTCTGGAAAGTCTTCGTTTGGTGCAAGCGAAGAGGGGGGACGAGGACGAAGACACAGACGAGGTTGACGCCCGCTTTGGTCGCCGGAACGCCCGCGCCGGGCTCAGTCTGCATCTTACTGTTATTTGTTCATGCTCTGCTTCGAGTTTCCGTCGTCCGTTGGGTGCGCTGATTCTCAACAATTTAGACCACCCTGGCCTCCGTACGGCCTCGGTTCGACTCCGAGAAAGTGCAGCCCAAAGACAGAAATGATGGTGCGGACGGGTCCATTCGGGAGATGATCCACCCCAAGTAGCCGTGTGCATACCAATAGATCACTTACGCGTCGTTGACACGCATGAAGCCTCGCGCGGTGAGTCTCAGGCCCGACACCTTGCTCGGCATGGTGCGTGTGACAATCGATGACCGACGGCGATGGTTTATACGTGACGGAAACCCTTCGTCATGCACCCGGCCATATATAGTATGCCTCTGACTCACGACGCTCACTGAGCAGTCTGCATGGCACTATTCTGAAATACGAGTACAATATACCAACACCCCTGGATACACGCACAGCTATGTCTACAGTCGGACTCTAGTTAGCAAACTGGTTGAAGTTCCACCCGGGAATCTCTCCGCCCATTAGGTTTACGACGCCGTTCGCGTTGCCGTTGTTGGCGTTAAGGCCCGCAAGCAGCTCCGATAGGGGGCTCTGCGGCCCCTCGGGAGCCTTGTTGCCGAACCCCGACATCGCAGCCTGCACCTGTGCGGCGGCAGTCGGGTCAAGGAACTCGAGGAGCGAGGGATCAAAGCTCTGGTCGTCTGATACCCCAAGTGTTTGCTGCATCTGTTGTGGCTGGAGATAGTCGGGAGTAAGGTGGTTTGTGCTCGCTGAGCCACTGCGAGATGAATTGGCCGTGGCGTCGACAGCGTCGATGCTATCTGGCGTCCGTCCCATTGAAGTGGGCTGCGATGGCGAAGTGGTGGCCGTTCCAACCGAGGGAGCAGATGATCGTGCTCCCATGTCCGTATCCGAATTCGAGCCCGGTGTCTTGACAGTATTGGGCATACATGCGTATGCCTCCTTTATATTCCCACACAGCTCCTTCATGGATGGCCGGTCTGGGCGCGGGTCCTGATTCAACTTCACGTGTTGAGCGATGAAGTGTTGAAGGTGGAGGCCCAATGCATGCTTCGCAGCGTAGCGAGTCAGTAGACTGTTGAGGCTGATGAGATCGGCGCGCCATCGCATCGCAAGGGCGTACTGCTTGGCTCGGAAAGCGAACTTGCTAACAATGCGCCCAACCGTGAACATCGAAAAGGCGAGTAACGGAGTGAAAACGATAGTGATATCGAGCTGCGAAGGGATAAGATGAAGAAGACCCATGATCCGCTCAAAGGCACCCTGCACCGCGGCAACGGCGCTCATGTTTGGTCCCTCGGCGCTGTCCCATCCCATGAAAGGCTCGTAGAGTAGCATGAGAGCCAGATTGGGGAAGACGTGAACGCTTAGGAGATCGGCGCTGAACTGGTTCATGTTTCCGGAGTCAACAAGGCGGTAGACGTTCTTGAAGTCGGGAGGAAGATGCGTCTGAAATGCGTCAATGTCCTCGACAAGCTTGACAAACGAAGGCATTTTCATGCCCTCATTCATGTCACCTGGTTGGACGACACGCTGTTGCCATTCGTAGACCCAGCGAGCGATACGGCCGAGCAGAAGGGACGACTTGATGACCAAAACAAACGGATCGGGGACTGGGTGGTGGATAAGGACGTCCGGGTCGTGGGCGGTTTGCGGGTTCTGTTTCATATATCCCGACTGGTCGAAGCGCTGGTGCCACTCGTCATAGCTCGTGGGTAGAGGAATGAAGATCTCGTCGAGTTGGAGGCTGGATGCCCAGCACGAATTGCTTGAGAAGCCTGCTTCCGAGAGATAGGCCATCCAGACTGTCGCTACGCGCTCCTCGCGATCGCGATCGTCCTCCGCTGCTTCCATGAGAGGCGGCTTGTCAGCTTTGCGTGTATTGCGGGTAGAGATCTCTAGAGCCTTGATCAGCCGGCCGGGAAGACCGCCAGCCATCCAGGCGCGCAGTGCCAGACCACCGTTGAGATATGTTTGACTCAGGATGACCTGGAGTAAGCTTGGAAAGTGAGAGCAACTTGACTCACGTGTGCTCGGACAATGTCGAACAAGGGCTGACCGTGAAGCATAACAGTGGTCAGAGTCTTGTGGCGGATGCACCGCTCAGCGGCCTCGCATTGTGCTGTCGCAAAGTCGCTTGACGCCTCCAAGTCAATTCCCGCCTCAATATGCTGGCGGCGACTGTTGTCGATGTCCTGTGGACTGAGTGAATTGATCCAGGCCGTGTGCGGGGCGGCAGCAGCACAAATCGCATGGAGTAGCTCGGCGGCCGGGAAGTCGGGGTGGTTTGGGGCAAGCCTGATACGGGCGAGGAGCGTAGCGCGATGGATCATGCGCGGGAGCTGCGGCTCACACTGGAAGAACGTCTCGATGCTGGGAGGGTGGTTAGCCGTCTATTGCACATTATGATCAGCGAGCGAGTTACGTACAGATGTTCAAGGATGGCTGGGTATGTTAGCAACCATATATATTGGAGGTCCCCGCCAATGCTCACCTGGTGACGGCAAATTCCGAGGCCAATTATTCGGCAGCATTAGAAGATTGGAGAAGTCGAACGACTGGAAGGCAGCTGCCTCGCTAGCCTCGATGCTGAGAAACGCCGGTGCTATGGACGATTGGGCGTCCATACCCACAAAGGATGCGGAGAAGGCGTGCGTTGCGCCCGCATTCCAGTTGAAATTGTTGAAACTCGAGCCCTTGGTGTCAATGGTCGGGATCGCGTCTGGTGAGGCCGACTTGGAACCGTTCGCGCTGCTTTGCTGGGTATCATGGGTGGTGAGCTCGGCGAGACGGGCCTCAAGCTCGGCTGAATAATGTCAGCTAGACGCCTCGGACCATCAACTCACCGATGCGAGCCCTGAGTGTGTCGCGCTCCTCTGCACCGCGGCGCTCTTTCTCACGCTGCAAGTCGCGCTCTCCCCCACCGAGAGCCTGCTTCTTGATCTTGGTGGTAGCCGCTGATGCCGAGCTTACTCGTTTTCGCTCCGGCTCGGGCTCTACGACGGCCTCGTCGTCGTCGGCGTAGGTGCATACGAGTATCGGCGGGCGACTCTTATTGCGTTGGGCGGAACGAAGTGCGTGAGCATGCGAGCGCATGCATGGGTTACATGTTGGGCGTACAGCGTCGCACTTGACCTTACGGCGCTTGCACTGAGGTCAGTTTCGAGTATTCGAGTATAGTGGATGTAAAGGCATCCCTTTCTCTTGCCCCCACTTCATCTGCACTCGTTGCGGTGTGGTGCAGCAGAGCAGAACGAGAAGCCACGCCGAGGCTGACTCACCTGCAGGCAAGCATGGTTACGCTTCAGAGGCGCCAACGTCTCATCCTCAAGAATGTCGTCGTACGGCGCGGTGTCCTGCATCGCTGCCTGGTACCTGGAAGTCTGGGAGGAAGGAGTTATTGGACAGAGAGTGGGGAGTCTGAACTGAAAGCGAGGTGACTCAACGCTGACGACGCGTGGTGCCGATGGTGGGGCAGATTAGGCAGAGCGTCCAGGGATGGAGGATTGGGTGGATCTGCGCAGGCAGTGGGAGCCGAAGGTGAGGGTGCGATGTGATCGAGTGCAATGACTCGGGGGATAGAGGGGATAGGAGGAGCTAGAAAGCTCGAGGTGAGCGTTGTTGTTGTTATTGATGTTGTTGATGGTGTTGTTATTTGAGTTTGGAGTGGGAGTGAGGTGATGTTTCAAAGCCGAGTTGAAGAAGTGGAGGGAGGGAAGATGGAGGAAGATGGAGGAGGACGGAGGGGGTGGCGGTGCGTGCAAGGTGAGGAGCGAGAAGCGAGGAGCGAGGTGGGAGGTGCGGAACGAGAGATGACTGCGGAGGGGGGGGGGGAGAGCAGTCCCTTTTGTCGCGGGGGAGATGTGGAGTCTGGAGAGTGTGGAGTGACAGAGTAAGTGAGGCTAGCAAGAGGCTTGGAATTGTACAGCATGTACAATGCGCAAAATGAATGCGATAGGAGTTCTCTCTGTGGATCTGTGGAAAGACGGCGTGCAGTACGGTGAGTAGCGGGATGGGCCGGATACATCCTCACCTCACCACCCAAAGCATGCCCGTCGGCCATCGCTTTCAAGAGATCGGCCATCAATAATCTTCATTCAATCAATTCTCCTCATCCTCCTCATCCTCCTGGGCTCCTGGGCTCCTGGACTTCCTGCGGGGGGCGTTGAAATGCCGTATTCTTAAAAGTACCGCCGGAGCGCGGGGGCGAAGGCACCCTGCCACCCCGGTTTATCCCCGTTTTCATCTCACGTGGTATTGTTTCCGCTTCGGCCTCCGATGTCGCCTGGTATACCTGGTAATTATACATGTAGTAGAATGACGTCGCGCGCCCTCCGGCAGACCGGGTACGAGGCACCATGTGCGACAACATCTCACATACCGCGCGCACCGCGTAGACCGCCGACCTCTGTCAAGCGGTCAAGCTGCAAATAGATGCGCCTTCCTCTCTCACTCATCTCTGACACTTCACATCACTCACTCCTCCATCATGCACGCCTCCACTATCAACGCCAAGACGAGCAAGACAGAGGAGCGTGAGCGCCTCGTCGCCGAGATGGAGGCTGAGCTCGGCACGTCTGTTAACGATGACCTCGAGATCCTCGGCACCAGGTACGCCCTTCTTTACCAACGCCGCAACGCTGACCACAGTCCCCAGGACATCGTGACCAACCTCAAGTCTCGCAAGGAAGGATGGACCTGCGAGCGCGTCATGTCTGTCTACGTTCGTTTCCAGTCTTGCCGTTCTGACGCCAGATCCGTGCCGCTTGCGCTGCTCACCGCAAGACTAACTGCCTCACGGAGGGTGTGTGCTAGCTTGGTAGCGCTCACGCAGTACTCTTTCGCGAGGGTCTGACCGAGGCGCGCGCAAAGGACGCTGCGCTGGCGGGAGGAGAAAAGCCGGAGGGCGCATTTTGGGGTCTTCCTTCCTCCTTCAAGGGTGGGTACATGACTGGACTTGCTTACATAGACACGTTCAACGTTCTCGGCGTCGATACATCTCTCGGCTGCACGCCGTGAGTTAGCTTCTGTGGCATTCTTTCACCGGATTACTCACGCCCTCAGTCATTGCTTCCAGCGTACGACGGAGCCCGAGATGGAGGGCACGGTGAGGCTTCCCCGCGCCTCTTCCGAACCGGCGCCACTGTAGCCGGGTGACTAACCGCCAGCTCGTCAAGCTCTTCCGTGCGCAGGGTGGCATTCCCTTCTGCAAGACCAATATCCCTCAAACGCTGCTCGCCTTCGAGAGTGCGAACCCCATCTTTGGCGCCTCCTCGAATCCGTACAGCTCTGCGCGCACGTGCGGCGGATCGTCGGGCGGCGAGGCAGCCCTCGTGACGCTGCGTGGCACTCCGCTGGGCTGGGGCTCGGACAGTGCGTGGTTCTCTGACTTTGCTAACCCACAGTCGGGGGCTCGCTGCGTATTCCTGCTGCTTACTCAGGCTGTCTGGGTCTCAAGCCAGGATTGGGCCGCTGGCCGGGCGCTGGGCAGCGCCCTGTCGCTAAAGGGTTTGAGGGCGTCCGGCCCGTAGTTGGGCCGATGGCGCGCACAGTTGACGACCTCACCTTTGCGTCCAAGTCCATGATTGACGCATTTGTCGAAAACATCGCCAACCATGATTTTGTCCAGGTCGAGAATGTCGTTCCGCTTCCTTGGCGCGAGCCCAGTCTCCCAAAGCGCATGCGCATCGGATACTGGCTCGACGATGGGGTTGTCCGCTCGTCGCCCGCGGCCGTCCGCGCTGTTCGCGAGGTTGCAGCTGCTCTGGAGAAGGAGGGCCATGAGCTCGTGCTCTGGCAGCCACCTAACGTAGCTGAGGCGCTCAAGATCTTTGTCGCCCTTCTAAGCTTTGACGGATTCAAGCAGTTGCTTGCCAACATCGGTCGGGACCCCATGGAGCCAGCCATGTTCCTCGTGACACTTGGTCCTCGTCTGCCCGGTTTCGCTAGATGGCTAGTGAGCAACCTCGTGTCGTACCTCGCCAAGGATCCGGTATTTGCCAGCGTGTTTAGTGCGTTTTACGCGTTGCTCCCGCTGACTTTTAGCGGCGTCGAAGCGCAAGACCATCGAGGAGTATGTGCATTGGGTGCATCAGCGCGATGAGTACACCAAGGCCTTCCGCCGTGCCGCCTGGCAGGAGGAGAAATTTGACTTCCTCCTATGTCCTGTTCAAGCCGTTCCGGCGCTCGAGCACGGGCGCACCAAGGACCTGTCGCCGCTGGCCCTGTCTACGATTCTGTTCAACATCGTGGACAGTACCGCAGGCGTACTACCCGTGACCCGCGTCGATGCAGAGCGCGACGCCGCACCCGCCAACTACCTTGAAGGGAGCACCGGCTCATGGATCCTCGAGAAGAAGGTTTACGGGGGCGACAACCCGGCGTACGACTCTGTGAAGATGGCGGGCCTCCCGGTCGGCGTGCAGATCGTCGGCCGCCAGTTTGAGGAGGAGCGCGTCCTCGCCCTCATGAAGATTATTGAGGGGGCCGTGGCTTACGAGGCGTAATGGGTAGCAAGTAATAGAATAACGAGATATTCGGCATTCGGCCACTTTTTCGGCGGGAATTTTCTCGAGCGACAAAGAAGCGACTGGAAGCGCGCGGTGCAATGAGAGAAATGTGCAGATAATGGATACGCATGCATACATGTGTGTAGTGTATGCGACCAATGGCATTTTGTGTGGGCGATACATGCACATCGGTTGGAGATAATGGTGGCGTCGACGTTTGTGGTGCCACTAGGCCGACACGACGCGCCTTTCCTTCACCTCCTCAAGCCTGATTTGCTCCATATTGCCGGTCTTTTCCAGCTGCCCCCACCATCCTGTCCACTGCTAGTGGAGCTAGCATCCCTAGAAATTAGGGTTAATGCGCGTACTCCGTCGGACTGCTCCCCATGTGTAAGAATTCACTGCAGTGCACCTGAATCAGGCGCCATAACGACTCCAGTGCCTTCCACATTCCCACCACCCCTCTCCAACAATTACCCCAAAACTACGCTTAAATTCCTCTTTCCTTGGCTCGCACATCGTAACTCGTGGTTGCTTCGACGATGTCTTCGCGAGCAGGGAAATGGTGATTTACCCGCTATCATTTGGGTCGTTCAGCCCCATTCCTTCTCAGCGCGATTCTTTCTCAGCCCCGAATTTCCTCCTCTCCGCCTCGTTCTCGGCCTTGCGCCAAGGGCAGTGTGCGAGTATTTCGCCTTGTCCGGGAATCCGGGGGCCAATGCATTGGCGCGTTTTTGGAGGGTGGCGGGCAGAGGACACATGTGGCAGTGTTTCCATTCTCAAAACGTTCAGTTCTGCAAACGTTCTCAGCATCGCCTCGTTCCGAGTGCCACGCCACACTCGCCACGCCACTGGTCTTGATTTATCCGGCGTTAATGGCTCACAATGGACACGGCTGCGCTCCAAGTCGAGTCGTACCACTCCTTACTTTGCGGCCGTACATACCGAGAGGCGATAGTGCAGGGTGGGCGGGCACATGCTCCAAGTGACGCGTGTGGCGGTGTGGCCCGGATCCGTCAATGTGTCACAATGTTTCTCTCGCGCGCCGGCTCGCCGCCCGCCCGGAGGCCGTGGTGTTTCAAAGCGCACTTGTGTCTCGCGGTGACAAACCTCCGACCTCTGGACACCTCTGCGCCGCTGTGGCGCTCTCCGATCGCCTCTCGGCCCTCCATTCCACTTCAGCTGTCCACGCGCTGCCCGATGTGAGACAAGCAATGCCGTCGTTTCCCCGATTTTACGACATTTTTGAATTACGATCATTCCGCTCAGTCGTCGTGAGGCTGCGCTGCCTGGATCTCGAGACCGACCACACCGTCCACGTTGATCTATCGGCATTACGTTCGCCCAACCATCGGGGATTACGTGAACGGAATTCGGAAAGAGAATGTTATCGTGCAACCTGTTGAATCTCAGGCTCTCAACGCCACAGGCGTCGCTCTCACGCCTCGCGAGAGATATCACCGGTAGTGCCAACCACTTAGAAGTATGCATTATATCGCCCTACGCATTTACTTGGCGAGATTAGGGAAGGATACGTGGGCAAGAGCGGCGAAGCGGCGAAGCGGCCAAGTGGCATCTCAGCGTCCAGAGACCAGAGGCACCGCTGATCAACACATGAGGGATCGGCGGGGCATGTCGGCATGTGGGCGTGCGGGGCGTGCGGGGCGTGCGGGGCACGGGGCACGGGGCACACGCCCACGTGTTGATGTCATGGCACGGCGTGGCGGTGCGTGGAAGCGAGTATGTGCGCGGTATCTTGCTCTCTATCCAGCCCCCCCAGCGGGCACATCAAAGCGGTGGGGGCGAGCACATGCTGCGCGCGGCGGTGCGGCGGACGTCGACTGTCACAGCTCGCCTGGCGCGGCCTCGCTCGCGTAGCACCGTTCGGCCCATTTTCGGCGTCGGCCCGGCGGCCCGTTGGTGCAGGAGAGCGGCCCATTCTCGTCCTGTCTCGTCCTCCACCGCGCACGCCATCTCGGAGGTCGGAGGTCGGAGGTGAGAGAATCCCGTACACATGTGCTGAGCAATCCAGGTGGGAGGGGGCGGCATGATAATCTGCTCAACTACGGCTGATAGCGGCATCGTATTGTCCTGTTCATCCGACGCACCCAGCCAGCCGACGATGTGACGACGCGCGTCGGGTGGTATATGCGGCATGGAGATGGCGCGGTCTGGGCAGGCTGGGCAGGAGGCAAGTCGGCACATTCCACGGGCTATCTCGACGAGGCCAGAAGCCAGAAAGTTGAGTCACCCAGATCGCCGTTCATGCCGTGCGGGCTGTCCCTGTCGACGTGGAGATGATGTGGAGGCGTGGAGGACAATATCATGAGCAGAGGCGAACAGCGTTCCGGCGGACATTACAACAGCGGTGAGCCTGGAAACGACGACGTGTGGAACGTGCATTCCGTTGCTGACTGATGCCCCTGGCCGCCTCGCAACTAGCAACTAGGGCCAGATGTACCTGTCGAGCATGTGGGCCAGATCTACCTCCACCGCGCATCAGCACGCTCTCGACGCTCACGACACCCCTCGGCAAAAGGGGCCGCCGCACGGGCGCCGCCTCCGCCCGCCCGGCCAGAGCCTGCCGCCCCTCGTGCCCCCTCCGTCCCCCGTCCTGCGCCGCGCGCTACGCCGCATACAAGTGTACGCGGCACCGAAAGTATCGGTGCGAACATGGAATGGAGAAGCATGGCTAGGCCTGTCGGAAGGGGCGCTACCCTGCAAGCTGTCCGCGCCATTGTCGTCATGATCCACGGGGCGCAAGGAGGGGCGCAAGGAGAGGGGCGCATGGCGCACGGATGCACAAAATACACGCTGCGCGCCAATTGCCCATTCCGCCATGCAGATCAGATCGCCGGAAGACGGCGATCCTCGCTCCATGTGCTGCGTGTGGGCCCGAGCGTCGCTCGATCCGAAGTTCCAAGACCCCGAGGCCGACGGTGAGGCGAGTATCGGCCTGCAACCGTCGGTCAGCGGAGAGATTAGGAGTGGCGAGGAGGAGGGAGGGGCACGTGAGATGCGAGCTACGATGGGATTGGATTCGGTGCGGTGCGGTATGCATGACGGAGGAGAGGGCAAAGTGCATGTGTTCCTGTTCCAAGGGGGAACAGAGAGTCACCGGGAAGGGAGTATGATAAAACGGATCCGAAATTAGGGCCAGGGCGGGATGGGTGCAAGGGAAGAGGATTAGCAAGGTTTGGTCAGGGGCGCCGTGGAAGAACGGAAGAGTTCGAGTCGATGCGGCAGTTGGCATTGGCAGGCATCTTGGTGCATACTGAGATGTGTCAGCATGCAATCCAGCTCGAGCTAGAGTTTGTGGAGCTTGTCAGACATGGCACTTGGTCTGTGTGAGAGTCACCCTGAGGGGGTGAGGTGTATTCTCTGCCGTCCTCCATACCGTCGTAAGCCCTTTCCTGATGGGCATAATTCAGCCTCGGGTTGATTGGGTCTCGGGGTCTCAACACTACTACTGTACTGTACTGTTCCAGTCGTGGGATACGACGAAATGACTACTGGGGGAGGGGATCAGAGCACAGGTTGTGAGAGAAAATGACGCGCATGACGAGAAGCTGTGGATGTCGCACATGGGCCATGGGTCGACAAGGCTCGCTCTTCTGCACATCAACGCCGGTGTGTCAGCCAAACGCCAATTTGGCTGAGTGCCAAGCATCGGCGGCTTCCACCTGTGATGCATACCCGATCCTTGGTGATTGTGCGATTCGGGTGATCCTGTGACCTCGCACACAACGCAACCACTCAGATCCCCATCGTTGCCCGATACACGCGACAGCGCTGCCTCTCTCGCTGCCCGCCTGGCCGCCTGCCCGCAGCACTTGCCGAATGTTACGAAGACTAGCAAGCTCGCTAGGTAGCTTAGAGGGCAGGAGGCCACGACTAGTCGTCAATTCCTCTGATGTAGTGCATGCCGCGGTCTGCTCCGTCATCTGTGAGGATTGCCTCGGCGACTCGGCCATGGCTTCAGACAGACCAAGCCTTTGACCCTACCCTAATGTTTGGTGTCGAGCCCTCGAGCCGCGAGCCGCGAGCCGCGAGCCGGCGACGAGCAAGCCGACGAGCGCCGGCGTGCCCCTAGGTTTGAATGATGTGGATGAGAGGAGAGGAGAGGAGGGAGAGCAGTGCATGCAGGGAACGAGAGTGTAGGGAAGAACCGGGAATGGGAAAGGGGCCCAAATGATGAGACGGAGAGGAGTGGGTTACCAACGTGGTGCGTACACAGCTGTTGCGCCTCGTCGAGATTCCGCACTCTTGCTCCGCTGTGCCGCACTGCGTCCAAGAGCCAAGGCCAAGGGAGCGTAGAAGCATGCATGCATTAGGGGTACAGGGTGAAGTGGCGTAGCGTATCGGCGTGCAGTGGTGGCGCGTATCATGCACTACTCCTCTTCATCAAGCTCCCTGGTTACAAAAAGATGCCGACCCCCATGGCGCTAACGTAGCTACCCGTCTCTCCACGATCTCCACTCGATCCTGGCAATCAGTCCAGTCCACTCACCTTTCACCCAGCCCTTGCACCTTCCCTCTCCCACCCCACCCCACCCACATACCACGCATTGTGCTATCTATACTACGACTACTAATAGAATACTGGGTCCAGTCAACCTTCTCTCCCTCGCCACCTCTCCATCTCTCTCTTCTCATCTCTTCTCATCTCTTCTCAATCTACTCTCATCTCTACTCTCATCTACTCTTCCACCATCTCCCCTCAACTCACACATCATGCCGCCAAGTCCAAAACACGGACAGGCCTCAAATCCCCCGGAGAAGAAGAAGCGTCGTGAGTGATATCACCCTTGCCTTGCCGGCATCGTTACCTCCACCCCTTCCTTTCTTCAAGGCGGTGCTGACCTCCACAGGCCAGAATGTTGCCTGCGACTCTTGCCGTCTTCGTCGTGTCAAGTAAGCTGCACCCATACTGTTGATCTCACCCCCCTCCTCAGATGCGACATGCTTGCCCTCCTCACACCCGCCGACTCGACACGCGTCATGCCACCCCTCCCCGTACTTGTCCGCCAGAACCCCGACGTGTCGTGCTCAAACTGCATCTCCAAGGGCATTCGATGCACTACCAACCAGATTGTCAACCCTTCAAAACCCAACAAGGGCGGTAAGCGCATCGAAGAGGCCAAGAAGATGTATGGCAGTGAGGGCTTGTTGTCGCCCTCGGCTGGAAACACGGCCGCTCCTCCAACGCCGCTACTCTCCTACGAAGCTCCACTGCCAACGCGCCACGACTCGGGAACAACCACCCGCACATCGGCATCAAGCGCGTCCTCTTCGTCGTATGACCTCTCCGACACTGTACCAAGCAGCGTTGACCTCACAAACGGCGTGGGCGCCGACTTCCTCTTCGGCAACCAGTACCCATACTCAGGCACTACGGACCTACTCAACCAGGGTGCCTCTGGAATGGGAGGCCCCAGTGAGCACGCCCCGAGGTGGACCACCGAGTGGTCTAGCAACGCCGTCAGCACAGCCTACGGCACACCTTTTGCAGGCGGGGTTTATGACATGAGTCAACAAGCTGCCAACGAGCAGCCGATTCCGCCTCTGTGGAACACCGATTTCCTCTTCCCCCAAGGTGCCAACGCCGCCTACAACGCAGCTCAGCCGTCATCGTACAATCCTCCACCTTCTCTGTACGTTTCGTCTGCGGAGGCTATGCCCAACCTCATCCCTTCGTCTTTGAGTGCGCTCGACGACATGAATGGTGCCTCTAGCGACCCTTCCGCATTTTCGTCGGTGGGATCCGACGGAACTCTGCACACACCCAGTGACCACCCTTTTCGATCGTCGTCCTCAGGTGATAGCTCCCCTGTCCCTCCACCTCCACCCCAACCTCGCTCGGCCCTGGACGTCCCAGCTGTGATGTCGGCGGTTTATCCGATGTTATCGCCGTCGGCCTCTCCCTCGGCTTCGGGTTCGGCCACGGCCACGGCCACGGCCGCGGCCACGGCCACAGTTAGCCCACCGCAGATCGTTGGCAGGAAGCGCCAGCATGCCGATGACGACGTTATGGAGATCGTTCGCAAGGACGGGAAGGGCGACGAGAAAGATCCGTGGTCGCTCTGGGCCAATTCCAAGGCCAAGGAGGACAAGATTATTCGGTGGAGCCGCAGCAACCACGTCGGCGACGAGCTTGCAAGTCGCGCGCTTGGCTCCGAACTCAGCCGACACCTTGTCCAGGTTTACTTCTCCTCGGTCCACTTGACACTCCCTGCAATCAGCCCAGAGGCATTCTACATGTCGTGGCAACAAGCTGGTGAGCGTTCAGACCGCATGACCCCCGCACAGGAGGTCCTGTGCGCGGTGATTGAGGCATGGGCTGCCCGATTCTCAGACCACCCGGTCGTGAGTTGCGCCCTACTGATTGAACGCCTGTTGCTGACGGTTAAGGTTCTGGGGATCGGTCCGAATAAACAGCACAACCCCAAATGTCAGTAGGAACTGCCTAGTGGCTCCGTGCGCCAGGATGCATCGCTGACAGGCAGTAATTTTAGCGCCTAAATCCGTGAGCATGGCCTCGATTGCCATCAACTAACAAGCAGGGCGAAATTGACTCTCTAATTGATCAAGCAGAATATGGGCAGAAGCGTCTTCGCGTGTGTTTTGCACTCGTGGAGCGCGCACGCAAGCTCATTGATGAGCATGGAATTCTTCGTAAACCTAGTTTGACGGGCGTGCAGGCTCTCGCACTGTTCACACAACTTCAGCACATGACCGACCATAACCCCGACGCCCCAGAGCATCTCATGGAAAGTGAGTTGGTGGCAGCGAGCGAATGTAATGTGGTCTGACCCCAGGTGAGATGCTTCATACCATGTTAGTGCAGCAACTTCGAAAACTGGATGGCTGTTGGGTCGCGGAAGGTAGCGTTCCCATCTCCAAAGACGATGGCCCCACAACTGCCCACGAGCAGCGGATCAAGCAACGCCGACTGTGGTGGACCGTGTTCATTGCCGACTCGTTCTGGGCGGCAGGGACGTGCTCCAAACCTGTCATGTATGATCTCTTCACGCGACGGTGCTGACGACCAGTCCCGAGGAGGACATCAAGGCCTCACGAGAATGGCTCGAGGCCATCAACCCCGGTAATATGCCATCCAGCTTCGAGTCGATGGCCTTTTTCATGAGCTGCTTTCATCACATTGCCACTCTCACGCGCGCGGTCGCCAACCAGCTCGCCCTCCCCTGTAAACGTCCCGGCCGCGTCGATGTCGCCGAGTTCTGCAAGAACACGCGTGTCATCTGGAAAGGCGTGCGCGACCTGTATCAGGAAATGAACGGCAAGGTCGAGGAAGTTCTCTCTCTCGCCAAGGAGGAGATCTTGGGCTTCTCGCCGGTCCATGTAAGTTTAAGTTGACAGACTGAATGTCCACTGACAGCATAGCAATTCTGCAGTCTTCGCCTGGCAACGACCTACATTCTTCTGATCATGCAGCAGATTATCCAGCAGTTGCTCGACTTCCGCAAGCGTCTTCACGAGGCGTACATCTTCGACGACAACGTTCCGCTCCAAGCGCAGCCCGAAGCCGCCCGCGTCTCGGCGCTAAAGGAGCTGCACGCCCAAAGCATTGATATTCTCCTTGCCAACGTTCGCGCTCAAACCCCTTTGTTCGAGACGCTTCATCCTACTGGCTTCATGCAAGGTGCCTCGATGATTGCGCGCGTGTCCCTCGCTGCTGCGCAGTTCCTCTCCGAGGTGCCCACAAACGAACAGGGTTATCCGAACCACACCCGTGGCGGTGTCGACTGGACATGGGAGAACAAGCAGGCCGAGGTGGACAGCTGTGTCAAGGCGTTGCGCCAGCTGGTGAGCAGTCCACCGAGTGGGTTAGCTGACAGCTAGGGCTGGGCGTGGGCCGATGTTTCACCTGTTCTCAGCAAGATCAAAATGAATATGGCTCGGATGACACCATCAGACGAGTCTTTGCTGTCATACGCCTTTGAGGCGCAGAACATCTCGGAGAGTGCCGCCCAGCAGGCCGCCAGGCGTAAATCTGACGGGCGTCGCGATTCACAAGCCCTGGACGCCGTACTTGAATTCTGGCCACCAGCGTGAGTTCTGCGACGTCATGGATGGCTTCCAGCTAACCAGCAGCTCCGTTCCGAAGAAGCTTCGCCACATGGATGCTGAGCAGTACGCCGTCAGGCGGCTGCGCGCGCTCGACTACGGCCGCGGTAACTTTGAATATCAGCCCATTCCCCTCCATGGTGTTTCCCTAGAGGCACCAGTGAGCTCCAGCTCGCTTAACGGTGCGACCAACGAAACCCCCGTATCCTTGGCGTCTGCCATGATGAACGCAACACCTCGCCACTCGTGTCCGTTCTCTCACAACCCCCTTCACCCCGTTAGCGAGGATTATACCTTCGGTTCATCAGGAGGCATCGGATCCTCGACAGCTGCGGGATGGGCTGCACATGGTGCTGGCATTCCTACTCCTGGACCTGAGCCTGAGCAGGAGGTTGTGCTACCGGGAAGCGACCTCGCAGATTTTGCCGACTTCACGGACGCCAGGCTCCAAGCAGATCTTGAAAGCTTCTTGGAGACGTTCGTCGGGGGGATGCAAGACATGGGTGAGCCCCCCCAATGAGAAGATGGTGAGCGAGAAGGGGATGGGCGGCTATGGCGTGAAAGAGAAGGAGGAAGGGCGAAGGAGTCTTGTTCTGGTCATTATTGTGTGAAACCGTGCTGTGTCATGTATTCTAGCAACATAGATGTGTGTAACATGTACAAGAGTTATAGAGTGACATGGACTCCCTGCTCTGCGCTACTGTGAGGTACAGTACCACATTGTCTGTGACTTGGCTGCCACTCGTTCGCCATTTGCCTGCCACTCGTTGAAGTGCCACAGTCCCCAGCTCAACTCAGTGATCGACACAGTTGATCACGACGTTACCCGTCAAGTGCAGCATCAATTGAACGCCGCCCTGCACTTGAAAGCGCTACTGTATTAGATCAGGGAGGCGTCCTGTGTCGACTCGACCCCGATCAATTGACTCAATATATGTGAACGAACTCAACGGGCCGCCACTTGACTCGGACCGCTTTGAAGGCCGGAATGCTCGGCATATCCGGTTCAATTGAAACACCGACCTTTCCCCGAGCAATCCAAGGGAAGGGGCAATTACGACTCCACGGGCATGCATGATGCCCGCCCCTTCCCTAGGATTCCCGCGGCTCCCCCGGTGCCCGCCGCGTATGCATAAAGTGTCCCTGAAATCAGCTTCCGTGAGACATTAGGGGCATGCGGTGCGCACTGCCCCAAGGCCCAGTGTTCAGTGTCCACAGGGGCGAAGGTGTTGGGCTTTGGCGCTAGGGACTGTAGGCTTGGAGACGGAGACGCAGACGAGCATCATACGGAGGTCACGGAGCGAAGCGAGGCGACTACTGCCAGGCGAGGATGAGGTGGGTGTGCGGGGAATAGAGGGGTCGCGTCGCGTCGCGAATTTTACGAAGCTTGCGCTCAAGCTTGCTATGCTGGCGCAAGAGGCTGGACGTGAGTGATGTCATTCGCCGTCGGGCACGACTGGAAGAGCCGGAGGCTGAGTCTAGTCAATGCGATGGCGGTGCTGCCAGTCAAGATGTGCAGGAGCCGTCGATCTCCTCGGGTGCCGCGGAACAGTGCCTGCCCCACCGTCTTTTGTGGAACAGCTCCACCAAGTGCATGGAGTAGACGAAGAATGGAGGGGTCAGTCACGAGACATTGAGCTCGGTAGAGTCGAAGGCCTAGAAGTTTACAAGTATGCGGCCGGACTCGGCGGCGTGAACCTTCGGATCGGCCCAAGCGTCCGTCCCAAACATACACGAACAGTCAAGGCGGTACATTTACAACAGGCAGTGCTGCTCGCCGGTCACGAGTGAGTGCGAGGAACCGGCTCTCCACCAACCAGCTCGACGCGGCTGGCAGCTGGCGGTATGTCGCTCACGTGCACCCCCTCCCTGTCGCCCTTGATCGGCACCAACTCCGGCAACCACCGCCGCCAGGCCTCACAGCTGACGCCAACGCACCGCCGTCGATCACTCATCCCTCATCACCCGCGTTTCGCGATACATGACACGAAACTCATATCTACATTCTTTCCATCGCTACTTTCCGCCGGATCCAGCCGCCGCGCCACCCAACCACCCCATTATCCTCACCCACCCCACCATCCTCACCCACCGCGCCCCCCCTCACTCATAACCGCCGCCGCACAAATACCAAGCACGATTCTGTACACTCTGAGCCACCTGCCCTCGCCCCCGCCCTCGCCCTCCCCGATGGCGGACCCACCGACGCCGCCGCTGGCGCGTGAGTTGGGGCTCAGCGCACTCTTCGTCCTCACTGGCGAGCGTAATGTGAGTCGAGAGTCGACGGAAGTTCGCGACGTGATATCCGCCGTTGGGCTGTCGCACTCCGCTGACGTCAGGCCGTTATGGTGTACGTGTCGGAAAGCATCGCCGAGATACTGGGCTACGAGCCGGGCGACCTTGTCGGCAAGACGAGCTACCTCATCTTCCACCCGGACGAGATCCCGTTGTTACGCGAGATTCACTTGTGAGTTTGGCTGGATCTGAAGGGGCGTGTTGGTGCTGACGCGGCGTCATTAACTTGCTTCAAATTATGCCACCTCCTCCCTGCCCCACATCCGCCAAACACCAGCTTCGCCCTCCAGCACGAAAAAGTGGGGTGCATCATGTACATGCGCCTCCTGCACCAGCGGGGCTTCTACGTCGACTGTGCCGTGACATAGTGAGTTGACGGACGACGCCCGGCCGAAGCTGACAATCAGCTCGACAGTATATGATCTGACTGTTGGAATTGTGACTCGTGCAATCAACGGGCCAAACGTCATCCGTGAGGAGGTGCGCGATGGCGCTGACATGCAGGATTGGCAGCGACGGCGCGCGAAGTCGTCGAGGCACGCGGCGGCGTCGACGGCGTAACGATGCAAGTGAGTTCTCCATCTACTCTACGCTCGATCTACCCGGGCCCTTGATCGTCCGATCGCAGAGTCTCATCTCACCTCCCGTTTAACCTTACCACCCCGCTCACACCAGCGCTGGTCGACGCCTCCCGGCTCCCGCTCCCCCACGGCCTCCCCGCTGCCCCCGAACCCCCGCAAACCCTGGGAATCCGATTGGGTGCGCGCGCCACCGAGCCCACGCACCTTTTTCCTCCTGGACCGCTTCACGGACACGGCACGCATCATGTTTGCAAGCAACACGCTGCTGGTCGACGCGGCGACCGACACGAGCTTCTACGCCGTCGTGCGCCCGCAGGACCGCCCGCGCGTGCGCCAGTGGATCGACGCCGCCAAGCTCTGGGCACCGGTCGTGTACGACGAGGAGCGGACGGGCGGGCACGGATATCTTGTGTTCGACGTCATGAAGGTAGGTTTGGCAGTGGGCGGAAGCGGATGGGGATGAGGAGGAGAGGAGAGACGACGGAGGGACAGAGAGGAAAAGCTGACATCAGATCCCCGACCCCCCGCCAGCAGGCCAAGCTGAGCCACAGGGGACCGAGGAAAGCGTGCGCGTCGACGGACAGGAGTTTATCAGCGTCGAGGGCATCTTTACGGCGTCGTCGGATGGCATCGCAGCCATCATCACGCCCGTGACAGATTAGCAGGGTGATGACTTGAGACAGGCGTGGAGGGCTTTCCATCGCATACCACGCCTGACATGGACTTGGCGAGCGGCGGTGGTTGGCGAACACAGAGCATTGAACACTGTATTATCTATAGCATATCTTGGCGTATGAGAGGCGATGAGGCAATGGCAGATGGAGTTGGCGTAAGAATATTGGAGGGAAACAGCTCACATCTCCTCCTGCCCAAGTCTTGACACTCAATACTCCGTCAACGTTCATTGTGAGATCAGCATCAGAGATTCATGTCAGTGACATACACGGACAGCCCGGAGAAAACAGTCCTGCTCGTTGTCACCACCCTTCACAACCCAATGGCGCCGCGCCCCCACACACTCGCGGACGTCTACATCGCCATCTGCAAACTAGTCGTGGCTTGTCCAGGGTATATATCTACCGGTCCAATTGCGGGCTGTAATTCGTGCGTGCAGAGCACTCCTGTTGCAGCGGGGTCGGTGTCTTTGCGGCTAATGAACGTAAGAAAGGGAAAATGTGGGTGGGAGATATACACCCGTGCTGCTTCATCGTCCTATCCTCCTCGCGCACCCTCTTAACCCTCTTATGAGAGCTGCATGGGCTCTGACCGGTCGTCGCCCGTCGTGCGCTCGTACGCTTTTGTCGCAAAATACCTGACATTAGTGGCCCGCATTAATAAAGAGCTCACCGGACATCAGCGTCGGAGTCCTCCTGGAGCTTTCGCAAGGTGGGAAGGATACGGCGCTGAACGAGGTCCTGACCCTCGGGGTCGTTGGAGAGGACGGCGGCCAACGTCTCAAGGCACTTCGCGACGTTGAAGCGGATGTTGGGGATTGGGTCCGAGACAAGGTTCAAAGATGCGTCGAGCACCGTGTCGCGGATAATGGCGGTGTTGAGCGAAGGCGCCATGGTCGTGATCGCGAATATCGTCGTCATGCGGTAAAGGTAGTTGGGGTGCTCGCCCATCTGCAGAACCTTGGGGATGATCGTCGTGCGGGCCCAGTCAACACCGAATACGTCCGTGAGCTTCTTGAGATTGATAGTGGCTGCCTCGCGGATGCTGAACACGGTGTCGCCGAGCCACGACATGCAGAGCGCGCCGAGCTTGTCGTCAAAGAACTTGACGCCGAGCTGCGTTGCAAGCAGCGGGATGTACTCAATAATCGCCTGACGGACGCGCCACTGCTTGTCCTCCGCCAACTCCATGATGGCAGGGAGCAGGGCCTGCGAAAGACGCTCAATGCCAATGACTGCGGTTAGCCAAAGTACCCAACCAATGATGACTGGGACTCACCGTTGTTCACCATCTCAAGCTTGGAGATGAGGTTGAGACGAACCTCACTGAACTCATCCTTAAGCAGGTGAAGGAAGAGAGGCAGAAGGTGCTCAATAGTGGCATCCTTGCCAAGCAACGGGGCGAGGCCGGAAATCTGCATGGCAAGAGCAGCACGGACGTGCTGGCTCGAGTCATTGGACAGCTCCTTCACGCAGGGAAGAAGCTTGTTGAGAATGACGTCGGGGTCAACGAGCTTGCCAAAGCCCGGCACCTGGCCAGCGGCGGCGGTGCGGACCTCAGCCTCCTGGTCCTTGAGGAGGCCAACAAATGCGTTGACCAGCTCCTCGCGAACGATCTCGGGGCCCACCGACTCGGCAAGCCCAACGAACTCGTTCGCAACCATGTAACGGACACGCCAGCTCTTGTCCGAGACGGACGCGCGGAGGGGCTCAAGGAGCTGCGCCTTGGTCTCCTCGTGTGACATGTTGGACGCGAATGCGATAAGGTCGGGGATCGTGAGAAGGCGCACCGAGTCCTGGTCGTCGGCTGCAAGACGGCGGTACAGAGGGATAAGGTCGGTGAGGAGAAGGGTGTGCTGCTGGGGCACCTGGGCGACTGCCTTGGCGAAGGGCTGTGAACGTCAGTCTAGCCATCAGGAGCGACGTACACCAAGAGCACGGGCGGCAGCGCGGCGGACCATGGGGGTATCGTCGGCGACGAGCGTCGAGAAGAGGCGGCGCATCTCGTCCTGCGCCTCGGGGTTGGCCTTGGGGTACGCAGCCGCAAAGAGGGCGCATGCCGACGTGCGCGAGGTGAACCAGTCACCGGTGGAGAGGCGACGCAGGAGAGGTACAAAATGCTCGTCAATCTGCTGAGGCGAGAGGTCCTTGGAGATGTTGGAGATCGACTCGGCGGCCTTGTCGCGCACCAACGTCTCCTCGACGGCAGCGAGGTTCTCGAGAGGACCCAAGATAGTGTACGCATACTGCTTACCGCCGACGTACTCGGTGAAGCTACCCAGCTCCTCGGCGAGCACCAGCAGCACCTCGTCCTCGTCGTCGAGCTGGTCCTAATCGTCAGCGGAGTTCAGGCGCGTGCGCGGCATGTATCTTGATGCCGTACACGGCTGTCGCGGGCGCGCCAAGTGGCACGCAACAGCGGCGTCGTCAACCGCGCCAAACCCACCTGAAGGAAAGGAAGGAGTTCCTCACGCGTCCGGGCAGGGCCGAGCGCGAGGGCGATGGTGCTCAGTCGCTTAATGGAGCTGAGACGGAGCACAACATCCTCTGACTTGAGCTCATCCATGAGCAAGTGAATGGGGTAGAGCGAGCCCGCCTGAGCTGCGGATGGGGACGACATGGTATCTGTGATGTCGTGTTGACGAGTGGGACAATGTCAAAGAGCGAGTTGGTGGAACTAGAGGGGAGGGCGGGAAGCGCCAAAGCAGGAAGGGTGATCGAGTGCTCGTGCAAAGGCGTTTAGGCAAGGGGAAGGGCGGTCGATGCGCTTGTTGGAGGGAAAGCAAGATGCGCGTGGAGGCTGGAGGAGGAGGAGGATAAGGAGAAGAGGCGGGGAGCGTAGGTGGGAGGGAGGGGAGTCTAGATGATGAGAGCGAGAGGGGTGATGAAGAGGAGGTGAGTCGGGATGAGGATGAAGAAGGCGAGTGGTTGAATCGAGGTGTTGGGCTGAGTGGGGGTTGTGACGCGTGCGTGCGGTGTGGCTTCCAGCGCTGGACGCTGGCTGGCTGCTGGCTGGCTGCTGGCTGCTGGCTGGGGTGGTGGGTGGGTAATTGCTCCCGGCTTGATGGCGGGCTTGAGGTGGCCTGGTCTCACCGTAGCACTGGTAGCCTATATCATCCTCCTACTTTTCCACGTGGCATCACTCCCTCTAATATCCCCGCCAGTGTGGCACCAACATCTCCCAACCTCCACCGGACATGTCCACCCTCATTCCCACCTCCACACGCAATCACTTGCAGCATGGTGAGTAACACCCACTCGCTGCACACGCCGCTCATATGCGTTCAAACATGATGCATCTATCCCCTACACTGCGCTCTCTCATACATGGCTCTAGTCGATGTCCATCTCCTGCTGCTCGGCCGGCGGGTCCTGGTCCATCTTGTCGTCCTTAGGAGTCTGGGTCCCAGGGGTCTCGACTTTCGCCCTGGGCTTGGGGCGGTTCATGATCGAGGCCGAAGTGTACTGAACGTCCTCCCTGCGGGTGTTCATCTCCTCAGAAGTGACAACGGGGTTGACGTTCTTGGGCTTCTCGGCCTGGCGGGCGAGCTGGTTCTCAAGCCACGACAGAGTGTTGGCGCACTTCTCAATAACCTTCTGCTTGTCCTCGTCCGAAATGTGCGAGTACTGCTCCTCGCCGTTCTGAGCCTTGCTCAAGAAGTCGTTGCAGACCTCGCGGAGCTGGGCAGCAGCCTTGGGCCGGGCCTCGTTCTCGCGCCAGCGGAGGGCGATGGGGTCGCCGATCTTCTTGAGCGCGTCGAGCTTGGCAACGTACGCCGACTTGGGCGCGTCCTCACCCTCGTCGGTGTAGAGCCAGTCCTCGGCCTCGGTAAGGCCGGCCAGGAGAGTCTCCTTCTCCGAGGCCTGGGCGTAGAGCTTGTAGCGGTCGTCAAGCTTGCCGCGGGTCTCGTAGACGTACTCCTCGAGGGCGTTCTTGCGCTCCTCAGTCTCCATGACAAGCTTGTCCGAAGCGGCCATCTTGCCCTCAGCCTCCTGGTAGTCGTTGATGAGGTTGGAGGGGATGGTGTTGTACTGGGCGATGACCGGGTAGTCGCCCTTGCGAACGAGCTTCTTGACCATCTTCTTCTCCTCCTTCTTGTCCTCGCCCTCGCCGGTCACAATAACCTCCTCCTTCTCAACCTCCTCCACCTGGTAGGCGCCCTCGAAAGAGAGGATGCCGTGAAGGTTAAGACGAGTCTTGACCTTGACGCAGGCAAGGTCGCCCGAGGCGGTCTTCTCAACGTTCTTGACGGTGAAGCGGCCGATCTCGGGGTTGGTGCCCTTCGAGATGTCAGCCGAGGGGTGGTACTTGGCGTCGATCGAGAAGGGGCCCTGGCGGTAGAAAGTGAGGAGCTTGGTCGAGGGGATGTCGTTGCCCTCCTTGAACACGATAAGCTCAGTGTCCTCGTCGGGGTTTCCGGGCTCCTTCTCCCATCCGACCTGGATGGGGTAGGGGGTGATGTCCTGGACGGCAAACTCGCGAACGCGGAAGACGGGCGAGAGCGAGGCGCAAGCGAAGGTGGCACCACGGGCAACAGCCTCGTCCTGGTTGAGGGTGAACGACAGAGGCTTGCCGAAGTAGGCCTGGAGACGCTCCTTGATAGCGGGGACACGGGTCGAGCCACCAACAAGCTCAATCGAGTGGACCTGCTCCTTGGTAAGGCCAGCCTGCTTCAGGGCAGCGTCGAGGGGGCCCTGGAACCGGTCAAGCAGGGGGGCGATCATAGCCTCGAACTCGGCACGGGTGAGCGAGCCGTTGGCATCAATGTCTGGGGCGAGCGACTCGACGTTGATGGGAGCCTCCGTGTTTGCCGAGAGGACCTTCTTGAGGCGCTCACAGCCAGCGGTGAGACGGAAGATGGTCTTAGGCGACGAGAAGCAGTCAATCTTGTACTTGGCGTTGAACTCCTTGGCGAAGTGCTCGACAAGGGCGTAGTCGAAGTTACGGCCACCAAAGTTGCGGTCGTGGGCAACACCCTTGACGACGAGCTGGCCCTTGGAGAAGGCGACAACAGCGACCGAGTAGCACGAGTGGCCGACGTCGACGAAGACGACGTGGCGGGCCTCTTCCTGGGACTCGGGGAGGTCCGACTTTGTGATACCGTAACCGAGGGCGGTGGCGGTGGTGTCGTTGATGAGGCGGAGAGGGTTAAGACCGGCAATCTGGCAGGCGTCAATGAGGGCGCGGCGCTGGATGTCGGTGTAGAAGCCGGGGACGGCGATGACGACGTCCGAGACGGCCTGCTTCAGCTCGGCGGCAGCAGTGTCACGGAGCTTGCCGAGGTAGGCGCCGACGAGCTGGGTGTACGAGAAGTCCTCCTGCTCGCCAAGGTAGTTGACCTTGACACCGACCTGTCCGGCGACGTCGACGAGCTGAGCGTTGATGAACTTCTTCTCCTCGGTCTCAATCTCGGGGTCGTTGGGCGAGCGGCCGATCATGCGCTTGAGCGAGCCAACAGTGTTCTTAAAGTTGGAGGTCTCGGCGGTCTTAGCCGACTCGCCGATGAGGCGCTGTCTAGGAGTGAACGAGACGAGCGAACTGGAAAGGGGAGCGTGCGCGAGAGTGAAGGACAAGGCGTGGCAGGAACCAGAAAGGTGGGGCAGGCGCAGCGTCAGCATTAGGGTACGAGCGAGTAGGCGGGCATGATGGAGCAACTCACGGAGTGGAACGGTTCGACACCTCGTTAGTGATGATGTCGATACCGCGGTGGCGGGCGACACCAATCTTCGAGGACAGGTTGCCGAGATCGATACCGACGACGCTCTGCAGGGTTAGTGACGAACTCCGGGGGGTGCTGAAGGTGATGCGCAATCGCTGGTGCAACGGGGGGACTAGACGTCGACTTTAGCAGCGCAGCAAGCTGCTTGGAACAGCTCATCTGCCGCGCCGGCGTGACCGGCGATAGCCCACGGAGAAGTGCAAAGTCTCGGTAGCCCCGATGCGATGTGGAGCTGCGAGCTGCGAGGTGCGGCTGGAAGTCAAGTTGTGTACTCACGGCCATGGTGATTGATTAGAATGGGTTGTAGAGGGGAGGGGAATGCAAAGTGCTAAGGGGGAAGAGATGCTCTTGTCTTTAGAGCTTTTGAACACGAGCAAGAGGGTGGAGTGGGTGGACGAGTGTGGCGGAGGGAAGGTGGTGAGGAGGGATGAGGTCGGTGGCAGGAATAATATCGGCTGGGGTGGAAAAAGAATCTAGCAAATACTACCGTATTCGACACGCAGCCGCCATTCAAACCCCCCTCTTGGCTGCGGAGAATCCTCCGATCTCCGATGTCCAACTGTGCAATGGACCGTGTCCGTCGGCTGAAAACTTTATCAGAAATATTCACACAGGTACACAGATCCAAGTCGCTGACGTGGCATTACTCACGTGCAGAGCACATGGATGGTTGTAGTTTAGCCTAAATCTTTGGTCAACGTCGGCGGAATCATGTCCTGTCGCGTGTGTCGCACGCGTGAACATGCTGGGAAGTCGAACGCGTCGAAAACCGGACGCGTCGAGTTCAATCCTCCGGTCTGTCACCCAATTATCACGGCTGACCCAGCATGGCACAAAATCCAATGCTTCCCATGACCTCGTAGATGCTTCATATGCACAGCCAACGCACGTCTGCTGCAGTACAGCATGTCAAGGGCCCAGGCCAGCGGCCAAGACATGTAGCAGCACATCACATCAAACTGCTGATCCCTGGCGATCGCGGATGACGACACGCGACGCGAATGTCTTTGCCTTTTTCAGGTATCCTGTATCAGGTATTGCCGTGCCGCGACGCGGGAAAGGGGCAGTTTGCAACTCTAATGCGACTGCCGCCGGAACGCACTTCACGCTCATCGCACTCGCTACAAGTCTTGGCTGTCCCGACGCTTCCGGCATCGTGGTTGGCAGCACCTACTCATGCCACTCACCCACTCCCTGCCCAGAACGCGGGAGGCAGTGTTTCTCCGTTCCTGTGACCTGAGACGCGCTCGACTGACTTTTGCTATCCGTCAAAGCCGGCAAGCTGGTGTGGCCGTCCTCCTCGTCTGATCGTTCTTAACCCCTGCTCTCTCCTCCCCAAGCCCTCGTCCGTCCAGTCTGTCCCAACTACTCACACTCGTTACCCACACTCGTTTACCATGCGCGCCGCCCTCCTCGCCCTCCTCCCCCTCGTCGCCCTCGCCGAGCCTCTCGCCCCCCGCGGCGTCGTCGGCGCCCCGGCCACCGTGCACCCCCGCCAGAACTCGGGCGCCGAGCGCTGGGCCCACGCCCGCAAGCGCGGCGGCGAGTATCATGGCGGAGGCACCAAGAAGTGCCGCCCCCGCCCGAAGCCTGAGCAGCCGCCCGCGGAGGACCAGCAGCCACCTGCCGAGGACCAGCAGCCACCCGCGGAGGACCAGCAGCCTCAGCCAGAGCCCCAGCCCGAACCTCAGCCAGAGCCCCAGCCAGAGCCCCAGCCAGAGCCCCAACCAGAGCCCCAGCCAGAGCCCCAGCCAGAGCCCCAGCCAGAGCCCCAGCCGGAACCCCAGCCAGAGCCTCAGCCAGAGCCCCAGCCGGAGCAGCCGCCCGCCGAGCAGGGCGGCGGCGGCGCGACGTACAACTCGATCCGTACGACGTGGTACCACCCGATCGCGAGCTCGCAGCCAGGCGCGTGCGGGCAGTACCACGACGACAACTCGTGGGTCGTGGCTGTGCGGCAGGACTTCTTCAACAACTACCCCGGCGCCGTGTGGGGCAACTCGTACGCCAACCCCATCTGCGGCAAGCGCGTCCGTCTCGAGTGTGAGTTGATATGACGCGGCAGCGGCTGACATCAGACGAGGGGCGCGTGGTCGAGGCCACCGTCGCTGACTCGTGCGGCTCCGGGTGCCAGAACTACGAGGACCTCGACCTCACCCCCGTCGTGTTCAAGGCGCTGTACCGCGAGGGCAACCCCAACACGGGCGAGCTGTTCAACGTCAAGTGGACCATCTTGGACTAGAGTGGTGATGCCACAAGCGTCAATCTTCATGCTTCTTTGCCACATGCCACCACGCCCTTTGACCCAATGCCGATTCCATCGGCCACGATTTCGCCACGCCCTGTTTCCATCGCCCTTTTGTAGCCACAGCACCTCCTGGTAGGTACGTCTTGGTCTTCATGAACATTACTATTTGTCTTGGTGAAGTGACGTGACGTGTGAGCAGTCGTTAGTACGTATATGAGCTTCATACATGGGTTGGTTAGTCACAATCGGCTCTGTGGTCAATCACATAGCGACATCAACACATCCATCTCAGCGTTCCAACTCCTTCTACTGCACCTTCTTGCCCTTCTCGCGCTTGGCCTTGTTCATGGCCACAATGCGCTGGCTGGCAAGGTTGCGGATACGCTTGTGGAGCGACGGGCGCCAGTTGAAGAGGTAGAAGAGAGCCTCGATCTGGACGAAGAACGGTGCGGTGACGAGTGCTGATGTCAGCTTCCACGAAGCTCCTCTGCACTCACCCTGGGTAAGATTGTCAAAGAGCGCCGGTGCGCGGCCCTCGTACACGAAATGGCCGAGGAACTGCCAGAACCAGCCGTTGAGCCAGACCGCAAGGCCAAAGGGCAGTGCGCTGGCCACAGGGCCGAACGCGTACTGCCACGGCAGCCAGGAGGGGATGTGGTTGGCCAGGTATGTCGCGGTGAGGTACATGGTGGTCATGACCGGGAGGTAGGTCGCGCCGACGACCTCATTGAGGGTGATGTAGTAGATCTGGAAGACGAGGGCGAGGATGAGAGCCACGTTCGGGCGGAATGTCAGATACTCTCCAAGGTCGATGTAGGTGAAGCCGGGGATGTTGATGTGAGCCAGCATGATAAGCGAGGACCTGGGGTGAGCGGTGAGCGGCGAGTGAGTCGGCGAGGCAATGAGCATTGAGAGCGTACACAAGGCACGCAGTGACTGCCGCTTAGTGTACCAGGTATGGTAACCGGCATTAGTAGAGATGCACTCTTAGTATAACAAGCCTGCCGCATGCCCGAATAGTGCAGGGTCGCACGGGCACAGACACCCGCCACCATCCCGTCCCCGCAAGCTAGTGCAAACGCAGACTCACCAGAGAATCTGGGGGATGAAGAGGAAGTGGATGAGCTGGTTCGTCTTGTTGGAGTGGTAGGACATGTAGAACGCGAGCTGTGGTTAGCGCGTCGGCTGTAGGAGACGGGGAGGGGCGATTCGGCAGTGGTGAGGGTCGGGCGGAACGGGGCTCAAGGAGATGGCGGAGAGGCCATATCGAGTGCAACTCATAGTGGCCTCGATATAAGCGGAATGTGAGACATCGCCGCTAGGCAGGCAGCCAGACGCTCAGCAGACAGACGTATACCCACCTCGTTCTGCATGTGCTCGCTGGTGCTGTCGTCGGCTGCGTCGACTTGACGAGCGGCGGGAGTGGTCTTGGTCACGGCTTCGGCCATTGCAGCGAGTGTGATGGTGTGCGAGTGAGTGATGTGGAAGTGGCAAGAGAGGGATCGCCGAAGAATGGAAGATGTCCCCCGGATTGATATAGTGCGGGGACATGACGCATGCCGGCCACCGGCCAATGCCGCTTTCGCAATTGCCGGAATGTTGCACTTGCATCAACATCCTCCGGGCGCCTTTACGTCGCATCGATACGCGGTCATGAGTAGTTATCAGCAGCTATGAGCAGGCGCAGAGCAGTCACCAGCGTCCACAAGCGGTCTCGGAGGACCATGAGCGTCTCGAGCGACCATGAGCGGTCACCAGCGGCCGTCTGCATCCTGCGCACGTTCGTGTCGAGCTCTAAAGTCCTGTATGCATTCTCCGCTGTATACGTCTACACTGTCACAAACAACCGCAGGTCAAAGATCGCCACTCCTCCCGTACACTCTCCGCTGCTCGGGCACTATACCCCTTGCACTCGCGTATTATCTCCTCCACATCTCCAGAACAGCGCCGTTACAGAGCCGAGTGGGGAATCAACTCGCCCTTGATGGCCTTGGACACGTTCTCGGCAAAGTAGTCGATGTTGTGGTCATTCAACCCGGCCATGGAGATACGCCCGTCGCGCGTCATCCAGATGTGCGCATACTTGCCGAGGTTGTCGACCTGTTCGGGGGTCAGGCCAGTGAAGGAGAACATGCCGATCTGGGACTTGATGTGCTCCCACGAGCCGGGGGTCTTGAGCTCGACCAGGCGGTTGTACAGCTTCTCGCGCATGTCGATGATGCGGTCGGCCATCTTCTTCACCTCGCCGAGCCACTGGGCGTATAGCTCGGGGTCGCCAAGGATGGTGGCGACGAGCTGAGCCGGGTGGAGGGGAGGGGAGGAGTAGAGGGGACGGATGACGCGCTTGAGCTGCGAGGTGACGCGCTCCTTCTCGTCCGGAGACGAGGTGATCATCGAGAAGGTGCCGGCGCGTTCGCCGTACAGGCCGAGGTTCTTGGCGAACGACTGGCAAAGAGCGACCTGGTGGCCCTGCTCAACGAAGTAGCGGAGGGCAAAGGCGTCGCGGTCGACGTCACCGGACGCAAAGCCCTGGTAAGCCATGTCGAAGAAGGGGAGGTGGTGCTTGCGGCGGATGATCTGCTCGATCTCCTTCCACTGCTCGGGGGTAGGGTCGACACCGGTGGGGTTCTGCGCGCACGCGTGCAGGAGGATGATGGAGCCGTCGAACGCGTCCTCCAGGTCAGCCTTGAGGCCTTCAAAGTTGAGACCCATGGTCTTGTCGTCGAAGTACCGGTAACGGCGGACGGAGAGGCCAGCCTTCTCGGCGATGGCGGGGTGGGCGCCCCATGTGGGCTTGGGGAGGTAGATGGCGCGGACACCGGGGTAGAAGGCGGCGCAGAACTCCATGCCGATGCGCAGAGCACCCGTGCCCGAGATGGACTGGACAACGGCGACGCGGTTCTCCTGAAGAGGCTTGCTGTCGGGGCCGTACGCGAGCTTGGCGGCGAGGCCGAGGAAGTCGTTCAGGCCAGTGATGGGGAGGTACTCCTTGTCGGTGAGCTGGGCGTGGAGCTTGTCCTCGGCCTTGCGGACCGATTCGAGGACGTAGGGCTTGCCGTTCTCATCGCGCTTTGGGTCAGCGCTCAGTCCTCATGCCAAATCTCGCAGATGACTCACGTAGGCACCTGTTATCGCAATCACGGAGAAAGTTGCGGGCAGAAGGGGACGGTGGTCAGTGCGTGTTCGGCCCGGCGGCCCCGCCATCTCGCGGCCATTGACTTACCGACACCAACGTTGATCTTGTACTTGTTCGTGTCGCGGCGGAATGCCTCGGTGACACCTGGCTGTTAGCTCCGCACCGGGTGGCAATGGAGATCTCGAGAAGAGAAGCTGATGCTCTCCGACTGCGTTATCGCGCCAACCTCCACACGGCACCTGCCACACGCCACACGCCACACACGGACGGAGGTGCGATGGACGGGAAACGCGTGATCGACACACGTTCCGTGCCGTCATGTGTGCGGATCAGCCTGCCATCTTGAGCAACACCCTCAAATCTCCCGCACCGCGCGGAATGGAGCTCGCTGGTGTGCAGAGGAGTTGATGCGGTGGTGCGCAGCCCGAGTCGGATCGGGAGCGAGCGGTCTTCCGCATCTCTCGCTTGGTGGGCGAGCCCTTCGGCCGGGCCCACCGAGCGGCTGCTTCGCCAACCGGGCTCTGCCCAACGAAGCGAGCTTGTGATGTAGTAGGCCCGGTTGACTTGCTCACGCCCAGGATGGCAATGGTCGCAACAGAATCTCCAAAACAGCGAGACGCTGGATGTTCGACGCGACTCACCAAGAATTGGGTCGGGCGGGCTGGCTGTCAGAAATGTCACGCGATCTCCCACAACCGGCTGCTGCCACTCACCCCATGGGCACGCCGCGCCAGAACTCTGTGCAAGATGTGGAGGCCATGGTGACTGTAGTGGGGATGGTGAGGTGGGGGAGGGGAGGGGGACTGTGGGAGTGTTGATGCGTTGCTGAGATGAGCGAGAAGACGTAGCGATGCAAGTCGGAAGTGAGATATACTTGTGGGTGCAATGTGAGCAAGGTGATCCGGGCCGGATTTGTGCCCACCCCAGCTTCCGGTCCAAGCGGTGCGCGGTGACTCTGCGCCCATCAGCGGCTGCTGCTTCTTTACCCGGCCCCCTCTGGCCCCTCACGCTCTCGTTTGCCCTGAAAGCATAGAGGCACCAGAGGTGAGTTACCGGCGGTACGCGGGCTGCTCGGGCTGCGCGGGTTGGAGGAATCGGAGAGGGTTGGGCGGGGCATGGGCGGGCGGCGGGCGAGCGGAGGATGGGTGATTCGAAAACGGCCTGACGAGATTATTTGCCGTTCGAAAAGACTCGCCGTAATCACTCATCCTCCAAACAAAACTCGAAATTATCTTTGACGCAGCATGCAAGCCTGGGCCTCGCCACGACACCGCTACTGCGTCATTTCGAACCGGCCAAGCACTCGTAGATCCGGGCAGCAGAATGCTTATGCTTGCGCTCGCGCTCGTTTCGCGCTGCTGAAGAAAAACTTTCTCATTGTTGCGTTGGCCTTGTTGGGCGACCTCGCCGAGGTAACGCGGAGCCGTGTCATGTCATGCATGGCCTTTTGCTCGCTCAGCTGCGGTTCTGCAACGCTCATTCCATGCATGAGGCCACATGGGGGACATGGCCGTGCCATTTTGGTTTTCGCTCATCGCTCAGTCCGGCTGTCGCGTGTAGGCCCTGCGTCACCACGAGCACTCTGTCTGTCGGCCTGCTGCTGGCTGCCGCTGATGACTGACGGCTTCTGCCCTACCGTACCCTACCTTCTGCAAGCCATAGTCTCATCGTCCGCTCCTCTTCCACTGCGCCGACCGACTCGCTCACTCCCTGCACGACGAGGCGCTCGCCCGACCTCGGATCGGACCGCATGACGTTCCGCAGATTGCCGGATTTAATTGATAACCGGCTCTACCTCCCGACTGCGACTAGAGTTCCTGAAGCACGGTGCGAGCGCGTGCAGAGGAATCCGCGGCATGGTCGCGTCAGCAGATATTTGGCATTGCAGCATGCAGCACAGATACTACTAATCATCGCTCGAGAGCTGAGGGAGCGAGGGCAGGCGAGAGGAGGCCAAGATGCTGATCTAATACATGCATTCCTCGGCCGTGTCGGAAGGGCTGAGGGAGCAGGGGGCCTAGGGGGAGGGGTCAGATCACCGTCGGTGTCAGACACAGTCGGAAGCTGCTGATCGCTCTCGCCTCCGCTGCGATCCAGGTGATGAACGCCCCGGGGTTCGGAGATGCCTCACAGGCGGAAACTCGCGATGGAAGTGCATTGTGTAAGGTTGCAGGATGGAATGTCCGAGGACGGATGGCTCACTCGTTCGATTGTCCCGTATCCTTGGCGGCTTGCTTTCTGTCAGCCCCGCGAGCTCGCACAACCCCATGCATGTCCCGTGCCTCCTACAGGATGCTCGCTCGTCAATGGCTCGCATCACTCGCATCTCTTAGAACCACTTCTGTACTTCTGCAGCGCCATAACGAGATACCCATGGCCCAAGCGGCGTCAATATCTGACCCGCGTTGAGCCGCCTCTCTGCCTATTCGCCGATCCTGGCCATATCTGATCATGATCGAAGCTCGGTGCCCAGCTGCGTGGTCAATGCTCGCCTATACTTGTACCTCGACTGCGGGCACTGCACGCCGCGACACCGTGTCATCTGCGCTTCCGCAATCTCGCTTATGATGCTGGACACCGATTCTCACGCCTTACTCTCGCCCTCGACTCAATAACATTCTGCATAACCGCACTGACAACTACAACCCGAGGGTGCCAGCCCACCAAGCCTCGACGTACCACTCAGCGCTACTCTTTTTCTCTCCTAACGGCCAACAAGGCTCATGTGGAAGTCGGAGTACCGGGCGCCGGCAGGCTTAGCGTCCTCGACGAGGTCCCGAATCTCCCTCTCTTCTTCGCGGGTCAACTCGACATCGCGCGCCCCAAAGTTCTCCTCGACGCGCGCCCCCGTCTTGGTCCCGGGGATGGGGATGGCGCCCTGCGCAATAACCCACGCAAGCGCGAGCTGCGCCGGCGTGCACCCCTTCTTTTCCGCGAGGCGCACGAACGCGTCCACCAACTTGAGGTTGGCGGGGAGATGCTCCTTGTCGAAGCGCGGGATCGAAGCGCGCACGTCGCCCTCCTTGAAGTCGGCGGGGGAACGGACCGCGCCTGTCAGCACGCCCTTGCCCAGTGGCGAGTAGGCGATGATCGTCACGCCGAGCTCGCGCGCCGTTGAGATGAGGCCGGACTGCTCGTGGTCTGTGAACCAGGGCGAGTACTCGATTTGGAGAGCGTCGATGTGTGCGACTGGAGTTAGCGTACACGGGCACGTGGAGGGGATTGCCCGACGAGAGCAATGTGATGATCAGATTATTGCATGATGCCGTGGGCGACCCCATCAACGCTAGACTCACTCTTGCAGGCCTTGCGCAGTGTGTCCGCGTTGCACTCGCTCAAGCCTATGTACTTTGTCTTGCCCTGCGTCTTGAGCTTCTGCAGGGCCGCAATGCTCTCCTCGAGTGGCGTGTCTGGGTCAATGCGGTGGAGGTAGTACAGGTCGGGGTATGACCCGAGGCGTTCGCGCGTGTCCTCGATGTACTGGGCGATGTGGTCCGGCTTGTTCGTCACAGTCATCTGGAACGGCAGGTCGCCCTGTGTAGGCTTCGGAGTGATGTCAAAGCCGCACTTGGACGCGATGAAGAGGCGGTCGCGACAGCCGTTCTCCTTAATGAACTGGCCAATGAGTTTCTCGTTGTGCCCCTTGCCGTACACGACGGCCGTGTCCCAGAAAGTGCAGCCGAGCTCGAGGGCGCGTGCGAGTGTTTTGAGCGAAACGGCGTCGTCGGCCGGACCATAACCTTGCGAGAGACCCATGGCACTGTCGGTTAGCAATGACTGTGGCAGAGGGACTGGAGGAGCCAGGCGGAGCTGCAGTCGATGGGAATGGTGCGGCACTCGGCGGTTGGCGACCGCCGCGAGACTCACCCGAAGCCCGGAACGGGCACCTGGATATCCTGGAACGCAAGAGTCTTGGGCATAATTGTAAGCGGATGTTAGAGGGATGAGGGATGTTAGAGGGATGAGGTAGGAGCTGTTGATATAATGAGCAGAACAGCTGTTAAGAATCGTTCTCATATATATCTCGTTGTCACACACCCTTTCCCCACAATCGTGACATGATGACATCGCTGGTGGAGGTGGAGGCCCGGCTTATGCTCGGATAAATCAACCCAACCTCACCGGTGGTGATCCGGTCACCGGTGACCGGTCTACTTTTAACTCTACACTACAACTAGTCCCAGCACGGCTCACAACTGCGCTACAGGACGACCGGCGATCCAGCGTACGTACCAGAGTATGCGCGGGCGCGCATGGGGTGGCACGGCGGGGGCGGAGGCGGCGTCGCGGGCCACTGGGCGAGCGTCATGTCCCGAAACTGCTGAGCCGCGCTCGGACACATTTCCTGCTCAGAGGCAAAGGTGCGCAAGCTGCGCGAGCTGTACGCTGAGTTTCGGGTCATCATGCTCTCGCGCTCCTCAGGAACAGGAGAGAGAGAGCGGTGCGTAAGGATGAAGGCGTTGTCAAACTCATACTGCGGGGCAATTGCGCCGAAGGAAGAGGTGGAGCTGGTGTAAGAACTTGCGAGCACCCCAGTGGAGGCAGCATGCGGCCTCATTGAGCGGGCGGTGGTAGTGAAGAGGGTGGAGGAGTAGTGTGGAGGAGGGTGGAGGAGGAGTGGAGGTAGTGGAGGTAGTGGAGGTAGTGGAGGAGTGTGGAGGACGTCCAAGTTGCGGTGGAGGCTGGCCTGAAACGTTCCCGCCGCAACGATCCTGGACTCCCTTTCTGTCCCAAATCGTATATCGTGAACTCACCTTGCGTCGTCCTCATACTCCTCGTCGTCTGGTGGCCCGACGCACACGCCCTCGTCGACCTCATGCCGCGGCGGGAGTGGAGGCGGGCAGCGCGGCGTGCCCGGGCTACCTCTAACTGCACTGGGCGAGTACGGTGGCAGTGTAGAGATGTGAGTGCCGCTGCTCTGACCATCGGTCGCGCTGGATGTGACGCTCTTTAGGCTGCCTTTGCCCTTGACCTCGTGTATGAGTGGGGAGGGAGCAGCGGGGGAAGGAGGAGCCCGCTTTTGGCGCACGCGGACACGATAAATCTGGTGTGAGCCAGAACCAGCACGCAGCGTTGCACCAGCTTCAAGATAAGTTGGGGGGGAACGTGTGAAGGAAAGAGAGGTGCGTGGCGAGGTCACAGTGTCGGAGCCTGTCGTAACTCGGCCGGAAAGGAGTCCGTGGGGGGGGGAGGGAGGAAGGTCGCACAGGTCGCGCGCCCTGTCGTCGCAGACGAAGAACCGAAGTGATGCCCATGTCGGGAAGACTTACCATGAACGCAAGGACTACCAGCACAACCACAGCGACGGGCACGGCAATGGCGAGGATGAGGGTGAGTTTATTCTTCCCTCCCTCTCTGGGACTGGGCGCGGGGACTGCGCGCATGGCAGCAGCGCATTCGGACAGTGCCGGGTCACAGCTCGCACAGTTGAGGCAGTCGACGGCGATCGTGCCGCTGCGCGTCGAGAGGCGGGGCATGGTGGGTGATTGGAAGTGGACGACAGAAAGGAGGAAGGAGGGAGAGAGTGCGGAGGGCTCAGCCCTCGGACGGCGTGCAGATCGTGCAGGTTATGACTGCTGCCTTGGAGGGCAGAGGAATGTGGAGATCTGACGAGGCGGCGTTGGAAATGAAGCGAGACGAGGTGTGTACCGGACAGCAAAGACGAGAGGAGCAGAAGATGAAGATGAGAAAGGTGAGAAAGAGGAGAACGAGGAGAAAGGCGACGAAAGAGGGCAGTGAGGGAGGAGGGAAAGGATAAAGGATGGGATGAGTGTATGAGGTGAAGGGATGTCGTTTGAGGCAGGCCGTAGTTGAGAGGGGCGAACGCACCGACCATACTTCTCGACCCACGGATCCCCATATCGCCATGTCCTCACCTTGAGTATCCCCGTCTGCTGCCTTTGGTGCGCTGGTGCATCGTGTATGGGGCAATTGGTGGCTGCAGGCTGCAAGCTGCAGGCGTGCTACTGTGCACACACCACATCGTTTTCCGGTCTTCCACTATCCTCCATTCCCCTCCTCACTCAATGCGCCACTCAGGCCACAAAATAGGTGGGTGACGACATGCACATGCCAGATATGCCAGATATGCCAGACAACGATGGCCCCCGTGGGCATCGCAACCGCAAGGACGCCTGCGCCACATACCGTATCAAGACTTTGAAGCCCCTCGAATCCGCATATCGCCAAGAAATCCAGGCTTGCTGCACACTTTGCATGTCTGTTTCTGAACATGCGTGACTACCAACTACGAGCGACGGAGCAATAGAGCAGCGGAACCTCGGTGCTCCCACATGGGTGCGCGTACATTGCAATCTTGTTACGCAACCGCGACCCGACGCACAAGCCCGCACAGCTGCGCTGGCTCTCGGCACCTCTGGGACTGTATACAGACATGCCGAATGGATGCACAATGCTATGCTAGTAGTGGTGATGCTATGTAATGCTAGAGTAATGATGAAGGGTTTCCATTTTGATTAACAGGAAGGTTGAGTGGGTCGGAAGGCTTAGCGGCGCTCGTGCAGGAAAGTACATGCCTCTCCCTGCTTGCAGTCACCTATGAGCCAGAACCTGCACGGCCTAACGCGGTACGGAGCATTAGGGCGGCCGTTAGGCCCCCACTGCCCACGCCCGCCCTGTGCCGCGCGCTGCTGGTGCGCGTTGAAGCCTGACGCGCGGCTCTGGTCCCAGCGGTTGTTGAATCCCGCCTGGTTCTGTGAAGCCAACGATTGCGACTGCGACTGGTAGCTTGAGCCCTGGTTCTGGTTCTGGTTCTGGTTCTGGTTCTGGTTCTGGAACTGGCCCTGATAGCTAGGAGACTGATAGTCGGCTGACTGGCTGGCCTGGTAGCCGTAGTGCTGGTTTTGGTGTTGATTCTGGTTTTGGTGCTGGTTGTATTCGTATCCTTGGGTCTGGGCGGGCGGAGCCGGGATAACGGGAGCGGCAGGCGCCGCTGGAGTGAGGTAGGGAAGGTTGAGCTTGCTGAGAAGATCGGAGACGGACGAGGCAGCGGGAACAGCGGGAGCAGCGGGAGCAGCGGGAGCAGCGGGAGGAACGGGGGCAGTGACCGGAATCGCTTCGAGAGTCGCGGGGCTCCCTGCATAATGGTGCTGCGTATTCATTTGCTTGGTCGCGGCGCCCTGTGACACAATGCGCACACCAATGTCGTCGGGCGTGATTGGCGCCTGTCCAGCAATGTACGAGACGGCGAGAATAGCACGCTCGCGCGCCTCCTGCGCCACGGTTTCGGGAGTGGGTTCCGCTGGACCGACCTCCTGCGCCTCGTAGGGTGCTGGCGGTTTCCACTCCATGGCCTCTTCCACCTCATCGTATATCCGGTGATGCATGACGTTGCCCTCGGCGCGGTTCATGGCCTGCATCGAGTGCCCATGTGCACCTTCCTCCAGGCGCCATGGGGCAGGCTCGAGCTCGTGGGGTGCCTCAGTGAATTCGCGCACAGCGACGAGAGGCCGCTCGCCAGGGTTGTAGCCGGGCGCGTGGTCGACCCAGCGTACAGTGTGGCCTTTGCGGTTGACCTTGCCTTTCTTCGCCTCGGGGCGAGCTACTTCGGCCTTGACGGTAGGCGGAGGGGAACCCGGTCCGTTCTTCAATCGGTTCATTGTGCTCGCAAGAAGGGAGCCGGCGGGCGGGCGAGCAGGGCCGGCCGGGGCGCTGGGCGTCTGCAGGGGGGCCGGGCGCTTCTTGATCGCCGGCATGCCCCGCAGGTTCGGAATCTTGGGCTTAGTGTCTGTCTTGGGTGGACCGGAAAAGAATGACATGCTAGACGTCTTGCTGACGCTGGGCTTGACATCAGCCTTCGTGCTCGGCTTGATATCAGCCTTCGCGCTCGGCCTAACGGATGGCTTGTCAGTTGGCCTCGTGGTACTCTTGCTGCCTGGCTTAGCGTCAGGCCGAACGTCCTTCTTGCGCTTCTTGGCAATCCGCTCATCTTCGGATGAAGACGAGTCCTCGTCATCGCTCAGACGTCTGCCCTTGCGCAGCAGGTCGTCCTGTACGTAATTGAAGTATCGGTTGTAGGCACGCTCGATCACGGGCATCGTCTGAAGGTCTACATCGTCAGCGCTTGTGTGAGAAGTGCTTGGATACTCACTCGCTTCTTCACACTTGTCTCGGAGCTGGGCAGTTAATTCCCTAATGTTAAACTCCTCCATCAAGTCTACCGGCATGTTTGTGCGGGCGAGCAGATTGAACATATTGGTGACGCCTTGCTCGTATGTTTTTGGGTCGGCGATCATAGCCTTGAGCCAGCGGGCGAGGACTTCGGTGTAAACATCGTCATCGGCTAGCTTCCGGAGATATGTGTTCGAGACTCCCTTCTGGAGAGCATCGATAATCAATAGGAGCTGCTGGGGACTGGGCTTGAAAAGCGGCCGGTCTTCCGTGTCTTCATCCTCTTCGCGGCGCTTCCGGAACCACTTGAACAGCAACCCGGGTCGCTCGCGCTGCAAAGAGCCAGCGGTGAGGAGGGGTGCGATGGCGCCAAGATCCTTGTTGTTTGGGATCGCGGGAGCGGAGAACTTGTGCTTGCTCGCTGGTGCGCCAGAGGCAGGACGCTTGAGGGGGCGCTGGGGGGCCTGGTAAAAGGAAGACGAGTCGGCAACCGTCGCCAAGCTCACGCGAGGTGGAATACAGTCACCTGACACGCGTGGGACATCCAGCCGGTGACTGACGGCGTCGACGACCTTTATGGGCTGCGCGGATGGCGAAGAATTTCGTTCCTTTGCGAGGTCATCGAATGGCGAAGGCTCTGGCTCCTCAACTCCAGTGTCTGGCCCCGAGTATTTAGGACTGTCATCGCCGGTCAAGTCGACATATATTGGTGCAGCAGCAAGAGCAGCAGGCTGGAAGCAAACCGGTGGATCTGCCACAGTTGCAGACGCCGACCCCGAACCAAAGCGCGGATCTTGAGGTTGGAATTGGGGTTGAGGCTGCTGCTGCGGCTGCGGCTGCGGCTGCGGCGGCTGAAACTGATACTGCGCCTGATGCTGGGAATGATGCTGGGGCTTGTGCTGGAGTTGATGCTGGGGCGGATTCTGGTTCTGATGCTGGGTCTGTGGCTGCAACTGAGGCTGGGCGAGGTGCGACATCACGCCACTCGGGACGTTAAGAACGCTTGGCCCAGCAGACGCATTCCCGTAAGTCTGACTATGAGGTACCTGGTTAACTTGAATGTTCATAGGATTTGGTTGAACGTTGTTCATGTTCACGTATCCTTGTGGCGGTAACGTTTGCGGCTGTTGCTGTTGATGCTGGGAGATCGGCGTTGTCATATTGTCTGTGGCGTCAGCGGGTGCCACACACGGAAACAAATAGAGGGAATCCTCGCCCGGGAAGCGGAGGCAAAATAGGCATGCCGCGCGGAGCTGAGTGAAAGGTACGACGGCAACGGCGGAAGGCGCGCAAAACCGACATGACCCCTCTCAGGGTTTAACCGTTCAGCCCATCTGGTGGCAGGGATATCTCAGCGAGAGCGCAAGAGCGATTGAAGTGCATGGAGTGGGAACGCGGGCTGGCCAGCGGCGCGGCCGGAGCCGCGGCGAGACAGACAGCGTCGACAGGCCGTCCATGGCATACCTCAAGCTTAATGCTCGAGCTGTCAACACCGCGTTATCCTTCCCGCTTCGTCCTGCAGTGTCACAATGTGGCACACAGCAGAATCAAGGCCATCACGACCTACGCCGTCGCAAATCACCAACGACCCCCACTCGCGCCACTCGCAGAATGGTCCAACCACCACCGCAGTCTCCGCCTAGAGCGTACGCTTCGGTTATCTCGCAAGCTGTGCCTGCCCTCCGGTAGTGTGTTCAAAAGGTAATGCCATGTTCATACTTTCCCATGCCTCATCCCCGAGGCGTTGTCGACTCCTTTGCATAGACCGCAAGGGTCCTTGACACTTACTGTACAGCCCTTGGGCGATGTGTGACGGCTGTGTATATTGTTGAGGTTGAGCGACTTGGTAAAGAGGTGGCAACTGCGCCTGCGACGCTGGGGCTGGAGCCTGCTGGGGTATGTTGAGAAAGCTGAGGTCAATCCCAGGGTGGACGGCCTGGAGAGCTGCGGTCTCTGGCATTCCCTTTAGGACGTTGGTTCTCCAACGTAACCACTGTTCCCACGACTGTCCGGGTAGAAAAGGAAATGGACGAAGTTGAAGCTGCTGCCTCAACCAGTTCTGCAAGTGCGGTTGAGGCCTGTTGATGTCAAGTATCGGCGGCAATCGGTCGTTGATGTGTTGTTAGGAAGGTAGCGGGGTGAAGGATTTGGAGGGCGTGCGGGGCGTGTGAGTTGCAAAACAGCGACTAGGGGGAGGATGCGTACGCAGAGGTCTGAATTATTGCTTCCACGTTGGCGGCCATGCGTCGATAATGGAAACAGAGAGTGGACGGAGGAGAGTAATGAGGATGTGAAGGTCTGGATGGGGAGGAAGAAGATTGGTGACTGAGCGTCACTGTACCACGGGGTTCAGTCTAGGTGGGGTCGGAAACTACAGAACGACACAAGACCCAATTGTACGCGCCGTGTATTGCACACTACGAGGAGGAGAGACCTGGTCTGCAAGTGCGTCTGTGAGCAGCGAGAGGGTGATGCAGGATATGTGAGTTGATGGAAGAGTGTGAGGTGTTGAAGGAGAGGATGATGATGGAGGCCAGATCAGTCAGAAGAGTCTGCGCTCAATTGGTGCAGCCATTAGGAAATCGGGCTAGGGTGCTTAGGGGCGAGCTGGGCAAGAGAAGGGCGAGAGTGGCGAGGCCGACGACAAGCGTTCGAGGCACACTCTGTACAGCCAATCAGCGCGGCGTATCCATTGTGTGGCACTTTAGGTTCCGCCGTCCTCGGCTCACAGGCCACGCCACCCAAACCACGTGTCATCACACACCTCCACCTTTAGCGCTAGCGGCAGTGATCGTCACTCAGTCACTCGGTGCCTGCCGAAGCTGGGTCCACGCACGAGCCTGCAGACAGCAAGCTCTTCCAACTTTGGCCGACATCACCATCTCCACATCTCCATCTTCTCCTTGCTCACTCAATCTTTCCCACGGGGCCCGCCATGTCTTACTCTCCAGGCGCCCATGGGCGCGACGAGGAAGCGGTCCCCATGGTCATCCGCGCCCGCTCTCCACAGCCCCCGACCGCCGAGGAGCTCGAACAGCAACATGTCAAGTGCGTGGCGCTTCCTTCCCTGCTGACCTCAGGCGATATGACGACTTCAGCACAGTTGGTGAGCAAAGGTTGCAAAGCACCAAGCTGATCTTAGATTGGATCCAGGACTCGCTGCGCGAGCGGCATCCGCGCTCACATCGCCAGCCCAGACCTGGGAGTCTGAGGGATCGCCTGAATAATCTTGACGGCGCACCGGGGTGGCTATGGCGCCTTCTCATGCGCGCCCTGCGCGAAGGAGAGAGCTATGTCATCATTACTTTGACTGGTACGCCTCGCGTCTGATTGAGATCTAATCCCAGGCATCGGAATCGGGCTGAGCGCTGCATTAATGTCAATCATGACGGCGTGGCTCGCCGATCTCAAACTTGGGCGGTGCTCGACCGGCTGGTGGCTCAGCCGCAAGTTTTGCTGTCTCGAAGTATCAGATGAGGGCGAGAGCTGCGAGGAGTGGAACCGTTGGGGTCTGTTCCAGCCGTTCCCGTGGATCGCTTATGTCCTGTATGCTGTGAGCTCACATGATCAGCGTGCGGAGCTGACCTCAGGCTATGTTCGCATTCACAGCCGCATACCTCGTCCGCAGCTTCGCACCATATGCCGCCGGCTCAGGTATCTCCGAGATCAAGTGCATTCTTGGAGGGTTTATCATCAAAGGATATCTCGGGCTCGAGACGCTCATCCTCAAGGCTATGACTCTGGTGAGAGCAACGCCGGCGTCACTAACTGCAGCCACTCGCCATCGGATCCGGTCTTGCAGTTGGCAAAGAAGGTCCCTCCGTACATGTTGCGTGCGCCGTTGGTAATGTGGTCGCTCGACTATTCCCACGATATCGTGACAGCCAGTGTGAGTCCCGTCTGCCATGCCTCTGGCCCCATTGACCAGAAGTAAAAATGCGCGAGATCTTAACAGCATCCAGCGCCGCTGGTGTTGCTGTTGCTTTCGGCTCCCCCATTGGTGGTGTGCTCTTCTCTATTGAGGTGAGGTTTCATCTACGTCTGACACTGACTTCAGGAAATGAACCAGGCATTTTCCACAAGAACAATGTGGCGCAGCTTCGTCTGCGCCTTGGTCGCGACTTTCACCCTTGCCTCAGTCGATCCCTTCCGGACTGGCAAGCTTGTCTTGTTCCAGGTCTCGTACGACCGCGATTGGCATTACTTCGAGATCCCAGCGTACATCATTATCGGTATCTTTGGGGTGAGTCTAGTTCGGAGTCTCAGAACCCATGTTGCCAGTCGGCTAATCGATAGGGCTGCTACGGCGCGTTCGTGTCCAAGTTCAATATTCAAGTTGCCGCGTTCCGTCGGAGGCATCTTGCCGCTCACGGCGTAGCCGAGGCTGTCATTCTTGCGACTATAACGGGTTTCATCTCTTACCTTAATCGCTTCCTGCGCATCGATATGACGGAGATGATGTCCATCCTCTTCCGAGAGTGCGAGGGCGGTGGCGACACCGATGGTCTCTGCCAGGCCTCCTCACAATGGAGCAACGTAAATTCGCTTCTCATAGCTACGATCCTCCGCATCGGATTCATCATTGTCACGTACGGTGCCAAGGTGCCCGCCGGTATCTTTGTACCGTCCATGGCTGTAGGTGCGACTTTTGGCCGGATGGTCGGCATCATCGTCAAGGCTATACAGCAGTGAGTGGCCTCCTTTCAACTTAGAGCTCACCGCAGGTCGAACCCCAAGGCTCCGTGGTTTGCAGCAGCCTGTCTACCTGACCAGCCGTGCATCACGCCGGGAACATATGCGTTCCTTGGCGCTGCGTCGACGCTTGGGGGCATTACTGGCCTAACTGTCACTGTCGTTGTCATCATGTTCGAGCTTACCGGCGCGTTGACCTACATCCTACCTACTATGGTGAGTCCAGATGCAATCACAGACGCTGACACCAGATCGTCGTTCTCGTCACTAAAGCTGTCAGCGATCAGATTGGCAAGGGAGGCATCGCAGACCAAATGATCCGCTTCAACGGCTACCCGTTCTTGGAGAAGGAAGACGCTGAATCTGGCAAATCTTTGCTTGAGCCCAGTAAGTGTCTGTGACGCACACCATGAACAGCTGTGCTGATATCAGTCTCCCACATCATGCGCAAGGACATCGTCGTCATGCCCTCTGATGGGATCTCACTTGCCGAGCTGAACGAGATTGTTCAGAGCACCGACTACCAGGGCTACCCAGTGGTTCAGTCTTCCACGAAGCGCACAATAAAGGGCTTCATCCGGAAGAACGACCTGCGGTACGCGCTCGACCGCGCGAGGCGGATCTACAAGCTTTCTCCCAATGCTCTCTGCACCTTCTCGCAGTTTGTCGACGCGCGGGGTGACGATTCAGGACTGCTGCCGCACCCCGACATTGTGGTCCCCGAAGCCGCCTTCGGCTCAGAGGTGACCACCGTCGACTTTGGGCAGTATGTTGACGAGATTCCGCTCAACGTACCGCCTAAGATGCCGCTCGAGATCGTGCTTCAGCTCTTCCGCCGCATGGGACCCCGCGTCATCCTTGTCAACCACGAGGGTCAACTCGCTGGCATGGTCACGATCAAGGATCTGCTGCGACACGAGGCGGGCGAGAAGGCTGCACAGGAGGTGGCTGCCGCCGCTGCGGCTAGTACGGGCCACCAGCGGGCAGGCTCGTGGGGGGAATGGACGCCGACGCCGGACCCAGCCGGCCGGCAGCTCGAGGGCCTTCTCGAGGATGGGCTGGTGTGGGCGCAGACGCGTGGAGTGGGCGTAGTCAACGAGGTGATCTCGCGTGTGCGGAGCGCGCGACCTGGCAATATCCGTGTCAGTCGCGATACGTATGGGTTTGAGATGAGTGACGAGGGAAGACGGAGCGGGTGATCGTGTCGTAGATTCTAGACATGCATGGCTGTAATTTCTAAGTGTATCAAGGTTTCATGATAGTGCTTTGTACACCAACTTGAAGCGCCTACCCTGCCTCCCACCACCGGTCCACCATGCGCTCACGTCGTTACGCACTCGTACCCCAGCGCCAAAGCCACAGGGCAGCGCGCTCCACCATCTCGGGCGTGCACACGTGTCCCCGCTCCTGCTGGATCCAGAACTGGACATCGCCCGGATATTCCTCCATGATGCCCTTGAGGGCCTGCGCGCCGAGGGCATACGGCACCATGGCGTCGACCTCACCGTACAGACAGAGAATCTTCTTGCCCATGTACGCGCCGGGCGGAGTGGCGCGCTCGTACACGCGCCTCAAGCTGGCCGGGTATGGCTTGGCGGGGGTGCCGAGCGTGCCCTCGCGCTCGCTAGCGATGGTCAGGAGTGTGCCGAGGCGCTCTGGCGGAATGGAGACGATGGGCACGCCGACACGCACGCGCGGATCGTCGCGCAGCAGACGCCATGCAACGTGACCTGGTGTTAGTGACGAGGCTGCAGCCAGTCCGGCGCTGGACGAAGCCAGAGACCAAACTCGAGACTCACCGCCCATGCTGACGCCGCTTGCCATCCAGCGCGTGATAACACGCTCGTCGAGCGGGAAGAGGTAGGACGCGAGGAAGTCCATTACGAGCTGGTAGTCATGCACGCCACCTGTGACGACTGTGAGCATGTCCGCGGGCCGCATGGGGTGGCGGTAAGTCGAGAGGCCGTCGGGGTTGCGCCTACGGTCGCCGTGGTTACGCTGGTCGAGAGTGACGACGAGAAGGTCGTGCGTCGTCTCGCGCCCGCCTTCGCGCGCCAGGCGCAGCGACTCGCCCACCAGACCCGACGCCATCGCCGCCATCTGCTTGGCCTTGTTTGCCCACCCATGCGCGAGCATCTGGCGTGAGCGGATACAGATACGGTCGTGAATCGACGCGCGACGCCGACTGTGCCACTCACCACCACCGAGATGGGACGCGTGCTGTCTTTGATCTCCTCCAGGCCGTACACGTTCACGGCGAGGTCGACGAGCCACACATGCTTGTGCGAGGCGTCGGGGTGGCCAAGCGCGAGGTTGCCGAAGTCCATGACGTGCGCCGCGTCCATCGGGTTGATCTTGCGCGCGTCCATCATAGCGCGGTCGGTCGGAATCGGCACATGGTCCGGGTGCGGGACATGCATGTCGTCTGGATTCTTGATGTGGTCCTTCATCTCGAGGGACATGTCGCGAGGGCGGGGGTGGCAGGGGGAGAATGAACGGTGAAGTCGATATGTGGTGAAGATACAGATCAAGTTGGATGGAGCGGAAAGCAAAAACACCATACCCGAGCCGAATCCCGGCTGTACCACGGTCGGACGTTGCCGATGCCCAGTCGTTCCGGACGCGACATGCCCGATGCGACTTCCCATCAGATTCTGGGTCGCCAAGTAGACGGTAGCACCAGGGGCATCGAAATTTTCATAACTCAATACAAGTGCGAAACATGAAGGTGGCAAGCGTGATGAGACGCTGCAGAGTCCGGTACAACTGGGCGGACAGTGGACGGGGTAACAGGGTATTTTGACTGGCCATTGTTGCTGATGGGGCTTGACTGGCATATAGCTTAGTGATCGTGTCTTTGCATGTTGCGTTGGTGCGTTGGTGCGTGGGTGATTCGTACAGGACGTGAGGGTAATGGGCCGAGCGGCCCGTGGGGCTAGCGACCCTGCGCGGGGTAGTCCGGCTGATACCTGCGCAAGGGCTGGGGCTTGTACGCGCTCACAAACTGTTGATAGCGGTACTCGTGCGAGTACGCCTGCGCGGCGCTCGTAGTGTAGGCCGGGTGACAAGGAGGGTGGTACGAATCCTCAAACGAGGGGCCGAGGGAGAGCTTCTCCAGAGTGGAGGGAGCGAACGGCTCGGTGAACGACACAGTCTCGGCCGGCGGCGTGAGGAGAACGCTAGAAGATGCCGATGAGAATGAGATGGTTGAGTTGCGGCGGGCGGAGTAGTGAGGAGCCCACGGATCGCATACCGGCTGCGACGGCGGACTTGAAACCTTGTTGCGGCGCTCGATAACGCTGCCCTCGAAGTAGGAAGCAGCGAGGCCACGGTAACCCGTCTGCTGAGGAACGGGGAGGGAGGGTGTGGCACCAGCCTCGAAGGGCAGATCGACGTCGTAAGTGAGGGTACGCGGGCTGCTGTGGAAACCAGCAGGGGGAGGCACAACCGCCGGAGGACGCGTACGACGGCCGATCCACGATGGCGAAGGGAGGTCGCCCTTCAACAGGCGCCAATGCACGGGCGACGTGGGGGTGGGTGGGAGGGTTGGACTGCGGCCCTTCTGCTGCAGTTAGCATCGTCCGTGATTGGATATCTCGACTCACCTCCCACGCCTTGGAGCACAGACCCATAAGAGCCTTGGCGGCAGTGTGTTGATCCTCCTCGACGGCCGGGAGCTCGACGTCGACGGGTCCAGCAGGGAAAGAGACGGTTGGCGCAGGTCTCTTGGTGATAATCGCCGATGGGCGGCGCTGATGACGGAGCCGTGGTGACGGAGTGATTGGCATCTTGGTGGGCCGGGTGTCAGTCTGGGGGGTGTTGGCGCGGGGCGGGGGGAGCGTCTCCGATGCACTTGATGTGCGGCGGACTGATGCAATAGGCATGACGGGCGCATACGTGTCGGGCAAGAACACGTCAAGGGGGACCGACTCGGGATCGGCCCCAGCCTCTATGGCGGCATTGCGTGCCTCTTGAGCGTCTTCGTGGGCTCTCTTGCGCCACTTCCACTGCTCCTTAGGGCGGTGGAATCCCTTTTCGGCAAGCTAAGCATGTCAGCGTCTCTTTCCCAGGGTTGATCGTATCGCCCCGCTAGTCCCTCTAGCCTCCACAGTGGGACATGGAATTTGGGGGACTGAAGGAATGGAAAGTAGTTGACTTACCCAGAGCCCGCAGGCGTTGCAGAGCATGGGGCGATCACCATCGCTCTTGCCGTGAGCACCACCACGGTCACTGCGCCAGAGGTTGGTGTGTTTCTAGTGTGAGTGCTGTTATTGTGAGATCGGAGGTAATGCGATGCAGGCGGATGTGGCGGGTCCGCTGGGATGAATGGATGGGTATAGGCGGTACGTGCGGAGATGTCTTGTTGGCAGGACTTACCTCAGTGCAGCCGCAGTTGGCGCAAGTCCCGGGACGGATTGAGCGGGTCTTGCGCCCGCGAGCTCCGTTCGACTTGGACATACTGTTCTTGCGGGAACGGAACGACGAGGTCGTGCGGCCCGCACGGGTCTTTGCGATGGACGGAGCCATTGTAACTACCGGGGAGAAGAGTACGAGGATAGGGTCGGGGGGTGCGGGAGATGGAGATGGAGGGAGTGATGAGACGAGAGGGAAACCAATCAACCTGGTCAGCACAATGTATCCGCGCGTGGGGTGTGGGGTGCGTGGGACTCCAAATACTGGGATGCGCGTCGTCGTCGTTGCTCCGAACGTCGACACACGCCAGTCACCTGTCATCCTCCCGACTACTCCTCCCATCGACCCAAACCCCCATGTTGCCATCGCACAGCCTCCAAAGGTACTGCAGGCCCTGCGGTGGATATGTAGTGTGGCGTCGGGGCTTTCGTGATGGTTTCCCCGCAAAATCGACTCGTCGCCACAATGCATGGCATGTGCGATAGTGTGACCCGCTGGGGGCATGGGAGGAGACACACATGCCGGTGGCGGTGGGAGCGGCGAGAGAGAACAACGGGAAGATGTGTGAAAGAGTCGACTCACGGCGTGGGGTTCTTGTAAAGTTGCAAGATGAGAAGCGATGTGGGGAGCACAATGGTTATATGTAGGAAAGGGTGTGGTGGGAAGATGTGGTAAGACAAATGGAGAGGTGAATGTGAATGAGTTGTTTGTGACACAGGCGGAGCCTGGAACAACTTGAATTGAGCTAACGCCCACTGGGTACTGTGTAGCCTGGCTTGACTGAAAAAGACGTGTAGATGGTATGCGTCCGTGAGGTCGTTCGATACTCTGCCTAAGTTGGCGAGCAGTAAAAAAGGGTGTGGTCGAGTTCGGTGGCTGTCGGTGCACGTCGTGTATGCGTGTGCGGTATATGGCACCGATGTAAGATGGCACGCTTGAAACCCCGGGGTTGCCGGAGTATATACAACTTCGGGGGTGCGGATGGGGGGCTTAAGAGCTGAGAGATTCGCGAGCGAGATGGAGGCGAAAGCCAGGAGTGTGTGATGGTGTAGCGGAACAGAAGGGGGGGAGAGGGGATGGAAGAGCGATGGTGGCTTTGGGGGACGCACACGAGTGTAGCGATGAGAGGAAAGGATGGGGGGCGAGCGAGGATGGATGCGCCTTCGGGTCTTATGAGGGCGAGCGAAGATGAATGTTTGGCCCCAGCTAGAGGCGAGAATGAGTGAGGCAGCAACGCACCCAGGTGGTTTTGGCGGATTGGGCGAAATGGACAGAGGGCGCCACACCAACGCGCAACCACACCTTGATCGTGCTCGGACCGCTGGCGTGAAAGAGATCCCTTCATTCTCTGGTGTGGGTGCAATAATCTCGCCTCTGGTCTGGCGCCCTCGATTCGGCTCTACTGCCACTATTGAATGCGCGACGCGTCTCGGCGGTGTAACTTTGTAATGTGCCATGTCCTGGCACATTGTCCTGGAGATGCGGAATATCCTGCAGTCCTGGAATGAGCGGATCGGAGCCTGAAGCAGCTGATGGGGAGTCTGGGAGAGCTTCTCCTTCTCCTTCTCTGCCATTCCTGTTCCAACTTCCACCTCGAGCCCCCAGGCAATCACCACAGTCACAGCCTTGGTCGGTGCGCTTCTCGCGCTTGTTCCCACTGCGCCCTTGGCGCCCCGTTCCCCCGACTATCTCCAAGTCCCTCCGCCCACGTTCTCAGCCCGCGCCTCCATTCGGGTGCCCAAGCCTCCAGGCCTCCAGATCTAGGTACATAATCACTGTCCGCTCTTGGCTTGAGTGCCGCCAGCGATGCAGGATACCGGGGATGCAGGATTGCAGGAATGAGAGGAGGGAGGGGAGGAAGAGAGGGGAGGGAGGGAGGGAGGGAGGGAAGGAGAGGTAGGCGGGGTGCGAGAGCTTGGACACCCAGGAAAGACTGGCCGCGGCCCGGCGGCATGTGCTCTGTCCATCCTCGATCCCCTTCAAGCGTGCTCATTGGGAGTCCGACGTCGTACCATGGGCGGTAGAATTGTGCACCGGAGAGACTTCTCGGTTACCACCAATGACTCAGCGAGAAATAGGTTAAAGGTTCAATGTCGCGCAAGGGTGGTGAGGTACGCGGACGTGGCAGGGCATGGGCCACCCGAGGGGCTGCGGGGTGACGATATTCGTAAGCATACCAAATCAGTGACCCGTAGCCCCAAAGTGGCAGAGAACAGCGCACAGTTAGCTGGCCGTGCCAGAAATTGAGTTGCGCTCGTCTGTGCAGCTGCCTCAATCCGGCATGAGCTACATCCGCCGTCCATGCTGTGGGTCCCGTGAATCCCGTGGATCCGGGCGAGTAGTAGCAGTAATGTTCCCCTCCCCCCGCGCTCGCCAAGGGGTACCCCGCACGTCGGAGGGGGTAGGAGATTGTAGAATGGAGCAAGGAGCAAGGAGCAGCCGAAAGCCGGAGCGCGGAGCATCAAGATCCGCGCATTGTGACCCGCCTCTGTTCCCAATCGCTCCACCGCGGCGGGAAGTTGCGGGCTGCATGCTATCCGCGTGCATCGGCGATGGTCGGCCTTGGGGCACGGAAACCAAAGGACGCGCGAGGAAGAGAGAGACACCAGAGAAGTGGTGGCCAGGGCATCTACTGTTGACTCCTGCAGTCCGACGCGCTCAGACTCGCGACGCTCATACCGCTTCCCAATGTGCGTGGCGCATGAGCCTCCTACATTCCTGGGGCATGCCTGACGCCCGAGCCGGGTGTCGCTGTTGACTGGCCAGGTGGCAGTGTTGCGCAACATCTGTTAGGGATGTTTGGTATGTTGAGGCGTCATGTTGCAATCTTGATATTAGTTAGGTGTCGCCTGCGGAATGGCTAATCTCGCCGGAGGAATGCAAGCGGGGTCTCCTCTCCGGGCCGCCGGCAGGAGCACAGCGGGCCCGCAACATTGGTATTGCCGTGCGTCGCTGTCATGCATGCAATGCAGGGCGCATCGGTCTCATGGCCCCGCTGATCTGGCTAGTGAGGTGAGCCTGATTAACATATGGTTGGCACCTCGTCACGAGCTGGATGAGTTTTATCAAGGTCCGGATGAGTTTCATCACGTCAGTTCCTCTCAAGGAAGAGACCGAGTGGGATTCGCTCACGCTGTCCACCTTGCGAATCATGAGCGTCTAACAGCCTTCCATCATTGGAAGAGAGGTGGAGGGCTTCACCGGGGGCTTCACCATCAACCCGGTGTCAGCTGGATATCAGGTGCTTGGTAGTTGATCAGCCGATTCCCTCCGCCCCTTCCCCGGCGGCTCCGATCAAGTAGCTCGTAGCTCACAGGGGACATGGCGCAAGATGACGGACGACGGTGCCTGTTCGCACGGCCTGTTCGGTGGCGCCGCCGACAATACAGCCATTGACGCCGCTGCACGGACCGCTGAGCTTGTTCCCTGCAACAACCTCGGACTGTTGAGGCCCAGAAGACGCCTCGCTGCCTCGTGATGATCGGTGGCGCTGCAAAGTCACATGACTCGGCGCGGCTAGCTGTACCGGAGTCTGCGGTGCGCCGAGTGCCCCCGAGTGTGGCCGACGGAGAGACTGTGATGGTGGGCATCGCGCGATCGCGACTGCGATTGTGGGTCAGCTGTGAGTCTGGAAGCATGCACGGATCTGCCGCGTGTGAGTGGCGTAGGGAGTGGGTGGCGATGGTAGCGAGTACGATGGTGAGTGCGAAGCATTGGGGGCGGCGAGGAAAGAGTGCAAGATGGAGTGGAAGGCAGAGTGAATGCGATGGGAGATTGAGAGAGCGCCGAACGTTAGTCTGTTTCTTTGACGTTGGGTAGTCGATTGCACGCCGCCCAATCCAATGGCGGTGACGTCGTTGACTCTGCCGCCACCCAAAGAGGTATGTGATACCCACGTTATCATCACGTGACTTGAGTGGGACCGGTGCACGTCCCGAGACGCTCAGTGTGCTCAGGCGTCAACACGCGCCTCATTCTGCCAGCTGCCTCCAAGACACCGATTCAGACATCATCGCCGACCCCCCCATGGCGTCTCAGGATGATGCAGGCGCGTTTATCCGCCCCGCCGCGGCCGAGATACAGTGAGGGAACGAGATCTGGCCGTTCCAGCTAACCCAAGGGTGGCGTGGAGGGCCCTCTTCTCCGACCCAATGCTCAGTGCGAGCTCTCTCAAGGCGGAGGCCAGTGGTGCGGGTTTAGGGCCGGCCGGGGACGACGGCGGCGTTATTCTGCGCTCCGTGTATTGGAGGGTGAGCCGTTGTCCGAGCACATCTGATGGCAGTTCTACCTCGGACTCCTCCCTCCCCCGGATGACCTTGACCTCTTCCCTCCAGCGCTGGCCGCCGCGCGCAGAAGCTATGAAGACCTGCGCGAACGCTTTCTAGTTGCGCCGGATGGACGCTGGGCTGCCGACTGCACTGGTGGCGAGGGGTACGCAACCTCATCGCCGAAGACGGCGTGGATCGACCCGTTGAGTCTCGACGGAGGCTCACCATGGAAGACATGGTTCGCCCACATCGAACTCCGCGCCACGATCCGCCAGGACGTCGACCGCACCTTCCCCGACATCCCCTACTTCTCGCAGGAGCATGTTCGGCGCGCCCTCACCACCATGCTCTTCCTGTTCTCCATCACTAACCCCGATGTCGGATACCGACAGGTATGCGATGTCGTTGCGTGGCTGACGTTTAGGGCATGCACGAGTTGCTGGCGGTGTGCCTTGTGACGGTGGACCGTGACTCGGTCGTTGCTGAGCCAGGGAGGGCGCGACCGTCCCCACTCCTCACCACCCCGACCGCGGTGCGCGACGAGGCAATGATCTCCACCCTTGACCGCGCCTACACAGAACATGACGCGTTCCAGCTCTTTCTGCAGATCATGAAGCCTGCAAAAGCCTTCTACGAGTGGCGAGCTGAGGAAGGCAGGGTACGCTCCCCCGCGGTGCAGGCGCTGACTTGAGCCGCGACAGGCAGCCGCGGCCGGACCTGTGGCCCCCATCATCACCCGCTGTGTCCACATCCAAGGCCTACTGAGACGCGTCGACCCCCAGCTATGGGAGCGGCTCGAGAGTGAGGGTGTCGAGCCTCAAATATGGGCCATGTGAGCTTGACCCGATATATTCCGCTGACAGCAGCCGCTGGATCCGTCTTATCCTCACACGAGAACTGCCGTTTCCAGAGGCGCTCCGTCTGTGGGATGGCATGTTTGCCGAGGACCCAACTCTCGGCATTCTAGATTATGTCTGCCTGGCAATGCTTCTCTTAATCCGCAATGAACGTAAGTCCGAATACCTCCTTGTCGAGCTCACTCCTAGTCATTCATGCCGACTATCCAACATTGCTCACCCACCTCCTGCACTATCCATCACCATCCAAAACGTACCCCTTCAAACCAGCTCTCATTCTTTCACAGGCCAAAATCCTGCGCGCAAACCGTACATCCGCGTCAGGCGCCGAGGTTGTGATGCAAAACCACGAAATACTCGGCGTTAAAGCTGGCGGCCCCGACATTGCTGACAACCCGATCGACCCCGACGCGACGACCCCTAACTCATACCATCTCGGTAGTGGGACGTCTCCCTCGCCGCGTCCTGGGTCTGCGACGCGTGGCAAAGCACGAGCAGGGATGCAAGGGCTTGCACAGGGGCTATTTGAGCGCGCCCAGAAAGCCGGGCTGGATAAAGCATTCTTGTCGACTGTCAATGACCTGAGGGTAAGTGGTAACTTGAGTGCGCTGTGCGCTGACCGTGCAGAGCTCCCTCCCTGACAGCACATCGGCTTACTCATTCCTCAACTTCTCTCCCTCACAAACCCCAAACACCAATACGCCAGGGCCATACTCATCAATTCCGTCGACAGCATCTGCGCTTCCGCGCCCCGTGTTCCAGAAGGAGCACAGCGACGACACAGAGTCAATCTCGTCAGCCAAGTCATTGCGCGACGCAGAGCGTCAGCTTGCCGAGGTTCGGTTAGCCATGCTGAGCATGGGCAAGGCAATGACTGAGTGGATGAGCGTGCTGCGCGAGGGGGAGGAGGGACCAGAGGCCGCCGAGGCGTGGACTGGCCTGAATCGTGTCCGAGACACGCTGCTGGAGGCTGCAGGCCAGGAAGTAGATGACCTCGTCAAAGATTGGGCGTGGAATGACGCGCTCGACGCGTCCCGCAGCCGCTCCTCTAGTGAACAGCCGACGCCCATCGAACCTCCATCGGTTGCGTCACTACCGCCACCATTGCCATCTCTCTCACCGCCCAGGACGGAGGAAGCGCAAGTTACACCTAAGGCCAAGTCTACAGCACGCATGGCAAACAGCAGCAATCTCCCTACGCCACCAGATAGAACGAGGCCCCAACTACATCTCTCGAACCGACCCGACCAACCTGCGCCAGGCCTTACGCGCACGCTTCACCATCCGCGCCCGTCTTTTGGCGCAAACCCAGCTACGCGCCTGTCCAGCCACTTGGACGCGTCATCCGTCCCTGTCAGGCATGCCGCGCGGGTGGTTTCACCGCCGACGTCTCCCTCGCCTCCACAGGACATGGATCCGCTGGCAGGTCTTGGCGTCGAGGCGATCCCACTCGACCACGCCCGTGAGTCGCGACGGCGATCGGCCATCTTTCGAGGCTCCCCTGGCTCGGGCGCAGGCAGCACGGCCACCAGTCCCCGCATGGCCGTCGGCAGCGACCCTCTCGGCGTGCACCTGTAACCTTGTATGCATCCTTGTAACGCGTTTGTCAGACGCGGTGCTTAGTGACCATGGACGGGACGCTGTTGTGATGGCCGACGGACAGGGGCCACTGGGTAAGGAATATGGAAGGTTGTAGGGTTTTGTGGAATTTCCCCGATCAACCTCTGATGTTCGGTGGCGGCTCGGTTGGGTGGAAGTGCCTGGAGATTGCGCGGATCATGACGTCAGCGCACCTTCGAGTGGCTTCTCCATCACCATGGCTCGTAAGCGTTCACTCGCACACCGTACACAATGCACTCGCTTTCCGTATAAAGACTCGTTCTCACGCTACTTTCTCCTCAGCACACTCATCATCACGGCCCATCATGTCTTACTACGGCCACCCCTACGTTATCCCCCAGGGCTACTACTACCCTCAACAGGCCGGTCGCCAGCCGCAGACGCCAGTCCCCGCCGCTTCGGCCAGCGCTGAGCAACTCGCACTCGAGGAACGCCAGGCCCTCGCCTATCTCCAGAGCGTCCGTCGCCGCCGCGAGGCCGCCGAGGCCGCAATGGCGCTCGAAGCCAAGGAGCGGCAGCGTGCGCAAGCTGAGCGCGAGGAGGCTCTTCGCGCCGCTGCTGAGCGCCACAACGCTCTCATCCAGGCCGCCCGTCGTGAACGTGCCATCCGCGAAGCACTTGAGCGCGAGCGCCAGCGTGAGGCCGCCTTCCAGCAGGCACTTCAGGCCCACCAGGCTCAGCAAGTCCAGGCCGCCATCGAAGCCGAACGCCGCCGCCAGACCGCCGCCGCCGAGGCTTACGCCCGCGCCCTAGGCGAGCACCGTCAGCGCTCGCAGCGCAGCCTCCCGACTCAGGCTCCCCAGTGCCAGATTGCCGCACCTTTTTCTCCTTCGCCCCTTGCCAAGGTTCAGCAGCCGGCCGCTTTCGCACCTCGGCCGGAAACGACTCTGCAGCCTCACGACGAGGTCGACCTCGACGGCATCAACGCCCTTCTTGGTCAGCTGTTCGGCTTCAACCTGGCTACCGAGCCTACCGAGGAGCCGCCCGTCCCCAAGCCCAAGAAGGAAACCCCTCAGACCAAGGCTGAGCCCTCAATGCCCGCCGATGAGGCTAAGGCCGCCACTTCGCCCCCTCAGACCGCCCCCGCTACCGCCCAGCCCGCCGCTCGGAAGGACGACGCTGAGCTCCCTGAGGACTTGAACGAGCTTCTCAACCAGTTCCTTGGCCTCAACGTCGCCCCCGCCGCCGAGGGCGAGCGCAGCAATCTCAAGGCTTCGCAGCAGCTTGTCGGCAACGCAGTGGAAGACCTCAACGCATTCCTCGGACAGTACGGTCTTGAGTTTGTGCCCGAGTCCGAGTCCGAGTCGGACTCGGAGTACCAGACCCCCAAAACCTCCGTCGACACCCAGGACGAGCCGAAGGCCAAGATTACCAATGAGTCTGGCTGGGCGGTTCTGCCTGCCGAGAATGACAAGAACGCCAAGTCTGCTGCACCGACTGTGACCCCGGCCAACACCGCACAGCCTACACCGCCCACTCAGCTCACGGCCGAGCGCGACGCCCCTGCCCCGCCCAAGGACAAGGAGGAGCGTCACCGCCAGGCTTCTCGCGAGCCCGACGAGGAGGCCCCCTTCACTTCGACTCTGAGCAGTTACCAGAACCTGCCGCCCTACCTTCGCGATATTCTCTCGCAGATGGAGGCCGCCATGTGTGAGGAGGACCAGTGCGAGTGCAACCCCGAGACGCGCACTCCTTGCGTCCACGGTCCGGATGGCATGCCTTGCGCCGCCCACCGCCAGCGTACCCGCCGCGAGCGCGCTCTCGCTAAAAAGCGCGCCGCTAAGGAGCGTCGGGAGCAGCGCCGCGCCAAGAAGTTCGCCACCGCCCAGGACGACAAGGACGCCGCCGGAATTCCTCTCGGCGCCAGCCCCAACGACACTGTTGTCCACCACGACGTCTACGCCCAGGCCGCGGCCGCGGGGGCTGCTGTTGAGCACGAGGTTGCCGACGCAAATGTGAGCGCACAGGAGGCCCGCGAGGAGGCCATCCCTGAGAATGAGCCGCAGTCGGTTGTCGACGAGCACCGCTCGGTGGCTGAACAGGCTGTCGCCGCGGGTACTTCGCAGCTCCATGCCCCCCATCCCACCACCGAGAGTCAGGAGAAGATCGACGCTCGGGAAGAGCAGCAGGAGGCCATCCCCTCAGAGGCATCAAAGACCGACATTGCGGCCCACCGCGAGATCGCCGAAGAGGTCGCAGCCAAGCCTCACTCTGAGCTGCGCGCTGACGCGCCCGCCTTCCAGTCCAAGTCCGACAAGAAGACGAAGGACGCGCAGCCCTCCTCTCCCGAGGCCGAGGAGTCTGTCCAGAAGTTGAACGCGATCTCGCAGCAGCTCAAGGCGACGTGCGCGAAGTTCAAGTTCCCCCGCACACTCTCGTTCTCGCCATCCCTTGCCGACGCTACCCAACCTCCGCTCCTGTACACGCGTAACAACCACGCATACCACGCTCAGGCACACAGTCTCATGCAGCTCCTGCTCGCCGTTGACGGCGTGCAGAGCCACGGCGACAAGGCCGTGCGGAACCGTCGTAAGGCCGTCGTCAAGGAGATCGAGGGCGCGCTCAACGACCTGGAGAAAGGTCGCGACGCCAAGTGGGCCGAGGTCAAGGCCCGTCGTGAGCGGGGCGAAAGTGACGATGATGATGACGATTGGATCCTCACGGGTGACACGACGGACGCCACCAGCGACCTTGACGCATAGTGCCTAGGCTGAAGAAAAAATCACAACAAACGCCGTATCATGTGTAGTATCTAGACTCCTTTCTCCATTCCGCATAGTGTCACAACAACAGCAAACCCACATGCAGCTTTGTACATGTTTTTGAGCACATAAGCAAGCGCGAGGACTTACTAGAAGGTGACTGACAAGAGCGCGAGGGCTTTACTAGTAGTCGGCTGACATGAGCTAGACTGCTGACTGGACGGGATCAACTGCTCTTCCGAAGGAGAGTGAACTCTGACAAACCTCATCCTCCAAATGCCCTCCCGGATCTCATCACAGTGGTTACGCAAGCTGAAGACTGGCTGATATCAGACAAAAACACAAACAGCGCCGCCTACCCTGCCACTCCCAACGGACACGCCGATGTGGCGTCGACGTTGAGCTGCAGTTCGCCGCCGCAGTACCGAGCCTGCGCTGCTGAATTTACCGTCTCCTTCTCCTGGAATAAGCCCTGGAGCGCCATATTATATCGTCAGGACCATAACACGCCTCCAGGCCAATCCGCACGGTCGTAAGCCGCCCGACGGGCGTGATTTCTTTTCTGCCCTGTGCAGCTTCGCGAATCCGTTGGCTCACTCGTTTTCCATCCCGCTCCATCCATCGCAGGTGCTCATGAATATCCCAGGGACTGGGCCCGTTTACCGGAGCCGAGGATGCTGCGGCCATCCATCGGACAATCCAATTCAGTCGGCCCTCGCCGGCATGACGTGGTTTCCCGCAAAACCGCGGCGTACCGCCCGAGCTGGCGCCCAGCTGCCGCATGGCTGAGCCCTGGACGCCACTCGCCGCCACTCACCACTGCGGTGGCTAGCATCGGTCGGCGCCGGCATCAGAACGCCTGAGACACTCACCTCAGGCATGCTCCCCGGCATCACACAACCACTAATAAAGGCAGACCGACTGTGCATCTCTTCTCTCCCCCTTCCCACTTCCCCCTCTAATCTTCGAGCCTGGTGCTCCGACCTTGACGGTCCTCTTCTCTTCTCACGATGGCGCTGGTCGCCCTATTCCTCTCCGGCGCACTGGCTGCGCCGGCCCCCATGCCCGCCCTCTATCGCTCTCACTCCGCCCCCGCTGTGCGGGAGGCATACTATGGCGACGTGCTTGGCCTCTCCCCGCCACCGCCGCTGCTCGAGAAGCGCGCCCTCTTACCCGCCGGATGGAGCTACGCCGGGTGCGTATCTGAGAGCAACGGCCAGCGACTGCTGCAAGGCTTCGCGTTCAGCTCCGACTCCAACTCCGCCAGCTTCTGCATCAATGAGTGCGCCCGCCGAGGATTTGCCGTCGCAGGTACCGAGTGGGGCCGCGAATGCTACTGTGCCAATAGCTTCACCGGGAACGGCGGGACGCACGCCCCAGACGATTGGTGCAGCATGCCTTGCACGGCCGAGCCAAGCGAGACTTGTGGCAATGCGTGGTATCTATCACTGTATACCTTCAACTCGACAAGTGACGGGAGCTTGGCGTGCGGTCAGGTGCCATCCGTTGCCCCATTGCCATCCGCCTCGCCAACATCATCGTCATTACCCTCAACACCGGCCTCGGACTCAGCCTCGACTTCGATCCTCTCATCGACAAATCCCTCTCCTTCGGATGCGGTCTCCTCAAGCCAGTCTCTTTCGACCTCCCCCAGCACCGCCAGCACGGCGAGCTCCGCCAGCGCAGCCCCGACCGACTCAATAGTCTCCCCGTCCTCGACTCCTTCATCCACCCTGACCTCCTCGACTCCTTCATCCACCTTGGCCTCCTCGACTCCCTTGACCTCCTCGGCCTCCTCAACCTCTGCCACCTCCAGCCCCATTCCAAGCTCCTCCGGAGTCGTCCCTGTGTCGACCGACATCCCGCAGTCTGATGAGCAGCACCTTGTCTGGGCCCACCACATGGTCGGTAACACGTACAGCTACAGCTCGTCCGACTGGGAAGCCGACATCAGTGCTGCAGCCGCGCAGGCAATCGACGGCTTTGCGCTCAACATCGGTATCGAGAGCTGGCAGACAGAGCAGGCTGCGGTGGCTTACAGGATCTCAGAGTCGCAGGGTGGCTCATTCAAAATGTTCCTTAGCCTTGACATGACGTCCCTGCCGTGCAGGACGTCCGCAGACGCTGAGCGCCTCGTCAACGTCGTGCAACAGCACGCCGGTTCTTCGGCGCAGGCCAAGTTCAATGGCGACGTACTGGTTTCGACCTTTGCCGGTTCCGACTGCACGTTCGGGACGGGTACCAATGATGGATGGCAAACGGCTTTCGTTGACCCCCTCCTGCGCGCTGGCGTCAAGATCGCGTTCATCCCGTCTGTGTTTATGAGCCCCGACCAGTTCCCAAATCACTTGTGGATGGACGGCGAGTTCAACTGGAACAGCGCATGGCCAATGGGCAACTACGACATCAACACTGCGTCCGACACTGCCTTCCGCCTCGGCCTCGGCGGTCGGGCATACATGACTGCTGTCTCGCCATTCTTCTTCACCCACTTTGGCGCAAACAGCTGGAACAAGAACTGGATCTACCGCTCTGACAACTGGCTGTACTGCACGCGCTGGGAGCAGATCATCGCCATGCGCGGCGTCAGCACGATGACTGAGATTCTCACGTGGAACGACTACGGAGAGAGCAGCTACATCGGCCCGATTCGCGGCTCGCTGCCTGCCACCTCGGAGCGGTGGGTTAACGGGTTCGACCACACCGCTCTCGCCCCCATTACAAAGTACTACGCCACGGCGTATAAGACGGGCTCGTACCCGCCGATTGAGAAGGACCAGATCATCGTCTGGGCGCGTCCGCATAGCGCGCTCGCCACCGCCCCCGACCCCGTCGGCCGCCCCGCCGGTTACGACTGGACAGAGGACAACCTATACGCGGTGGTGTTCGCCACCGCCCCAGCAGTAGCAACCCTCACATCGGGCGGCACGTCCATATCCTTCAATGTCCCCGCCGGCCTCAGCAAGATCAAGATGCCGCTCGCCCCAGGTTCGATCGGGGGTGCGATCGAGCGCGGCGGCCAGCGCATCGCGACGTACGACTCGGGCGCCCTATACTCGTTCACTACCACGCCCGCGGCTTACAACTACAACTACCTGGTCGGCAGCAGCTAGCTGGTCTAGCCCTGACCTGAGTTTGAGTTGCGCCGTGTAGCATAGGTGACATGAGCGCTGTAGCTCTGTCGTGCGTCTGGTTCCATAGTTAGTTTACGAATAATATGCATCTTGGTTAATAGGTGAAAGTGCGTCGAGTGCTGTTTATTTTCGTCATGTTTTCCATCAGTGTAGTTGTGAGCTTCATCAATCGTATGGCGCGTATGGGCGCGTATGGTTTTACTGTGTTTGGGGCTAACGATTGAATCCTTGAAGGACGCTTACGATAGGACTTGCAAATATGACGTGTGGTTGATTGGCCTTGCTCATGAATACGCGACGCGTCGTGGACGCGTTTGGTTCCGCCTGGAAAGCAACCAAGGACAATCACTCCCCCTCGCCCCTCATTGCCCTCATCCCTCATCTTCTCATCTCCGTCTCTCCGGCTCAATCCCCGGTTCCCCTCATCACCATGTCGACTCCGCGTGCATCTCGCACGCCGCGGTCTGGCCGGCGCGCTGCAGCTGCATCTAGCACCCCGGCTGCAGCTGCTGCTTCTCCGCTCAACTTCCCCACCTCCTCTGGTGCGCGCCCTTCTTGCCCATAGCTAACATCGCAGATGCACCAACCCCAGGTGCCAGCCAGGGAGGTACTGAGCGCGGAACGTCTCCTCTCCAGTTCCCTCCCTCATCTCCTGGTGGGGGCCGGATGCCCTCAAGTCGGCCAAACGCTGCGCGGAGCTCGGCACGGCAGCCACTGTTTCTTCCCTCAGAGTCCTCGGATATCGGCGCACCCACTCCCACGCGTCGTCGTCGCGGAGACATTCATGGCTCCACGCCTTCTCATCGCCGGTATGCGGCCCGTCGTCGCGACCCTATGGGCATGACAGCCGAAGAGCTTGACGCTGCCGATGACCCTTCCACTCCTCGAGCGCAGCGTACCGGAGAGCCAGCCTCAACCCGTACCTACTCTGGAGGGGCGAATAGCCAGGGTAACGACGAGCCGTTCGATGAAGAGTTCCAGAAGATCATCTGGGGTACAGATGTCTCGATTGCGTCGGTGATGAACTCGTTCCGCGAGTTTCTAGAGGGTTTCAAGCCGAAGTACCGACGCGACTACAATGAGCAGCTCGCCAAAGAGGTCCTCGAAGCTGGCGGCGTTGCTCCCCTTCCTACACCGCTGTACGACAACCTCACACCTTTGCAGGAGGACTCGCCGCTATACAAGGGTTACTTGCAGCAGATGTACGACACGGACCAAGAATGCCTCAATCTCGACCTGCTCAACGTCCTCTCATGGCCACGCAGCAAGAAGCTCTACAAGACATGCATAAACTATCCGCAGGAGACCATTCCTGCACTCGATCTTGTGCTTGCCGACATCATGCAGAACATCGCTGAGGAGAAAGTGGCGGAGGTGGAGCGCAAGTACCGGCGCGGCGACGCCTCGAGGGAAGACTTGAAGCAGGTCCGCGACATCTACGAGGAATACCACCGCGAGGACAAGACCTTCCGCGTTCGTCCCTTTGGCGGCGAGAAGGCCATCAACATGCGCGACTTGAATCCCGGCGACACCGACAAACTCATTGTGGTCAAGGGCCTTGTCATTCGGGCAACACCTGTCATTCCCAACATGTCGACCGCGTTCTTCCGCTGCTGCGTCTGCCAGCATGTTGTCACAGTGGGCATTGATCGCGGCCGCATTCGTGAGCCGCGTCGTTGCCCTCGCGAGGCTTGCAACTCAGAGGCGTCTATGATCCTCATTCACAACCGCTGCGAGTTCATGAACAAGCAGGTGATCCGCCTCCAGGAAACGCCTGATGCCGTGCCCGATGGCCAGACTCCGCACACGGTGTCACTTTGCGTCTACGACGAGCTGGTCGACTTAGTCAAGCCCGGTGACCGCATTGTCGTGTCTGGTATCTTCCGCAGCATCCCGGTACGCCTCAACCCGCGCCAGCGCTCCATCAAGGCGCTATTCAAGACGTATGTCGACACCGTGCACATCAAGCGCACCAACGTCGGCCGCATGGGCTACGACGCCAGTACACGCGACGGCAAGGTCAAGCCAAGCGGTGTTGGCGTCGGTGGCGAAGACGACGACATGGAGATCCTTCAGGGCACCGTCGCCGAGGACCTCGACAACGATGTGGACATGAACTACTCCGCGGCCGAAAGGATGGAACAGGAGCTCATCGAGTTGTCCCACCATCCGGACATCTACGACATGCTGGCGCGCTCCATGGCGCCGAGTATCTACGAAATGGAAGACGTCAAGAAGGGTATTTTGCTGCAGCTTTTCGGCGGCACAAACAAGAGCATTGCCACGGGTGGCGGTGGCGGCGGGCCTCGGTATCGTGGCGATATCAATGTCCTCATGGTCGGTGACCCGGGTACCTCCAAGTCGCAGATTCTGCAGGTAAGTTCCACTATTTAGTGCCAAAACACTGACAACAGTACGTTCATAAGATTGCACCTCGCGGTGTATACACCTCAGGCAAGGGCTCCTCAGCAGTCGGTCTGACGGCGTACGTCACTCGTGACCCCGACTCGAAGCAGCTCGTGCTCGAGTCTGGTGCGCTTGTCCTGTCTGATGGTGGTGTATGCTGCATCGACGAGTTTGACAAGATGTCGGACGCGACGCGCAGTGTCTTGCACGAAGTCATGGAACAGCAGACTGTCTCGATCGCCAAGGCTGGTATCATCACCACTCTCAACGCCCGGACATCCATTCTCGCTGCCGCCAATCCTATCGGGTCCAAGTACAACCCGAAGCTGCCGGTGCCAGCCAACATCGACCTCCCACCCACGCTTATCTCGCGTTTCGACTTGCTCTACCTCGTGCTCGACAAGGTGGATGAGGTAAACGACCGGCGCCTTGCAGCTCATCTTGTGGGACTGTATCTTGAGGACCGGCCGGAGACACTAGGCGAAGATATCTTGTCTGTGGACAAGCTAACCGCGTATATCACGTACGCGCGGCAAAAGATCCACCCTGTCCTCACGGAGGATGCATCCGACGCGCTCGTAGCGGCGTACGTCGAGATGCGCAAGGCTGGCGAGGACTCACGAGGCCAGGAGCGCCGCATCACGGCCACAACTCGCCAGCTTGAGTCTATGATTCGACTCTCAGAGGCACACGCGCGCATGCGTTTCAGCGACACGGTCGAGCTCGAGGATGTGCGCGAGGCGAACCGCCTCATTCGCGCCGCCCTGCGCGAGTCCGCCACAGACCCTCTCACGGGTCAGATTGATCTGGACCTGATCACGACGGGCGCAGGTGCCACGGCGCGCCGCCAACGCGCCGACCTGAAGCGTGAGGTCATTAAGCTTGCCGACGACGCCGGGGGCCGCGGTATTCGATGGAGCGCTGCAATCCGTGCGCTTGAAGGGCAAAGTAGCGTGCCAATCGACCACTCAGAGTTTGCGGAGGCTGTCGCAGCGCTGCGCGACGAAGGTGTTGTGCAGGTTATTGGCGAGCGCGAGCGCCGGACGATCAAGCGTATTGGTGCTGCGTAAGTCTGAAAAGCGCTTCGAGGTGTGTAGCAGGTTTGGTTTCGCTATCATTGTGTAGATGTATGCTTCTTGACTCTAGTCATCTGATGTGCTTCTCTTGCTTCGCTCCGATCAATATAGTACACTGCAAGCTACTCTATGCGTTCCGCCGCTTCACCTCTCTAAGCACGTCGCTTAGACTGCTGATGACGTGCACACCATCGAGGTCTTCCACGCCGTGGCGCACAGCGCCATCTGACCACTCGCCATCACGGCGCACGAGGCGTCCCTCCAGCCCCGCGGCCAAGGAGCCGCGGTAGTCTGCTTCGAGCTCGTCGCCGACCATGATCACGCCCGGCCCCGGGTCTACGCCGCATGCCTTGCACGCTGCTTCGTAAATGCGCCTGTCGGGCTTAGCGGCCTCGACATCCCAGCTGAGTGTAGGACCACATGTAATGAGCGGCTCGATCTCGAGGGCGTCGAGAGTAAGAAAAATTCTGGGGTCCGAATTGGAAACGACCGAAGTCGGGACGCCGAGGGCGCGCAGACCGCGCACTGGGGTGAGTGTTGTCATTGGTGAGAACAGTATCGCGAACCGCCCACGCCCTTGCCCTTTCCTTGGCTCATCTTTCCCGCTCAGGCCGTTCACACGCCCAGAGCTGCTCGCTACGCGCTCGTTGACTCACAAACGTCCAGCGTCTCGGGAAAGTCGCAGTAGCCTTCCAACGATTCAAATCGCCGCATGATCGATTCCCCGAGCTTGTCCCCGATTCGCGCAAGCTCCGTCTCGCTCGCACCAGCATGCGCCATGCACTTGACAATCAGGCCCGTCCACCAGCTCTCGGGAGTGAGCGGTGGCGTCGAGTGCTTCCCATACAGCGGATGCGTAGCGTTCATCTCCTTGAAGGCGGGGCGGAAGCCGGCGCGCACGCGCTCCGGCGAGACGTGCAAGCCAAACTTGCGCGCCTCGGCGGCATACTGCTCGTGCACGGGCAGGCGGGGGGTGCAGAGCGTGTCAAACACGTCGAAAAGGACGAGCCGGACGCGCCCCTGCATGGCGAGACGTAATGGGCAGAGATGGTGTCAAGTCGATAGGTTGGCAGTCTTGTCAGAAGTCGCGTCGAGTCAAAGTGGAGGCGGGGGAGGTGGAGGACCACGTGATTACGTGCCTCTCAGCAACGTCACTCAAGTCCGACAACAATCCTGGCTCGTTCAACATTCCTCTCCTTGTCCGTCTCCGATTTCTCTTCATTATCCTCGTCCTCCTCTCGCCGCGCCGCAACTACCTCAGACCTCCTCCGCATCATTGAGATCGAGCAGCGCACCGCCCTGCTCTACACTCCACTCATTCTCTCTTGCCCCCCGACCTGCACGACTATGTCCCATGAGTGAGCCCAACAAGCTCGCTCAGGAAGAGGAGCTCGCCATTCTCCATTCCATATTTGGAGTGAGTCCAAGCGAGGCTCATCTGCGCCGCCGTGCGCTCGTCAGCTTTTTGCAGGGGGGAGGCCTTATCAGACTGCAGCCGCTGGGTGCATCACTCCATCACACGCACCGGCGGACAACTCGGCCACCTTCCTCGGCTACTTACTGACAGCAGGACGACTGGAAAGACATCCCCCCGAAGAAGACCGCATGGGGTACCGAGGGCGAGCATGGATGGTGGGAAGTCCAGCTGCGCGGCAATGAGGAGCCGCGCGTGCGCATCAAGCTCAAAGGTCGCTTCCCCAAGGTGAGTCGCGCTTCCGCACCGCCCTGGCTGACCAAAGAACTACCCTTCGTCGGCACCGCCACTGCTCTACCTTCTTGACCCCATCAAACTCACCGCCGACCATGTGCGCAAATTGCAGCGCGCCCTTGACGAGAAGGCCAAGTCTCTCGTTGGCGGGCCTGCCTTCATCTTTGACGTAAGCAATCAATCTAAGTGATGGCCTTTACCTCGTGCCCTCGACAGCTCGCCCTACTAACACCCAGTTGACCGACTTCATTTCGCTTTGGATGGACAAGAATCACGTCCCCCTGCCCAAGCCGGGTGAGCCAGAACCGACTCTCATGGAAGAAATGGCCATCAGGGAAGAAGCACAGCGAGCAGTAGGTTGCTGATGGTAATATAAATCTAACCCAAGGCGGAAGAGGCACAAAGGAAGTCTGAACGAGAACATCGACTGGCGGCAGAAGCAGAACAAAAACGCATTCTCAACGAGCGCATCCAACTGGATACATCGCGCAAGGAAGAGCGCGTCCGAAAAGCTCTCATCGACCAAGACCGCCGGCAGCGCGAGGAACGTGTGTCAGCTCTTGCGGACGGCGAGTTTGAGATGCGCGAGCTTGTACTCAAGGAACCTATCTCCGTCGACGGGTATCAGGGCAAGTGGGCTAAGTGGTCCGTCTTTGCAGGCCGCCGTGAACAGCTATGGACGTCGTACACGGCCGAGCCCGTGTCCGCCGACAAGGACCCGAACTTTGTCAAAGTCTCGACGCCCACCGTTACCGTACAAGTCGTCGACTTTACCAACCGCTACTACAATGGTGCTCACGGTCAGAAGCGCATCGATACGCTTATCAGCGAACTCTCGCGTCTCATGGAGGTGCGCTCGCCGCATGTCGCACGAGTGTTTGCAGTCGAGAAGACTAAGAGCCCCAAAGGGTGGGAGCGTCTCATCGTTGTCGTGGAACGCGTCCCAGAAGCGGGGCGGCTGCGCACATGGCTTCCGAAGGACGGCTTCGGAGAGGAACGGGCAAAGGTGCGCCAGACCAAGGTGTCTGAGTTGACCATCAGGAGTACATCATACAGATCTTGCAGGGGCTGTCGGATTGCCATGATGCCTATTGCATGCAGAAGCGTGAGTCGCGTCAAAACTATGTCTGACGCAAGAACTTGATTGCGACCTTGTCCTCTTGAGTGCCGGCGAGGAGGACGACATTCGTGTGAAGGTTTCCGGAACGGGCTACGCCAAACGCCTGGTTGAGTACCACCGCTCGAATCCGTTCCTCAAGACGCCCCCAGAATCCTATCCTGAGTCATGGTGGGTGTTTTACTGAAGTAGACGCTTACCGTCAGGTGGTCTCCGGATGAAATAGACTCACCCTACACTTACACTCCTAAGCGTGACATCTGGCAGGCTGGTCTGATTCTTCTACAAATGCTGTTCGGGCGCAACTGCCTTTGGACCTATCATGACTTGCCAACGCTTCTGCAACATGGTGAGTGGGTCCTAACTTTGTTTGCTGATCTCCAGCACCTGGTGGGGTTTCTAACTCAGTAGCAGATTTGCTGCGGGGCATGATCCAACCTGTGACCAGGCGACGGTTTACGGCGGCGGAAGCATTGAAGAAGCTGCGTGCAGCGGAAGACGAGACTACAAACAGGCCATCTCGATCAGCCCCTCCCTCGGTGCCAAGTAGGTGGACACCATGTCTCAGCTGACTCCCAGTGAGCCAGACAGCGTCTGGCTCTGGCGTCGCATCGGCCACGACTAGCTTCCACCCAGACCTATTCGGCAAATCGCCGGGGCAAGGGAGTTTCTACTACCCGGTCGCGCCCGCTGGGTCGTTACGTTACTCGCGATACCGTCAGGACTTCGAAGAGGTCGAATTTCTTGTGAGTGCTCTGACGGACATGAACGACATCAGCTAACCGCAGGGAAAAGGAGGCTTCGGCGAGGTGGTCAAAGCGAGGAACAAACTGGACGGCCGCCCCTACGCTATCAGTGAGCGAGTGAGCAGTGGATGTGAGCTAATTGCCAGAGAAGGTTAAGCTGCGTCCAGAAGATGACGTCCAGCGCGTGCTGCGTGAGGTTAACGCTTTGTCGCGCGTCAGCCACCAATACATTGTGCGGTACTACAGTTGTTGGCTCGAAGACGTCGGGCTGCCCGACGGACCCCTGGATGGCGACGCGTCTACCGTTCAGTCGTCCGTCAACTCTTCGAACGTTAACTCATCTAACGTGTCGTCTGAGAGCGATATCTTTGCCGTCAAGTTTGACGACTTTGACAAATCTATTTCTCGACGAGACCATTCTAAAAGCGCCTCATTTCCACGTATCCGTTTCGCCGACGACGATGATGAAGAAGAAGACGAGGAGGGCGAGAGCGATGACGAGGACAGCTGTGACGACGATGACAGCGACAGCAGCGGCTGGGCAAGCGAGCATACTGTCGCTGACCCCTCGGCTTCAGTTCCTAAGAAAGCTCAGACCCAACCGATTGCGATCTCGAAACCCTCTACTAAGCCTTCGACCTCATACACCGGCACCACCGACAATGACGAATCGGTGCAAAGAATCCTGTACATACAGATGGAGTTCGTGGAGAAGCAAACTCTTAGAGAGGCCATCAGCGCGGGTCTAAACGAAGACGAGTGCTGGCGCCTGTTGGTTCAAATTCTTCAAGCTCTCGCACACATGTCGACGTCAGGCATTGTCCACCGGGATCTAAAGCCCTCGAACATCCTTCTAGACGCCAATGGAAATGTCAAGATCGCTGACTTTGGTCTCTCGGTGAGTCGGTGTGTAATTGAGAGATGCAAGACTGACTCAGCACAGACAACAGATCTTCCAGCCGCCGACCTACCTCTAGGCCAATTTGACATATCCACAGAGGACGTTGACCGCACCTCAAACATCGGCACAAGCTCCTACATCGCTCCTGAGGTGCTCGTCTCGAAGTCGTACAACGAGAAGGTGTGTCAAGCCTTCGCAGGTTGTTGACGCTTAGGCCGACATGTACTCACTTGGGGTAATCTTCTTCGAGATGTGTTACCCCTTTAAGACTGGAATGGAGCGTGCCAACGTGCTTGGCGCCTTGCGGTCGAAGGAGGTTGTCTTCCCAGATGCTTGGCCCGCTACCAAACTGCCTAAGCAACGCGAGATCATTTCCCTGTTGATGTGTCACGACCCCGCCATGCGACCTCAGGCAACACAATTGCTAAGTGGTCCGCTCGTGCCCACAATCAACATGGGGGAGCAGTTCTATGACAGCGTCATTGCTGGTGAGCTGGATGCTGCTGCTCGAACTAACAATAGAAATCACTAATCCCCGGTCGGAGAAGTACCCAGCGCTGATTGAAGCCCTGTTCGCAACGGACGCAAAGTTCAAGTTCCACATGGACAACCGCACTGAAGACTACACCTACGATAACGAGCACGACGATACCCTCTTCTCCTGGCAGACCGTCGTCAACGGCAGGATCAAGAAGCTGTTCCGTCGACACGGTGCGATGGAGGTGTATCTCCCACTGTTGTTGCCAGAGACTACGTTGCTCAAACCGTACCCGGAACGCGCTCCTGTCCGGCTCCTTGACTCCGGAGGCCGATTCGTACGGCTTCCGTCTTCCAATCTAGTCGGCATGGCCCGGTCCACCTCTCGCCAGCGAATCGAGCGTATCAAGCGTTACGTCGTTACCCAGCGCTACACAGAGCAAACCGCCGGGGGGCAGCCTGGGGCACATACAGAACTCTGGTAAGCTCGCACCAACTGCTACGTGCGCTCACATCAGTTTTGAAATCATCTCGCCTGTCCGCTCTTTGGCTGCAGAGGGTGAGCTGCTCGAGCTCATGGATCGCGTAGTCATGGAATGCCTCGGACCCAAGCAGAGTGCAGTCGTGGATTATGAGTTCCACATCAGTCACGAAAGCAGTGAGTGAAGGCAGATAAGCATCGCTGACAGTCAGTCTTGGCAATGTTGCTTTCCACCTGCCCTTCCCAACTGCGATCTAAAGTTCTGAAGGCTTTCAAAGGACCAGCAACGGGGGTGTCCTTTGGGCACTCGAGGCCGTCGCTTGCGACAATTTCGGGACTGTCGCCGAACTGCATCCAGGACTTCGAGAGGGTCAGTCCTGTGGACGAGTTCGACGTCGTCAGGAAGGCGCTAGTGGAGACGTATCCGCAGTTCTCGCGCAAGTTCGCCTTCGCTTTCGAGGAGATTCAGACCGCTATTCGGCTCGCTCGGTCCAGCGGCGTGAAACGCAAAATATTGTTCAGACCCACTCTATCCAAACACTGCGAGTACTACCGCGGCGGGATCATGTTCGAGTGCGTGCGCAAGAGTAAGCACAGTGAGGTAATTGGCTATGGTGGACGTCACGACTCGTTGCTAGACCACTTCAAGGACCCTCAGATTCTTACTCGCCCCGTCCACGGTGTCAACCTGTCTATCGCCTCGGACATGCTCACGCGCATTGTCCGCAAACAGGAGCTTGCCAACGCGAAGGAGTTGTTGTCCAAGAAGAAGAGTCCAGAAGAGCGCTCCTTCGGCATATGGGCACCGAATGTGAGATAAGACTGAGAGGCTAAGCTTACCTCAGCGGTGCGACGTTTACGTCTCGTCGACCTCGGCAGTCAACATCGGAGACCGCCTCACTCTCTGTGGACAGCTTTGGCGTGCCGGCATCAGAGCCGATCTGCAGTACGATGATGGCCGCACACTACAACAGGTGATCGAGGAATGCCAAGACCAGAGCATTCTCTACGTCGTCATCATTCGCGGCCACAAAGACGAGGCGAAGGTCATCCGTGTGCTTACTGGCAAGAACTCGGAAGAGTCTGTTCCAGAGGACAAACTGATAGGTTGGCTCAAGAACGCGATCGAGAGCCAGCGCCGCATAGACCGCGCGTATGCCGACGGCACCACACCAATCGTCCGCAATCAGGCTAAGGAGGCCCAGGAACAGCAACACACCACCCGGCTCACCAACGTGGAAATCAATCTTGTTCTTCCCCCGGAGCCGCTTACAACGCGCGGCGTCAAGAACAAGGCAACCCGAAAGTATCGCCACGGCACAAAGGCGGTGTACTACGAGAAGGGTGAGATGGCGTTTACATTGACAATGCTAACCCCAGCTGACGAATTTGCGGCAAACGTCAAGTCGGCGTTGCCCGTTATCGGAGTGGACCTTTCGCCTGAACTTCTGTCATCCATGACGTTGGAGACGAACTGGATCACAGATGACGAGGCTTGGCGCAACCTGACCCACACCGTTCTCCCCAACTCGGAGCGCAGTTACGCCGCGGAGGTGCGGCGCGCCGTGGCCGAACACGCTAAGAGTCCTGGCGGCTGCGTGTGGCTGTTCTCCGTGCGCGAGGCGAGGGTGAGTGAAGGAATGCTCCGCATAGAAGACGTGGATTTCAGCTGACACGCAGGGTTTCCTCTTGCAGCTTCCCGCTACACCCAATCATCGATAGAACAACATACATTCTCGAGTCCCAAACGAATACGCGTACCTACCGATATGAGTACCCACAAAGTGTATGCACATAATTACTCCTGTCCTCGTGCGTGTCCCCGACTCATAGTATTTTGAGGGAGCCGAGAACGGCAGGGAACGCTGGTCTGTGACTCCTTAGGCTCTAAAACTGGTCAGGTCCACGTTCCAACCCGCATTTCCTCCCCAATCGCTCCCGAATCCCCAGAGCGCGCTGTCCCCTGCAGCAGTATTGTCATTCAGCAGCCAGTCAAGGCTCGGCGCCACATCGTTCTGCGGCACGTCCCACGGCAGCTCAAAAGGCATGTCGTCCACAAGTGCGGCGTTGAGTCCGGGTTCCAGAGGTTGGGATGAGGTTGACGGTGTGGAACCGGAATACTGCTGCAGAGAAGTGGGGAGCGAGCCTGTGAAGAGAACATCCGTGCTCAGCGAGTTATCCGAGGGCGCCTCGAGGCAGAGGCCGAGCAAGAACGAGCCGTAAAATTGGGCGTAGCTGTCCGGTCCATCACCATTTGGCGCCATACAAAGCGCGACGGCTTTAACGAGCTCGAGAGATGCAGCCCGATCCAGCTGGTTTCAGCCCGAGATCGTGCTGTGACTCACGCGTAGCAGGAGCACTGCTGCCCAACTCAGCATCCCACAAACAGTACGGAGGACGTGCTGCATCCGCAGCCCAAACGCCTCCAGTACATAGCTCAAGTTCGCGCGGGCGTTGTGTATCACAACCTCTGGCGGTGCGCTGCTCGCTGTGATGATTAGCAGGTTGATGTGGTGCTGAAGCACACGCATCATGTTCATCGGTTCTGCGGTCAGTCACTCTCCCTGCCTCGACGAACCTGCCGCAGCTAGCTCCGGTGTGAGCCACTCAATCAGCCACTGCTCTAGAACCACGCCCGTACCCGCCCGGACTCCGTCGACCATGTACGCCCGCTGCGCCGAGCGGACTTGATCACGCGCATCTCGCTCAATCCGACGCAGCTCGAGATATCCTACGATCATGCGGTCGCCATGCGTGGCGTACGGATGTTCCAGCCACCGCCGCATTGCAGAGATGTCCGGGAACTCATGAATCATGAAAGGCTTCCCGGATGTGGCCGCGAGACTGCGGTCTTGAATGAACAGGGCGCACCACGTTCGCACCTTGTCGCGGTGGAAGCTGGAGTCAATGTGTGCACTCCACGACCGCTGCACCTTCCCCAACTCACCGTTGTGTCTCCTCATCTCCCTCGCTGGGCGAGAGCCGGTTCAAGCCCAGCTCGAGGGCCATGTTGATCGCCAGTGCGAGGAGCATGCGGCTCGGGTCGTCGACGATGCGGGCGGGACACATCGGCCAAAGGAGCATCACCATTAGGCCGAGTACGATCTCGGGGCTCTTAGCGTTCCGCGCAAGCACGGTCATAAGCACACGCTCTGCGTGGGCGAATAGTCTCGGCGCGGCCTCGCGTTCCGTGCTCAGCGCCGCGGCCGCCAAAACAGCAGTCGTGAGGAGTGCACTCCGGGCACGCAAATTAGGCAATGTGTGTATATGCCGATCCATGAACCCGATCTGCGGCGCATTGTTCTCAAAGTACCGTGCCACAAGCGTGGTAGCCAGCGCCTCGTCCACCACGCCGCGCGAAATGGGGTCGAGCACGTCCGCAGTGTCACGCTTGGCTGCGCCGGGACGATGGCGGAAGTATGTCCGACGACGCGCACTTGCCGCGGCCAGCTGCGACCCCGTCCATCCGGGCACGCCCCAGCCTACGCTTGCCGCGGGGAGGGAGGATCCGATGTCACTCAGCACGCGCAGTGGATGCTCTCCAGGATCTGGGGAGGCGCGGGCGCTGTCGACCACGAGATCGGCGTCATAGGGCGGCGAGGCGGGCTCGACGTCGCGGTCGGGTGTGCGGCTGGTGTCAGAGGTGTGTGCTCCGGTGGTAAAAAAACAAAGAAACTTTGACGAAAGGGGAGAAAAGCGGAAAGCAAGGCGTGCACTCACCGTCGCTCTGACGCCCGCAACGCGCCGAGCTCCTCTTCCTTCTGCGCGACCTGCACGGCCTTAGCCTCGGGACTCAGCGCGCCCTTCCGGATCCGGTCCAGTGCGGCCTGAACGTGCGCGACGCTCTTCTCGAGTCCAGTGCGTTTACTGCGGTCAGTATCCTGCTCCCCAAGGATTGGGCGTACTTTCTCGACCCGAGCACACGACCGCGGCGCGACTTGACGACCTCACACTCAATGTTGAGCGTTGAGCAGCGGTCGCATCGTCCGTCGCCTGTACGGCGGCATTTGGACTTGAGGCGACGGCATCTGGATCAGTCTGGGGAAGGTGAGCGATCTGACGTACTGCAGACACGCTGCCGCCGCGCGTTGTCGCGCTCCGCTTGACGAGCCTGGGGTCAGGGGCACCGCTGCGGAGACTCACCTTCGCCTTCTGCGTCGAGGATGAAGTTGAGGTCGACAGAGGGAGAACGAGCAGTGTGGACGTTGTCTGCGCTTGGCCTTCTTCTATGACTCGGTGACATTGGCGCAGGGGTCTGCTCTGATGTCAGAATGAGCGATGGTCACAAGGTCAAGTGCGGGGAAGTCATCGCCGGCTATCTAGATCTACACCAAGCGACCTCCACACCGCGGTCACCATACACGGCTTCCTCTGCTCATCCATGCATATGTGCTCTACATTGAATTCTAGTCCTCAAAATCCCACTCAAACGCAGCTGGCATCTCGCCATCCCAGTCCATATCCTCCATGTTCGCGGACGACGGCACATCAGCAGCAGGTGCGGGTGTTGATGTCGCGTCTGGAGTCTCCCACAAGGCCTTGTCGAGCTCAATGTACTCGCCCTCATCACCATCACCCTCGCGCGTGTCGTCCAAAAGCAGGATTTTGCCGCTCCATTGCACGCGCGAGCGGCCATCGGCCGGGCGAGCGTCGTCCCACGCCGCCCTGTCGCCCACAGAGCGGAGCGGAAGGTAGCGACCCTTCGGGGGCGGAATAGATGCGGCCTCAGTCGAAACCGTGGGAGGACTTGTCGCGCCGTTCGCAGCACTGGAAGATGACGACGGGATGGGGTCGTATGGACCGGTGATGTACGGGAGCTGAGAGGGGGTAACGCGCGTCATGTTCCCGACAATGGAATAGGATGGCTCATTCGCCACGCGCTTCTCCTCCTGAGGCTTGGTCTCCTTTTCAGGAGTAGATGGCTCGTCCTTCTCGTCCATGTCCATCGCGTCGCCTCGCTCAGCCTTCTTCGACTTAGCACGCGCCTTCTCCTTGGCCGTCGTCGACAGAACTGCCGTCCGCGCCTTCTTCTTCTCTTCCTTGGTCTCAGGCTTCGCCTGGGATGGGTATGCAAACGTGCTCGGCTTTGCCCATGAAATGAAGTCGACCTTGGGGATGCGCAGCTTGTCATCCACGCCAATAACGGCCGTTGGGCTGAAGGTGAGACCCAAGAAGTGGGCCAAAGGGTACCAGTACCAGAACTGGCAGAAGAGGACCATGCCGACGATCGCCTTCATGTCTGGTGTACCAGCGCGTGTCGCGAGCGAGATTGTCATATTACGCCCTCCCGCGTCGATGATGCCCTGGGCGAGGGAAGCGCCGAAGCGCGCAAGGGGGTCCTCGCGCTTGTCGTTGACGACCCTGCTGAAGAGTTGACGAATCTCGCGCACCTTCGGGGCCTGCGCTTCGGTCTGCTGGATCAGGACCATGGCGAGAGCCATGTACGCTCCTTGGCGCACAAAGTCGACAGGGTCCTTGGTCATGGGCTCGAGAAGCTCGATCGCAGAGTTGAGACCAGTTCCGGCACAAGAGATACCAAGGGCGAGGGTAGCGCCGTGGCGCACGTGTGGGTTGTAGCTCTCCGAGAGGAGCTGGACAACACGAGGGACCTGCGCGTAGTTCCGGAAAAGGACAAAGCCAATGGCAATGACAGCGGCGCGGCGAACATCATCGTTGACGTCGGAGACAGCAAAGTGCAGCAGCTGTTTGATGACCTTGTTGTCGCCTGTACCGACATAAGCAAGCGCGTAGACGAACATGCCACCGTAACGAAGGATGGCATCCTGCCATTGTCAGTAACGCTCCAAATGTCATGACTCACGTTGCTGGTTGTGAATTGCTGGATCACGTCCGAGGAGGCGTCGCGCTTGCCGTACATGATGAGAGCTGTGCCGATGGCAATACCGCGTACAATCTTCTCGTGCCGTGTCTCGCTGGCGTACGAGATCATCTCGTCCAACACTCGTTCATTGGGCTGACCAAGCATGACAAGACCCATCGCGTATCCCGCGGCCTCCGACGATGTCGCGTTGTCCTGATAGAGCATGTTCTTGAGCTCATCGTAGATGTCTATCGAAGTCAGCATTACACGAGAAGGCAACTCACTCTCATCACCAGTGGCGAGAGCGGCCACACCAAGACCCAAGGCAGCGCCATGCTGGACTATAGGGTCGTTGACCTCGGAGAGACCTTTACGAAGCTCCTCCTCCGCGCCCTCCTTCCTCCCAGTGTAGATGAGGCCGAGAGCGAAGAGCGCACCGCCCTCGGAGAACTTCGACGGCGCTTCTCCTCCGGGAAGGTATGGCTTGACGACACGCCGACCGTGGATATACGAGCCGCGATGGATGAGACCCAGGGCCGCGGTGGTCGAGAACTTAGCCCAGTTTGACGCGCGGCCAAGCCAGTCGAGATTCTCACGCAGGAAGCGGTCCGACGTGGTGCCGCAGTTGGCAAAGCCGTTGGTGAAGGTAAGGGCGGAGTGGTAGATCGAGTAACGATCATCGAGAGACACCTTGGTGAGGCTCAGAATGCGCATGTCGGTCTGATTATTGTTTTTGAGGAAGTTGAGGTAGAGTTGGGCGACCTGGGACCCATTAAGGATTGCGTCGAGCGCGTTGCGCTCCTCCTCTGTCCCCGAGTGCCCGTCTGGCCCCCAGTAACGGTCGACGAGATGAGCACGGAGGTGCTCGAGGAAGTTCTGCGGTGCCATCTCGGACACGTCGAACGCGATCTGGTACGCCTCCAGCCGTCCCTTCCGCCCATGCTTCTCGAGCAGCGACACGATTTCGTCACCGCATGCGACAGCATCGTCCAACAGCACCCAAATCTGCGTAATTGCAAAGTAATCGGTTGGTTGCGAGAGCTTGAACAGCTTGAGCAAGAGAACGAGCAGGTCGCGGCGGAACGCATCGGGCCACGCGTCGCTGCCACCTGCCCCACCGACTGTCTCGGCGAGGATATAGCGGAGAAGAGTCTCGTCGAGTGCAGTAGATCCGGAAGGGGACTGCGAGGTCTGGTAAATAGCCTCGATAAGGTCGAGGCGCCGGAGCGAAAGTGCGAGTCCAATGGCCTTTCGTCAGAAGGTGATAACAAGCCAGCAAACTCACCAGCTTGGCTCCGTCGCCCGACCCCAGGCATATAACGCCGTTGACGATCTCGTTCAAGCGCGGGTCGATCCGCTTGCCAGAGTGAGTTTCGGAGATGGCGCGGTCGATACATCCAGAGATGATAGTCTCCTTGAACTCGCCATATGGCTCCTTCTCGAATGCTGCGGCAGCGCGAAGGGCAAACTCGACAGCCTCGTCGCGCTCGCCGAGGAAGAAGTAGACCTTGGAGCAAAGGAGGGCAGCGAGTGGCCTGCTCTCGGGCGCCAACTCTGAGAACTGGGGGTCCGCGAGTGATTCAATGTAGGGGAGCTCTTCACTGATCTCGGCCCAAAATTGAGGCACGATCGTGAGGAGGTGCTCGAGGGCGTAGATGCGAACGTCGCGGTCCTCGTCCTTGAGGAGGGCGAGCGAGCCAGCTGGAGCGTAAGCTAGGGTGTACGGGCTGGGATGCTCACCAGCGCTAGTAGTGACTGTTGCCACGGTCATTGTGGCTCCAGCTACTGTTGTGGGATTTGTGACGAGCGTTGATTGCAAGGAGAATGGTAGTTGCTGAATGTGTATGCTGTTGCTGACGGTCACCTCGACGACACCTCCAGTTCCAGCCAGAATGACGATGGCTACTCCGCGCATGCGCGTCGAGCCTCACCCAGGGCGAGAGTATTCCACGTGGACTTAACCCCGTCATGTGGCGGTGGAGGTGCCGCTCGCCACCCAAGGTTCCTCGTGCCTGAGCTCGGAATCTCGACGCGTCGGGCCACGATCGAGGCAAGTCTTCCCTCATTTCGTTCACGTAGCAGGCAGCATGGGTACGTCTTGACAGACCTTTGCAGTCTCGCTGTCATATATCTGGGAAATAATGAGCTGACAGCAGGCCTCCTCACCATCATTCGGAAGAACAAGGCGAAGGCGCGCGAGATGCGCGTTCTCTTCCTGTGAGTCTCCACCTTCGGCAATTTATGGTACAGCGTCTTCTGCAGGTTAATTGACGCGCAGCGGCCTCGACAACGCAGGAAAGACGACAATTCTGAAGCGCATGTCCGGCGGCGACATCAGCTCGATTTCCCCTACGCTTGGCTTTAATATTCAGACTTTGATGCGGGGCGAGTACACGCTCAACATCTGTGCGTTTGGAAAACTGACTCTCCCCGATGGCTGACCGCAGGGGACGTGGGAGGGCAGCGGACGTTGCGACCGTACTGGCGCAACTACTTCGAGAGCACGGATGCGGTCGTGTGGGTCGTGGACAGCTCAGACGCATTGCGCATGGGCGACGGCGCCGAGGAGCTGCGTGCGCTGCTCTCAGAAGAGGTGGGTGCTGTCGGTGAGGCCATGATGGAACTGACAGTAGCGCCTCGCTGGGGCAACGCTTCTTGTGTTCGCGAACAAGCAGGACCTTGCGGGTTCCCTGAGCGTCGACCAGATCAGAGACGTACGTGTCATGTGGCGCAATGACGCTGACACCAGGCTCTCGGACTTGAGCAGATCGAGTCTCACAAGTGGCGCATCGTACCGTGCAGTGCCATATCAGGCGAAGGTCTCGACGAGGGTATGGACTGGGTCGTCGGTGAGGTGGCGGGGCGGCTGTACTGGAGCGGACGACGAGCGCCCGCTGAGGCGCCGGAGTCCGTATCGCATCCTCCAGTAGTTTCTGCGTGAGTGACCATTATCTCGGCATCTATAATACACCTTTATGTACGATCAACAACTCGCAGTCTACTTCTTGCATACACTAAAGCTGTGCCGAGAGAGTAAGGTACGGCTCCTCCCAGTCCTTGATGTCCGAGATGGTGAGCTGTTCACGCTTCTCGAGCTCCTTGAAGCTCTTCTCTGCGCGCATCTCGTCGTCGAACCGGCGAATATGCTTGAACCTGCGAGACAGCGCATAAATGAAGCCGTCCCAGCTCATGGTTGCGCAGAAGATGTAGTCGACAGCGGTCGGCCGGTCACCCGCGAGGTACTTGCGCTCGAGGAGGAGCTTGTCGAGCACACCATACATCATCTTGAGACGATCAAGGGTGAGCAGCCGCACTCCATGAGCGTACTGCGGAGAGCCATCCTTGTCGGCGTACATCCAGTCACGGAGGGCCGGCAGGATGGAGTTGACGACGAAGATGAACGCCTCATCGAATGCGGCGCGCTCGGCCAGTGGTGCATCGAGGGCGGGGCGGAGGCGGGCCTGTGGGTGCTCTTCGGCGAGAATGAGTGCACACGCGCCAGCTTCAGTGATGGTCACGCTCGCGCCAGAGGAGGGGTGGGCGACGAGCGTCGGGACGCGCTGCTTGCTGTTGACCTTGGCGTAGCGCTCGGTCTTTTGCTCGCCCTTGGGAAGGCAAATCTCCGAGAAGTCGAACTTGATGCCCTGGGTCTGCTCGAGGTGGATGAGGAGCCAGTGGATGCCGGTCGAGGCCGTGTTGGGGCAGCCGTAAAGAGTGTAGCTCGGGGCCATAGTTGCAAGATGAACGGAGTGGAGTGGGGTGAGGTGTTGAGAATGGAGGACCCCGAATAGTTGCGGCGTTTAGATAGTCGAGACACGAGTGCCACGAGCAAGAGTGGTCAGTCACGATCAGTCAGCAAGGTCAGGCAGGGGTGGGCAATGACGACACGGGCCCGAGTCAGCAGTCAGCTTCCCCGTGGGGTCATGCCGCAAGTGACATGTGGGTCACGGGCGGGCCGGGCCGATCGCCGCGGTCGTTACGAGGAATCCCCAACTTGTAAACAATTTCCCATTTACAACGGCAGGAACATGTCGTTGCCGAGTTAGATATCCCATCTCTCCCGCTTCATATCCCATTGCATCCTCCGTTCCGCATCGCTCTTGTGTCATTTATCGGGCTGTTGAGCAGCCTGCTCTCTCAGATCTCTCTAATCTTCTCCATCTTCACTTAATCTTTCTTCCCATCGCACGCACGCTTTGCCACCCGCCATGTCGCATACCCCCGTCCCCGAGCCCACCGAGGGCCGCGAGCACCGCGTCCTGGTCCTCGGCACGGGCGGGACCATCGCGTCGGAGCGCACAGCCGAGGGCTTCAAGCCACTGAACGAGAAGAAGGCGCGCGACGCGTTCTACCGCCGTATCGCGCGACACCCGCAGCTGAGCGACGCCGACGCCTGCGGCGACTTTGACAATATCCCAGCGACCAAAGTGGGCCGAAACACTCGGTATCCGCCATTGCGGACGCCGGCGCTCGACGAGCACGGAAACACGGTTGTGTACGAGATTCTTGACCTTGAGAATCACATGGACAGTAGCGAGATGACGCCCAAGGACTGGAATATCATCGCCGCGCTCCTGCACGAGAACTGGGATAACTACGAGGGCTTCGTTGTGCTCTCGGGCACCGACACGCTCGCGTACACGTCTAGTGTCCTTACCTTCCTTTTCGTGGACGCCGGCAAGCCCATTACCGTGACGGGCGCCCAGATCCCGCTGCGAGAGGCGCGCAGCGACGGCTGGTACAACCTCCTCGAGAGTCTTATCGTTTCTGGATGCCTGCCATACGCCGGCGTCGGCGTCTGCTTCAACCACGAGGTGCTGCAAGGCTGTCGCGCCACCAAGTCGTCCCCAAACCTCCTGCACGCATTTGAGACGCCCTCGGTTGCCCCTTGGATCCGGCTCAACGTCCGCATCAGTGAGCGCCCTCGTGAATCAAGAGCTGACGCCAGCTGCTCTGCCCAATCTTACGCGCAGGAGTGCTGCTCCTCCCCCTCCGCTGATAACGCTGCAGGAGGCGCCGAGCGTACTCTCTTGTGCCATCTACCCGGGGATTACAGGCAGCATCCTCGCCACCCAAATTCACAGCATGCCGACCTGTAAGGCCGTCATCATTTCGGCCTTCGGCAGCGGTAATCTTCCTGTAAAGGAGGAGAGCGGGGTGTTACAGGCCCTGGAGGCGACAGTCAAGCGCGAAATTCTCGTGGTCGTCGTATCGAGCTGTGAGTCTAGGCAGAATTGTGATCGTTGGTGTGCTGCTGCATGGGCCAAGCTTATACCAGGTCACATTCCTAACATTTACCCATTGTACGCACTCGGTGTGCGACTGCTCAGCATCGGCGTGCTTCCTGGCTTTGACATGACCCACGAGGCAGCCTTTGCGAAGCTGTCGTGGCTAGTCTCACGCTCCGACTTGAGCTTTGAGGACAGACAGCGCGAGTTCCAGACGCCCATTGCTGGCGAGATCACGGCGTAGGAGACAACAATTCTGTGAGCTACCTGGTTGACTCATCTGGATAGACATTGTACTCTTCTTGGTCCGGGCAAGGGGCACCTTGACCCGCAGCATAATGCAACTCGTACATAACATCAAATGGTCTACAGCACACCCACTCGCGCCATCAGCGGCCATCGCGCAGTGTGGTCATCTACTTCTTCTTGCGCGTCACCTCATCGGGCTTGACCATGTGCAGCATGATCTTGGTCGGATTGGTGCCCGCGGGGGCTGCGCCGCCGTGGCCCTTGGACCAGTCATACGACATGGCGTACGCCATGATATCGCAAGTGTGGTTAAACGCGGTAGACACAATTGGTGTGCCCCATACTGGTGGCCGTGCCTCAGTGTCGCCGTTCTGGAGGTCCTTGGCCGAGAACGCTGAGATTAGTTGAGAACAGACTTGTCACAGCTCACTCTTAAGCTTGGTGCGCGCAACACCATCCCAAAAAGTAATGGAACCGTCACCACCACCAGTGCAGAATGTGCCTTGAATCTTGTGGAAAGTGATGGTGTTGATAGGGAATACGTTCTGTGACCCAGTTGTCGCAGGCGCTCCCATGCTCCCCGCGGGAATGTCAACTCGGTGGCACTTGAACGAAAAGCTTTTCCTAGGACTGTCAGTAAAGCTCAACCCACCATACCCACTTGTCGTCGTTCGTGTGTGTGTACTGGAATCCCACTCGCCCCTCGATACTGCCGATAGCGTAACCATTCTCACCAGTCACCGACTGTGGGAAGCACGAGATGACACGCGTCTGCCACTTGAGTGGCGACTCCACCTGACGGTACTTCGTGAATGGGTTCGAGAGGTCGTAGATATGAATTTGCCGGTCGGCGGTGCCAACGACGGCTATCTTCTCGGTCGCGTCCATGGCATACGCGCGGTCGCTCAGATCTTGCACATTCATGGGGTTTGACGAACGCAGGTCCCAGTACTTCTGTCAGGGCACGCTCTGGCGCTTGCTCACCTTCATCTTCTTGTCCCAGCCCGCAGTCACGAGCACCTGTTGTCCATTGACCTCTATGTAGCGCACGCACTTGACGGGTGCGTCGTGCGCCGCCACCTGTTGCTTCTGCATCGAGGTCATGTCAAACATGTGCACAGCATTGTCACATCCGGCCGAGAAGAGATGTGAACCATTCTGTGGTCAGCCGGCCACTAACACCTTCACTGCGGCTGCAGCGCACCTTGGTCCAGCAGATGTCGAGCACCGGTGCGTCGTGGTTGTACATGTGCTTGGGCTCGTTCTGCCCCTGGTTGGAGACGTTGTACAGCCGCACCTTTCGTCAGTTGATGGCAATCGCGGCCAAACCCACATTGTTGTCCCAGCTGGCAACGGCGAGGACATCCTGCGTTGGGGAAAAGTCGATTTTGGAGACCGAGTCGGTGGGAGGCTGGGCCAGCTCAATATCCTTCTGAGCCACGCGGAATTGAGAGCCCATCATGGTAGGCGAAGGATGGCGTGGGGGGAATGTGCGTTGGGATTAGGACTCGGCAAGCGAGATTTGAATGTTCAGAGCGCGCACGCCAGGCGCGGAGGAAGAGGAAGAGGGAGATCCAAAGATGAGCGTCGAGAGTGACGGGATAATCGATGACCTGAAGGTTGATGTGAAGATGATGAAGCGAATAACGGTGGAGATGTGTGGATGGATAAAAGAGTACCCGCCGCTGTCGTTGTGTGTGTCGAGATGATGGTTCAGAAACATGCCATCGCCCACCGTGGGAGAGTTGGAGGCCACCTACCACCGTGGGAATGTTATGACAAAAGTTGGTGCGTCGAACCCTCTGGTGCTCATGTCGACATGAGAGGCCTGCAAGCCCCCTTCACATCTTACCAAGCATCTCTTCATCACCATCACCATCGCCATGGAGATCACCGAGCTCTTTGAATTCCTCTCGAGTCCCAACCCGCAGGCGCGTCACATTGCGCTCAAGAACATTGTCGGGCACACCCCTAAGAACGACCCGAAGCGGAGCATCTTCATCCCGTCCTCGTTCGCGCCGCTGCCGGGGCAGACCGATGGCCTGAAGCGCAAGGAGGGCGCCGAGGCTGACGACGTAAAGGTCAAGTGCATCCATGACCTGGCCAACCTCTGCCGTGACCAGGCTGCGATTGCACACGATGCGCTCTCGGCGCTCATCAACCTGTCGGACAACCTCGCCGTGGCGCGACAGCTCGCTACAGAGTCATTTCTCATCTGGCTCGTGTCATACACTGCCGTAAGCCAGTCTGATCTATCAAGCTGATGGCAGAACACGACGTCTCCTCTTTCCCCGCTCACCGCCATGCTGTTGTCCAACCTGACGTCGCACCCGGGCCTTGTCCCCATGCTGGCCAACCTTACCGTGCCGATCGTCGGGCTTCCCAAGGCCAAGACGTACCCGCCATGGTTCCTGCCTGCCGCAGCGTCCGCCTCATCGACCATCCACCCCGAGTACCGCGACCCCGCGATCTCGACGAACGAGGAGGCAGGTCAGGAGCCCGAGCGCGAGATCGAGGCCGTGCGCGCACTCGTCCAGGCCTTCGAGGACGGCGCCAGCGACGGTGTCAAGGAGGGCAAGGGGAAGCGCAAGGGCGAGGTCCACTTCCTGGCCTCCGTGTTCGCCAACCTGTCCATGGTGAGATTGAGGATCCGATCAGAGCTGACCCCAGGTGCCTGCAACCCGCTACCTCCTCCTCACCCCACAGCCATCTTTCCCCTCCCCATCATCTGACATCTCGGACAACGACGAGCCTCTCCTCGCCAAGATTGTCGTGTACACGGAGCACCCAGACACGATCCGCCGCGGCGGCGCGTTGGGATGTATCAAGAACTGCGCGATGGACAGGGCCTCGCACGCATGGCTCCTGGCAAGCGAGCACGACCGCGTCCGGCTGCCATCAGACACCTCGCGCACCGTGCGTGGCGTCGACGTCCTCCCATGGGTTCTTGCACCACTAATGGGCCCCGAGGAGTATGAGATGGACGTGAGTGCCAGCCCCCCCCGCTTGGTTCACTGGACGGCGCTGACGAGCAGGAGATGGAGAAGCTGCCTGAGATCCTCCAGTTCCTGCCTCCCACGAAGAAGAGGGAACAGGACACGGTGCTGCGGATGATGTGTGTCGAGATTCTTCTTCTGCTCTCCACCAGTGAGTTCCGCACCAATGGCCTGCCGAGCGCTCAAAGGTTGGTTGCTGACTTCCCAGCTTACACGGGGCGAGAGGCACTCCGCGAGCGTGGGACATACTTTGTCGTGCGCGAAGCGCACAAGAACGAGTCCGACCAGCAAATCAAGGATGCGATTGAGCGGCTCGTGGGCCTGTTGCAGGGCGAGGAGGGCCGGGAGACGCGGACGGACCACATCGAACACCTTGTTTCCAAGGCTGACGACGAGACGGATGTCGTGGAGGTCTAGACTGCCGGGCCGCGGGCCGGGCCAGTGGAAGTGGAAGTGTCGGGGCACAAACGGGCCTGAGCCGCTCCCATGGGTGTGGGCAGGGCCTGGTTTTGACCGTCTGCGACTTCTTCGGACACGGAATTACGGCCACGGACGCGTCGTAACTGGTGCCGCAGATTTCGCCTGGGACTTTCTTTTGGGGCCTGGTGCCTATGCATACGCTGCAAGTTGCAGGTAGAGTTTGCGGGGTGCAGACGGTCGCGTACCAGTGCCGTGGCGCTGCAATCAGTTAAGCTCGGTACCTCTTGCGCGACACGGGCGGTGGTGCGACGCTCGGTGTTCTTTCTAGCTGCAGAATACGCAATACGCTTGTGCGCTCGAGGTCCCAGCATCTTGCTACCAGCGACCAACGACGCCGATGTTCGTTCTGGCATGTGCCTGGGCTTGTGGGTGGGGTTCACATTCCGCCCGTTCTCGTGATCGTCTCAAGTGTCGCCTGACCTCTCATAATTACTGTCCGTCCATCGAGACCCCGATGGGGTCGAAACTCCGGGTGTCGCGAGGCGGGGGAGTTTCAGCGGCGAGGGTGAGGGATGCGTGAGGGATAAGTGGTGCTAGGCCAATTGTTCGCATTATCAAGGTTATGCCCGATGGCAGATGCTAGTGCCGATCGAACGGAGATTGAGGGTGGCATGGGTGGTGCAGTTCATACGATACTGCAGTTTGTGAGCTCCACCTACTCGATAAGCCGCTTAGCATACAGAACGACGCAGACAAGCCTTTAATGTCCGCTGGTATGTGCTTGATCACAGAGCCAGTCCATGGACGGACAACTTGCCCACGCCCGTACAAAACATGGCCCGACGCCGAAATGTTTCACTGACCCCTGGCAACAGCCGCCTCGCCATTGTCGCGGGCATTGATCAATGTGATGTGACAACGATGGTGAATGCAGCATGCGTGCGTATGTGCAGATGCATGCACGCTCAAACTGCTGCGAGCATTGAAGTCCGATCGATGGCGGTGGCGTCTCGTTACATCGTGGGTTCGTCGCACCCAGGAAGAGGGGGCAGGATCTTATCAAGTGTATTTCCAAGGCAAAACCGGACCACTTTTCCTCGAGATCACGAGAAGTTTCTGATCACGAGAAGTTTCTGATCACGAGAAGTTTCTGCCTTGTACTTGTACTTCCTACTTCTCCTTCCAACGTTCGACTTCCTACCGCGTGGAACCAATAGACAACGCGTGCACGCACACAACGATCTGCGCCACCGGAGGCAGAGGCAGTCTGGGCCCGACGAGCTGTATTGCGCGCCTAGAGGGAGACTGATGGAGTCTGAGGGAGAGTGAGGGTGTCCGAGGGTCCATTCATGGAAAAATAGCAGTCGCACTGTCTGCCGCCACCAGGAACATGGTGCTCTGCCTATGGTGACTCACTCGCCAATCCCGTCCGACGCACGGACGCCACCACGCGGCCCCCGACCTCTGGGGCCGACGGTGCTCGAGGACAACGCAAAGGACAAGGCGTATCCCCGCGCCTCCGCCGCCCCTCGCTCCTCCGTCGGCTGGTAGACCATTCACCCCACCCTGGAAATCTGAACCAAAGTGTGGCGCGTAATTGCGCATGTCAGCATCTAGCTGTGGCTGCAGCGCCATGGCTAGTTTTCGCGCATATAGACTTCTGCGAGAGGCGCAATTGCGACGCGGATGCGCAGAGGCGCGATACGGTTTTGCGGCGCTGCAGATCGGGAAATCAGTCGCCAGCTGCCAACTGGCGCATCTCCGCCATCAGAACAATTCGACGCCTGCTCGTCTATCATTTCGGGCTTTACGGTGGCGACGAGAATATGAATGGTGTGGGGCAGTCGCTATTCTCAGCACGTCCTTTGTCCATGCCCACTTGCGCGGTTTCCGTTGGCTACGCGTAGACCCTGCCCTTCGATGTATGCATGCAATGAGTTGGTGTCTACTCTAGCCCCGTTGGGGGCGTTCAATGTGGATGGCGATGTCAGTCTACACTTCGCGCGGAACGTCCTGCGATACCGGGATTGGCTGCGGGACGGGGTTAGGGAGACCCTCGCCGGCCGGCACAGGCTTATCGCCGCGCGTCTTGTCAACCGACTCTTCCTGCTCCGACTTTGACCGTAGTGCGTTTCCAGAGGCACCGGGGCGGTCCAGCTTCTCGCCGCGGAGCACCTTCTTTACCTCGTCCAGGTTGAGCGTCTCATACTCGACGAGCGCGGCGGCCAGAGTGTGCAGCTCGTGCTCGTTCGTCTTCAGGAGGCGACGCACGCGCTGCATGCCGTCGTCCAAGAACCTGCTGTCAGCAGAGCCGGGACCGCACCCTTACGTCTTGATTTCGCTCTCAATTAAGTCCTTAGTCTGGTCGGAGAGGAAGCGTGACTGGTCGTCGCCGTGCGCCACAAGTCCAATCTTGTCAGAGTAGCCGAACGTTCGCACCATACGGGTGGCAACGTTGGTAGCGTTGACCAGGTCGCTGGAGCAGCCAGACGTGGTGCCATCCTCGCCGTAGATGAGCTCCTCGGCCGCACGGCCGCCAAGTGCAACATCAATCATGGCTAGGTACTCCTTCCGGTTACGGGAGTCTGTTGTCAGCTACCTGGGTACTGCCCTCAGCGCTAGCTCACCTTTGTCCATCTCGGGAAGCAGGAATGTAATGCCGAGCGCACGGCCACGAGGCATGATCGTAACCTTGTGCAGCGGGTCCGCGCCAGGGGTGTGAAGTGCAACCAGCGCGTGCCCACCCTCGTGATACGCAGTAGCCTTCTTGGCCTCTTCGGTGACGAAATGCGAGCGGCGCTCAGCGCCCATGCGAATGCGATCTGCGCGTCAGCGGTGGACCGAGGTATGCGTGACGGCAAGGCAATGTTCGCCACGTGTAGTATGGTGACGGTGACGACGGTGGCAATGAAACGACGGGTCATGTCTGGCCACAGGGTGCCGTGACATTGTAAAATAATCAGTGGTCATTACCCGATGGACGAAGCGCACCGTGACCAATGTCACCGCCAGTCACCGTTGTCACCGCCAGGCTCGACCATGCAGTGACTAAGGACATCCTGAGGGTGTGGATGCCAAGAAGCAATTGCGCTTCCGCGACATCCGCGATGTGATAGGGGAAACAAAACCCACCCTTTGCCCACTCAAAGTCGTCAAGTGTCACGGCTGTGCCGTTGTGGCGCGCTGCCTTGACGGCTGCCTGGTTGACCAAGTTGGAAAGATCAGCGCCGCTCATGCCTGGAGTGCCGCGAGCGATGACAGCTGGGTCGACGTTGTGCGCAAGCTTGATCTTGCCCATGTGATGCTTTAGAATCTCGATACGCCCGCGGACGTCAGGGAGGGGAACGACAACGTGACGGTCAAACCGACCGGGGCGGGTGAGCGCCTTGTCAAGAGACTGGGGGAAGTTGGTCGCGGCAATAATAATGACACCCTCGCTCTGCTCGAAACCGTCGAGCTCGACGAGAAGCTGGTTCAGCGTCTGCTTCATGTAGTGCTGGTCCTTGGAGGAACGCTTAGAGCCGATAGCGTCCAGCTCGTCAATAAACACGATGGCCGGGGCCTTCTTGCGCGCGGCCGCGAAAAGCTCACGGACGCGCTTGGCTGAACATTAGCTCAATCCCGCAATGTAATCATTCAAATACTTACCGCCAACACCAACAAACATTTCGTCGAAAGAAGAGCCAGACGCAAAGAGGAACGGTACCTCGGCCTCGCCGGCGACGGCCCGCGCAAGCATCGTCTTACCGGTGCCGGGAGGACCGGTAAGAAGGACACCCTTGGGAAGCTTGCCGCCGAGGGTTGAGAACTTCTCGGGGTTCTTGAGGAACTCGACAATCTCCTGCAGCTCGGCCTTGGCCTCCTCAACACCATGGACATCGGCAAACTTGACAGCCTTGCCCTCCTCCGGCTCGAATTCAGCGGGACCAGGTCCGGCCTTGAGCAAACCCGTGTTCTCCATGACCATGGAAATGATTGTGAAGATGACGAAACCCCAAAACAGCATGCCGAGGATATACCGGAGGACACGCCAAGTGTTGGTCTGCGGCGACTGGGGGGCGAGTTGGACGTAGATGGGCTGAAGCGGAGAACCAGGACCAGTCGTAGCGCCTGTGCCAGGAGTAGCGGGCGGCGGGGGCGGGGGAGGAGGGTAAGAACCGGTCGAGGAAGTGGGCGGAGTGGACGGAGTAGCGGAGGCGTAAGCGGGCTGCGGGTGCGTCGAGGAAGCAGCAGTGGCGGCGGTGGCGGAGGTCGCGCCGGCGGCACCTGCGCCTGTGAGCTGTCGAAGAACGTCGGAGGGGGAAGCAGCGGGCGCCCCAATGCGCTCGTCGCGGCGGCGTGTCGCGTTAGCCACCTCGCCGAGGCGGCCAGTGTACGCGAGAGCATGCGAGTAGAGCTCGAAAGCCTCGTCGGAGCGGAGGAGCGCGTCAGAGCCCTCAGGTGAGCCCGGCTCGGCGAAGGCGACAGCCTCGTAGTATTTGCATACGCCATTGTTCTCCCCGCCCTCGGCAAGAGCGCGGAGTAGAGCAATCTGGGGCTTGGGGTCGGATGAGGAGCGCGACTCGAGGGCGTCGGTCTCCAGCGCAGCAATGCGGCGCTGGAAGTCAGTGAGCGGCTGCCCCTCGATGGGCTGGGCTTGAGCGTTGGCAAGGTCCTGGGGAGTGATGGAGATCGTTTCTGGAGAGGAGGAAGGGGCGGGGACAGCGCCCTTGTCGGACTTGCGGGAGAAGAGGCCGGAACGGAGGGACGAAGAAGACAGCGGACGGACCAGACCGGCCCGCACGACACGCGCTGCGTCGCGGCGGCATAGGGCCCGCATAATGTCGAGCCCGGCGGGTCGGAGCGCCATTGTTGAAGCGCACGGGCTGACCAGAAGGAAAAGAGAAGATGAAGAGGAGGTTGTTGACAGGAAATGAAGCGAGTAGCAAATCCCACTTGCAGACGCGTGTCGTTGGAAACCTCGCTCATCATTTCGGCCGTCCCACACCGGTCACACCCGTCCACTCCGACAATTTGCTTCCGTTCAGCCGACATTGCCACAAGTCCAGCCTTACCAGTGAGTGTCTGCTGCCACCCGCCTCGCTCTGCTGATCTGCTGCAAGTAACTGCCTTGCATTTGGGAGATTCATCTCGCGGGGTACTCTGCTGCGCTACTCTACTACTTTAACCTGGATGATACATGGGAGAAAAGGTATCTCTCTATCTGAGGCGCGACTCAGGCTGCGCGCCAGCGCCGCGATTATCGGGCGACCCAGTCTTGAGACACCGAACTACGTTATTGCGTGATACGTCCTCTTGCGATGACCTGGAGGTGGAAATCCGTCTTCCCGTCGACTGCGGTCGTGGACGTCGCCCAGCATCGATACGAAGCGGAAGAAAAGACGGCTGGAACTTGAGAAAAGCTACAAGTGACATGTGGATTGGAGGGTGTGGAGGACGCAGAACTGATGCGGCTGTGGGATGGGAAGTGGTGAGGGAGGGACCTGCCGCACTGGCTGTGAGTCACATCGACAATCCGTGGGTGGCATGGGTGAGGATGGTCGTGCAACGTTGTTTTGATTGGTTGTGCGCCAGCGTGGGTTGGGTTGGGTGGAAGGGTGATGGTGATGATTGCTGAAATGATGTGTGCGAGTGTGTGGGCGATCCAATGCAAATTGTTGTGGGAAGAGAACATGTGGTGGTATGTCTGTGAGGAGAATTGGCAACTAAGACAGCTTAGCCGCTTCGCCGCCGCACCCCTCGCTGGGGAATCGCCAGAGAACTGGCAAGCGCGAGAAGTACCGGGCGAACCTGGTACGCCGAAGGTGGTGGCATGGCCTTGCTGGCGGATGTAGCGGAGGGCGCAATGTTCTCCTTGACCGCCGCATAATGCGCGTCAACCTTGGCATTGGTGACCGGGTTCTCCTTGACCGCAGCATAGTGCGCGTCCTTGACGTTGGTGACAGGGTTCTCCTGGACCGTGGCATAGTGCGCGTCCTTGGCGTTGCCAAAGGAGTTCTCCCTAGCAGTGACGTAGTCGACCTCGACAACGGTCCCAGGATGCGAGTCGATTGGCGTAATGGGGGTGATCGGCTCGTCCCCCGCCTCCGACGAAGAGCAGCTGTACGAGCCCCCGGGGCTTGGGCTGGTCCGAGACATGTTGGCGCGCTTGCCGGCCCAGGATGAGGGTGTAAGGCTGGGAGTGGGGAGCCCAGTCGAACAGGGGGTAGAAGGAGTCTCCGGGTACGGGCGGTAACGGTGGCCGTCAAGGTAAAACTGGCGAACGATCGCGGAGATGCGGTGGTGCCAACCCATCGAGTACTTCTTGACGACAATGTCAGACAGTGCAAGGGGGACGTCGTTGAGCCAGTCCACAAAGATCCTGTCAATCGCTTCCGCGACACGCAGAGCGGCGGCATCATTTGCGGGGGTGATGAAGTCGGGTGTCGGCTTCTTGGTGTTCTCGTCCAGAATGAAACGAGCGAGGCGAAGTGCTCCCCAAGCGATGACGTGAGGACGGACGCCAATAAACTCGCGGCGATAGAGGGTGAGCTCCATGAGGTAGCGAGCCATGGAAGTCACGCGAGTGTCCTCCTTGAGGGCGACGACTGGGTCCATGGTCATGTGGCGAAGCCATGCGTCGGCAGTAGGGTGCCCGATGGTCCAGTTCATGGTCTCAATGATGTGCGCTTCCATTTGAATGAAGGAGGACTGATCGTACGCAGCGCAGCACATGTCGTAAAACTCGCGAACAAGGGGGACCCGCTCCTTCGAGTCCTCGAACTTGGCGGCGATCCAAAGCGCGGCACAGCCAGCAAGCTGGTAGTGCCTCTTGTAAACCACACGTCGCGACACGTAGCGATCAATGATATTGCACGCCAGGTAGAGCACCTCATTCCGCAGCCTAAACTGAAGATGAATCTCGATGATGAAATCGATCAGGTATGGGCGCATGCGCCATTGAATCTCTGGCTGCTGGTCCATGAGTTCTGGGTGGGCGAGAGTCTGCGCCTGCGATGGTGTGAGCGTGGGTTTCTCGATGCGCGTGATGGACCGTGGTCCGTGACACGTACCTCCATTTCAAGCATACACGCGAGGTGCTCCTCACGGTACTCCTCCTCGTAATAGTAACCGTCGTCTGAGCGCTTGGGAACAAACGCAGGCTCGGGCGCCCGAGCGGACGTGCCACTGATCAGCTCAGGGCTGGCTTGCAAGCTGGATGACACCATCTTGCGAGTGGGTGGTCCGGCAGTGGCGGGTGAGACGGAGCGCTTGCGGCTCCAGCCCTCGATGGATGTTCGAGCAAACTTGGTGGGTGGGGCGGGCGGCATGGTGGATTGATGGGTTGGTGCAGGAGGGTGAAACGCGATGGGTAGATGACGAGATGAAAGGAAATGGTGCGCCTTATGAGAGACGAGTCACCAAGATGCGTGAGAGACTCCCGGGATGATGAGTGGCGCGAGGCGTTATGTCGGGGACGAGTGATGACAGCGTGACAACACCTGGAGTATATGGGTGAGGTGATGGAATGTGAACGCGTCGCTTAGGCGGGAGAGGTTGGTTGAGATGGTGGGATGGGAGGTGTAGTGCGAGAGAGACGTAATTGAAAGATTGGGCGAGGAGAGGGGAGATGGTGCTATGCGAGGCGTAAGCTATGCGCTTCGGCGTTGCGAGTCGTTAAACGAATGGATGGCCTAAGAAAGAGAAAAGAAGACTTGGGTCGGCCACACTACGCGCCAGGCTAAGGGCGGTCGGTGTGCGATGAGCGCTCCCGAGAAGCAGTCAAGCTCTGGAAGCCAATGCCGTTCTAACGCGTTCCAGTGTCTCTATCGCAAAGCGAGAGACAGGTAGAAGAGAAAGAAGAAGCTGCGCGCGCGTCGCAGGTGTAGAGGAGGATGGCGGGGAGGAGGGGTTGGGAGTGGACAAGAGTAGGAGGGGTGACCGGTCGAGGTCTTTAAAGGTGGGTGGTACGGTGGGAGGTGGGAGCAAGACGAAGGGGAGGAGGACCAAGGCAAGGGCTTGGTGCAGCGCTGCGTGAACCCGGGTGCGACCCAGCAGCCCGCGAGCCCGCGAGGTCGAGGTCGGGACGGTTTGGATGAGAGGAGAGGTAGGTAGGCCAGGGGAGGGAGGGCATGGAGGCAGCGCCATTGAGAGGGTGGATTTGGTAGGGTCGCTTTAGCGCGACGAAACGACCTCCTCCCCCGTCACGCGCAGGAGGCAGGGAAATGCCGCCGGACCATGGCCCGCCTCTAGCTCCAGGAGACGAGCATTCGCAGCAGAGCAACCCCCCAGGGCCCACGGCCATGACGCACGCCCTGCAACACAGAAGAAAGAAAACTCAGACACGAAATCCCACAATTCGTCACGATAGAAAACTCGAATCTCAGACAGAGGAAGCTTCAGGGGCACGAGAGTTTTCTCGTGAGCCCTTGAGTCATCCACTGCTCAAGTGGGATTTTAGTCCCTGAGGACGCAAATCTTGTGCCCCACAGCGGGGTCACTGTTTCGTGCCTGCCCCCGCACACGCAAGATGCCGAACTCAAAAAACGCCATCAGAAATCTCAGGAGACACGGATTTCGAGCAGTATTCGAGATGGAATCCTTCACTCACCCTGCCCACAATACGTTAAGAGTCGGCAACCAACGTCAAGCGAGATGTGCGTGATGGGCGCGGATGCGAGGACAGCAAACGCCTAAATAGGGATCATCGGCTCCTAGATGCTGTTAGCGCCAGTGAATTCGACGAAGGGGGGAGGGGTGGGGGGCCATTCGGCTCGCCGCGGCATCTTGCCGGAGACGGCGGACTCGGGCACATCGTTTGGCAACCGCACACCCATTCCTGGAGAGACGAGCGCGTGGAAAGTGGTGCTGGTCACACGTGAACCGCGCCGAGGAAGGTTGTGTGCAAAGCACGCACTGGCACCCTCCGCCGAGCTGCTGAGCTGAACACTTGCACACAAAACAGCAGCTGGCAGCAAGATCGCCCAGTCGCCATTAAGGTTCTAATCATCGCCCTGGCACGTGGAGGGAGAGACCACTGAATGGCACGCCACCAGGACTCTGCACTTCAATGAGAGGCGTGTCTAGCTTCATTGGAGGGTCGCTAGCGCCTCACTTCCAACTCTTCCTCCACGGCGATCTAGGCCTACTCACTCTGAAATCGTTTATCACCGCCCAGGGGTGAGATCACGCGCTCGTACAAAAGCCGGTTGAGCACGGCCTTGGTCGGAACTGGAGGATTGAGACTCCGAGGTTGGGTTTGAACTGGGAGGTAAGCGGTTGTTCTTGTCTAATTGTCTGGCGCGTCGGTGGTAAAGAACGTGGTTGGTAAGGAATGTGAATGTGTGGAGGCAGACTACTAATGACTGATGACAGCAGATAATAAGTTAGAGAGAGCGGGAACGAGCAAGCCGGAACTTGAGCAAGCAGGCGCCTGCAGGAGAGCGCACCGAGCGCTTGATTAGAGGTAAGGGAGGTAGGTATAAGAGGTAAGAAGGAGTTGGGGAACGGAGATGGGAGGAGGGAAGGTGGCTGAGCGGAATGGCGGGGTAGGGTGGACGGCCCTCTTATGTGTGCTGGCTTCTCTACTACCGCCACCGGGGTACCGGGGACGTAAGAGAGTTGACAGTCAACACGACACGAGGCGGTGTTGTTTGGCAGGAGAATGGTGGGACGAGTGGGCCGAGCGCGAGGCAATCAAGGATGAGATGGGGCGGTGAGGCGGCGGAAGAAGGGGCAAAGAAGGTGGAGGTGATGGGCTTGGTAGATGATGCCAAGGGGGGCTTACTCGGAGTGATGTGCGTCTTTGGCGCCGCGATGTTCGCAAGAGGTGAACGATGGCAGAGGAGAAGGAGTGGAGAGATGAAGAGATGCGATGGAGTGGGTTGGGAAGGGAGTGAGACGGAGGAAGGTCCAATGATCCATGGCTCATGCTCCGGTGAGACCGGCGAGCCCGGCGCGCCGGCGACGGAGAAGCAGGAACAGGGCGAGAGTGTATGTGTGTGCACGGCCAAGGGAGGGATGGGGAGCCGGGGGAAGAAGGTAGAGGGCAAAGGAGAAGGAGGAGAAGGAAAGGGGTGAGTGGACGATGACTGACGACGGATCGCTATCGACGTCCATGTCTGTGGGCAAGGCAAGGCGCTTGAGTACAACTGTGCGTGCACTCGGTCTGTCCCAATGTGTGCGTGTCTGCGCACAGGTGGTAACGACCTCGGGCCTCCCTCAACCACGTCTTAGCGCACGCCCGCGCCACTCCAGCGAACAAGCTGATCACGCCGACGCCCACGTTACCGAGCTTTGAACGAGCAAGGGGTAGAACTCAAGAGAAGGAAGAGATGGAGATGGAGAGCGAAAGACTTAAGGCCGGGCAGGGGCAGGAGCTTGGGAAAGGCGATCACTCACTGTGCGCGGAGGATAAAGTGGCGAGGTGACAATCTTCAACGGAGCAGTGCCACAAGAGGTACAGAGGGAGGTGACAAGAGACGGAGAAGACAAGACAAATCTTGTCCTTCGTGCTAGCTTGCTTGGACTTTGGACCAAGCTGACAGCTGACGGACAGCGCAGACAGGGAGTTTGTGAGAGAGGTACGTGGGCGGGTCGTGTCGGTCGTGGCAGGGTCTGTATGGTGTGGTCGGGCAGAGAGAAGAGTAGGCAAGGTGAGGTGAGGTTGAGGAGGGAGATGGCTGGACAGTGGAGTGGGGACGTGACAAGTTAAGTAAAGCAGTCGAGGCCGTCGAGGACGCGCTCTGCACAATCCGTCCGTCCGCCGTCGGGGAGGAGGAGGCCTCGAAGGGAATGATGAGACGAATCTCTTGGTGGGCTAGTGGCTGATGGCTGAGTGCCCGCGAGTGGAGGAGGCCCGAGGTGCGAGGGAGGGGATGCAGGGAGGGTACAGTAGCAAAGGGGAGGGAGGATAGATTGCGGCGGGAGGAGAAGAGGTGCGAGGAGTAGAGTCGGGAGGGAGAGACGAGGAGATTGAGGAGATGAGACGTGACGATAGGAGAGATGAGGAGAGGAAGAGGAAGAGGAAAAGAAAGAGGAGAGGTGAGCTGTAGCAAAGCCTTGGATGTGGAGGATCGAAGGAGGAGGAGGAGGAGGAGGAGGAGGAGGAGGAGTGGAAGGAGATTACATATCGATATGCAGGGACGTTAATGCGAGTGTGCACTACAAGAGGTGCGAGCGTTGTCTGGCCGTGTCGCCTGCACACGCCTGTACGCCTGTTCAGTCCAGATGGGCCGACGCAAGTGGACTGTGAGTAATGGGCTGCATGGCCGGGGGGGGGGGGGGGGGGGGGGGGTGACTGTACGCTGAAGCCAGCGACACCAGGCCCAGCATGGCCAGGCCAAAGGAGGCCCGGGGGCGGAGCGAGCTCGGCGCAGGGAGAGGGTCTACGGTGGAGGATCAGAGGAGCCATCGAGGAGCCATCGAGGAGCATGTAACGGGTGCGGCTGAGAACCGTGATTCTAATCAATCTAATCGCCAATCCTAATCGAGCCGTCTGTGCGTAAGGGCCATTTTCACATTGCTATATGTTTACAACCCAGATGTCTTGTATCTCTCGCATGTCTGGCTCTCAATCCTTTAAAGGATATACCGAGACGAGGGATTCAGAGGGCAGAGGTGAGGTGGCCGAGGCGGGGCGAGCTCATGTTCCCTTGCTCACTTCCTGTTCTTTCCCCCTCGTCGCCTTGTCCTCCGTCTTCGCCTCCTCGATCTTCAATCCTCAATCCTCGAGCGCCTCTACGCCTGCACCCGCGCGTGACACTCAAAGAATCCCGGCCAAAGGAGGGCGTCGTGCTCGAGCGCAAGCCCATCACCCGCCGGCACCAATCGTTACTTTGCTGCTCCTCTCCGCAACTCCGAGAAACGCGCCCTTCCTCGCCGAGCGTGAGTTGCTGTCGACCGGCGCCATCTATCAGTCACACGCACCGAACTGCGACTTGCGACCGTCGGGCGTTGACTGACCTGCACTACTACGCGCTGCACATTCTGATGAATACACCTGCGCAGTTCACTGAACCCACTGACCACCGGGTCTGCCGGCACAGCTCTGCTCGGACCACGTTTCCCGGGGCGTTCATCTCGCGCCTCGTCGCACACTTCGCACTCATTCTCGCTCTCGCCCTCTCCCTCTTGTCTCGAGTTCCGGGACGGAACGCGAGCCATTATGCAAGGCTTCTACCGCCGAACGCCGCCCGTGTCCCCGTGCTCGTCGCACCCGGCGGCACGCACGCGCCACAAGCCTAGAACACGTCGACGCGGACGACGGTCCGCATTCCATGTGCTGGGGCCGGCCCGCTCCAGACCGCCGCACCTCGATCCTGTGAGTGTCTTCATTCCTCCTGCCTCGTGTTCTCCTGCGTCCTGCAGGGCACTAAGAATCGCGAGGTATTGCGGTATTGCGGGATGACCCGGCCTGCCTCGCAGCTGGAGTTGGCAAAGTTGCATCTTCCGCGCGTGCCGACGGTGGTTGCTCGCCACTCGCCTGGCGTCACCCTCTGTTGGTCCTCCGATCCGATCAAGACGTTTAGTGGAGCGAGCGGCATTGGGCGCACGGAAGCTTGCGGCAGTGGACTGAACATTTGCACGCGGCCGCGGCTCTGATGCATTCTCGCTCGGTGATCGACGGCCGGTGTGCCGTGCCGCGAGGCGTGGGGCCTGCTTCGTGATCGGACAGATACCATGGCTATCGGAGTCGCGACTCTCAGAGGTGGGTGACAAGGGGCGCGCGGACGTGGCGTGGAGGCGAGTGCAGGGAGGATGGAGGGGTTGTGCGCGTACGTGTGCCGAGTCTGTGTGCTTATGCCTGTGCATGTGCTTGCCGCCATTTGGCCATTCTGCGTACCGCCGTCAGCCCCTCGCCGCCGCCCGTCCAGGCCGTCCAAGGCCTCAGATGCGGCCGGCGCGGAGAGAAGCACGCCACTCTTGCCACCCAACCCATCTCGTGCGTCTTGTGTGTGTGTGCACGGCTCGAGCGGGCGCATCAATATGAGCGGCATTGGCTCGGAAGCCCGGTCAGAAGCACTCGGCCGTGGCGCCAGCGCGACCAGTCGTTGGTCGATCCAGACTCGTCGGCGCGCGGTGACTCGGAGGGGGTTTGGAAGAGATCTTAGCGGGCCGGGGAAGGAGCTAAGGAGAATCTTGGTAAGGCCGTAATCCACCCTTGCGCTTGGGCATCTACTCTCTGGCCCTCGACAATTCCACAATCGTGATTGAGCTCTAGCACTCGAGGTCAATTAGCAGTGTCTCTGCCAATCGAGCTGCCGGCATCCCAGGCCGAGGTCGAGAGCTGGTCAGCGTCAATGCAGTTAGTGGTGAGTTCAACCTCAAGAATGGGGCCGAGGAGACATAGAGGCGGGTGATGCTCGCACTCGTGCAGAACGCCACGGTGTTCCATCCCGCGGATGAACGAATGCTCGCACTCCCTCCTCAGATCACCACCCCGCCACATCGTCGCCGCTATAGTTGCCATCGCAACGTGGTGTAGCGCCACCACCACCATCGCCGCTGTTTCAGCCACGCCGCCATCGGTCCGCGCGTAAGCCATGTCAATCCATTCACTGTACACCGATACAAGCCGTTTGCACATCAGACGGTCTATCGGCACTCGCACCAGCCTGTCACTTCCATTGAACCCACGCACGGCATCGGGGTGCAAAGCGACGAGCCAGGCCCGCATCCGAAGACACAGTTCCGGGGTGCACCGCGAGAGGGGTCGGGCCTGGGCGAAGTGCGAATCTCCGCCACAATCGCGGCATCCTCCTGACACTTGAGACTTGATTTTGCGGCATTCGACATGAACCCAGCTCCTCGAGCTGCACGATCAAACGCTCCCTGTTCCCGGTGCAACGTCCGTCGACCAGCACGTGGCCCATGGTGATCTGCAACAAAGCCGCGGCTCGCCTGGGCGGCGGGAAGCGAGCCCCTGCTGTCGCCGGCCGAACGCACACCCAACGAGATATGTTCTCGACTGGGCGGTGGGGAGCATGCATGCCAAGCGACCTCACCGAGCCCAGAAGCGATGCGGACGCCTGACAATCCGGGGCGCGACATCTGGCGAAGGGGGTGCGCGTCGCACTCCGTCCCGGCTCCTCCTGCCAGCCGCACCCCGTGCGTATCCTGCACGCTGATCGCGGCTCTTTACGTCACCGTTGCCGGCACGGCATTTTCGAACGTTACGCGTCAAGCGGCGAGCCCGAGCTTGAGCTTTTGGATGGACCGGCAAGTTATGCATAATACGGAATTTTTCCTCCTTCGAAATCTGACCGAAAATTTCAGAGTAGCGATCATCAGGTGAAGAAGCGTCGTATGCCCGGCCCGGGGCACCGGCACGCGAAAATTGGGCGTGCGGGGCTGATTGGGGTGGGCTGTCAATTTGGGCAGGCCGCAAAAATGGCTTTGAGGGTGCGTGTATTCTTGGGTTGGAGGGTCTCGATGCCGATGCCTGATTGCGTGTATGGCCCGCCATGCCTGCATTGCCTGCTAATGCCGACCCGAGAAACACGCATGGTGCAGCCCCCCCAAAAGCCTAGGACCGGTCAATGACAACCAGGGAGCGATGGGAATCGGGATTCGGTGCGGTGCGACGTGGGACGCATTCCGAGCGCGCAACGAGCTGGCATATCATAAGAATAGGCGGTGAGCCGGCGCGCACATATGGCAATGGAGACACGAGATGGCGACTGTGGGACTGGATACTGCGGCCCAGAAGAGGTCCGGGAACGCGTCTGCGACCACTGTCCGCACTCTCCGTATGTCGCGGAGACGTCGTGCGCACATCCATGGCAGGCCCTGCATACGGTCGTCGTAGTTGCCAGGCAGTGAAACGGCGGAAGGTTGTACGGCTGTGCCTCGCCCCCTGCCGAGTGCGACGACACTACAAGTACCAAGTACGGATAAAGGCCGTGTTCTACGCGGCGGCTGTGGGCGCACAGAATTGGTGGAGAATCACGCGCAGCCGAACAGTGCGTCAGCGCAACGGGGTCTTCTAGAATGCACAACGCGTCTGCGCCCTTGTCTCCATTCTACGCCCCGCCACGATGGCGCATCGCCGGTGAGCGGCCATGGGCGGTTCGCATTCCCATGCAGCGCTCGACAAAGATTGGCGCGAGATTTGGGGAATGTAGAGAGAGCGCCTATCGGACTATGCAGTGCGCGAAAGTATATGGGGACTAGATCCCTGTGCGGTGGACACCATTCTGGACGCCATTGCTGGACGCCCGACTCCTGTGCGCCCGACGCCTCAGACTCTCTGCCAGAAACCAGCGGCGGCGCCCCGCCCTGGATTTTTCCAACTCTACGTCAACCGCCTCGCCCTGGCCGATGAACTGTAATCACACTCTGAATGGCATGTCAGCGATGGTCGATGACACGTCAGCGACACTGCAGTTCGTGTCAGCGACAGCGATGAGCATGCGTTCGTGAATGGCGGCTGAGCGTTGTTGTTCGCTTCGCATTCATACACGTTCCATGGATTCGTTCCAGTGATCCCCGGTCCGCGAACATCCGGGCTGCTAAAGACAAGCGCTGCTGCCCACGCTGTGCATCCGCGAGTGTCGGAAGACATCGCCTCACTTGTGTCGTAGCGTCGCGTTGCGTAAAAGTCGCTCTCGCCTCCGCCGAAAATCATGCAGGGGTCGTTATGCAATATGCAAGATGCAGGATACAGCTGGGAATATGCAGGAGAATGCAGGGCGTGGTCCGACGTTTCTGGACACAAGAATTAAAGCATGGAGGGCAGGGGATCGTCCTCCCTGACCGTGCTGGCCTCGCGGATGCCTTGTCGTCAACGACGCCGCAGCCTATGGCAGGACGCGCTTACCCGCCCATGCCGGACACTATGATGCGCTCAAAAATGTCGGCGCGGCGGTGGGCACTTGGCGCTCCCGATGGCTGGCGATGACGATTGTGCAACCTTGCCGCGAACCTCGGCAGTCAGGCGATTGAGGGTCACGCCGCCGAGGATTTGCCGGTGCGAAGTGCGGTGCGAGCGGAGCCATAGGAGCGAGGGCGAGACCGAGGAGCGAGACGAGGGGATCGAGATTGGGGGAGCGAAGACAGGCGCGTTACGTAGTGGCGTTCTCGCACCTCGCACCCCGGCCACCCGGGACAGGCAGAACTCACCGTCCTCACGACCACGCATGTACCCATGCACGCATGGTGGGGTGGTATACCCGTATGGCAGAGGCTTCGCACCACCTCCGCCGCCGACGCGCCGGTGACTACGCTTCCGATGCTTCCAAAAGATGCAAGTCACCATGTGAGGCTTGTGCCGCCGGAAGTGCGGCATGGAATGCTGAGCCTGCTAAGATCCATGCCCGACTCTACAACTCTGCAGAACAAGGCCATGTCCCAACTGACGCCGAACACATCTTCAACAGCTTTGCCGTCTTGGACTACGAAACCTGCCAGCCCTCCCTCTGCACCCTGCCGCCCGCAGCGCCCTACTCTGACAGAACTCCGCTATCTGCAACTGATTTTCTCTCGGGCTCCTGGAGCACTCTTCTCCTGGAATATCGTCCTGGGAACAATGCGTACGGCATCTTCATTGAATGCCGCGAAAAGCTCCGCCGAAATTCGACGTCCACCCTGTGGCGCGGCCACTTCAAATTGTACTGCGTACTTGCATTAGGCCTGGCCAAAGGTCCGGGGGTGCTTGTATGCATTTCAATCGGTATTACACCATGATTGTCGCCCCGAGCATAACGAGTCGCTTGCCCACTAATGTGCGACTAGTGTGCAAGAAGATGTCTCAACCAAACGGAGCAGCACCGCGTCGCGCGGACGAGCCAGACGGCCGGTGCCGTACGCACCATGCCAATCAGGTCCGACATGGTCTTCGTCGGGACCCGAATCCGCCAACCGAGCCTTGGCGAGCGTCTCAGCAATCGTAGCGAGCGCGGTCGACATTGCATCACAGCAGCCTGCCTACTACGTCCCCGGGGATGCGCATCACCATGTGGCCTTCGCTAGCCCTCCAACCATGCCTCGGCGTGACAGAGACTAGCTTTGAAGGCCATGCCGGCGCCATCCCGTCCCCACGTGGCAAGCAGCTAGCACCACCCCAGTGTCCCGAAGCTTGAGCTACGGTCACGGTCGGTGCCGGCACGGGGACGGTGGCGTGAGTCTGTTCCGTTCACACCAGCGTGCCAGCCCGCGCAGTTTATGAAGCGGCGTTTCTAGCTCCCGGAACCCAAGCGACGGCCGACCGAACTTTGCTCTCCATAGCACCACGTTCAATCCATACACGCGATCACGCAACACGCGACAGCAGCGCCGAGCGCGCCCAAGTCTGAGACAGCGAGGACCGCACAGAAGCCCGCTGATTTTCAGGCACTATCGCGTTGGTCCGAAAATTTCGGCCTGATGCAAGTTTTCTCATTTTCTGCGTTTTGGCCGGTCGGAATTTCGGCTGGGATTTTAGTCTTTCTGGTCCGAGGTTTTCGCGCACAGACATAACCCTGTATTTCAGAACAATCGACGCTAGGAGTGATATCATCGGCACGAATGAATAGCGTTGCTTTAATCCATCGTAGAAGGTCATGGGTCATGGGGTCGGAGACGGCGATAGGTGCCCGATGTTGTGCTTGTGGCGGCGGTGTGGCGGGCGTGGTGGGTGCGGCCTGCCGTTCTGTGAGAGTGGACGCGTCGAAGTAAGCTTTGTGTAGCTGTTGTGGCTTTGCTTACCGCGATGCATGGGCTCGATCATAATAAGGCAGGCACGGTACACTCCATTCAGTTGCCAGCCGAGTCTGTAAGTCTCCTTACTACTTGTAATCGTTTTGCCTGCATCCACTCGCCGAAGCACCAAGCATCGAGTCATGTGCATCCGCGTGTGGAGTGGGAGTGGGAATCAAGCATCGGGCTCCGGGATACGCGTCGGACGGGACGACTCCGAAGAGAAGAGGTGCGCAATTGAAACGGAAGCTTGTGCGTTCGAAAGGACGATGGGTGACAAATGCCTCACTGGCACTCACCGGAGTCGTGCCATGGAGCCTTGGAATCGTTGCCAGGCGTCGCTGCCACTTTGCTACGTTCATGCTTGCAAGTGCCTCCGTCATGGAGTACTGGAGAGTGCGAGGAGGCACGGCGGGCCTGCTCATCGAAACACGGCACACGGTACGTCTAGTTTGCTCAAGCTTCTCGCGTGGGTGTACACTAGTGGAGTTTCAAGCTCTCAACTCTGGCTCAAAGTTGTCGCGCGAGCGAGCACTCGCACAATTGGGGCAGCGGAGACACGCCGAACTCGGCGGCCCACGCGACACGCGACTAGCTCATTGTTCAAACCCATGTCCAAGCCACTCGGCAGCCCCCACCCGGCCGACCCGCTCCGACAACTCTAACCCCTTCACTTACATCCTAATCTGCCGTCATGAGCGTTTCTCCCACGTCTCCACGGACACAAGGGCGGAGGGCCGAAACCGAGGGCCGAAACCGGGGAGCCAAGAACTCAGTCCGAGTCTAGACCATCTTGCTCCGTCGCAGGACTTGCATCAGGCCAAACGCAGATCATTCGAGTACATGCTGATGCACCTGATGTGATCGTCGATGAAACGCCCGTCTCCTCGTTCTACTCCCGCCAAAGACCTCAGCCGATGCCGACAACATGCCGAGACACTTACGTACGGTCCCACCGCCAGAGGGAGCGATCAGTCCCCGTCGAATTCTCAAGATGTTGCAGACCAGTCAGAAGTCTGTGTGGTGAGTCACCGCGCGCTGATCTCGTCGCCACCATGCCATCAGGCCGCGTTTCAAGCGTTTCAGGTGTGCCCGCTGACTTTTCATGCCGGCAGCATGCGGCACACGGCACCCACCCCGTTACATGTCATGTCGGGTCCCGTCTTCTAGAGTGCATGCCAGTCTGTGTCGTACAGCGGATGGCAGTACGAGAATTCTCGCCTGATCGCCTGATCGCCTGCTCGCCTACACATGTACACGCAGCGGAATGTGCGTGTCAGTCACAGCAGAGCGGAGAGCGCCACATCCATCCGCGGCATGTTGCGGCGTGCTTCTCTTTCTCACATCGCGACTCGATCAGCTAGGCCTGGTATGCGCATCTGTCAGGTCGGGCCAGTGTGAGGAAGTCAAAGCACAATGCGAGGCGACAGCCGATCCGAGCGTCCGAACAGCGACAGCCGTTGTTTCCCATGTGTTCCAAGCCGCTCAATTTTCGAACCTCCATCTCCCGTTGCTTGGAAAAGTCGGGTGCATCCAGCACCCCGGTACTCGGGGACACTGATCACCTGGAGTACGAGGGGAAGGGGTGCTGGGCGGCAGGCGCGGAAGGCATGGGTGAAATGAGCAGAGCTGTTACGACGGGCGCGGCGGGATGAGCCTTCCAGGGCCCACCAGTAATGTAATGTGGCGCTGCGGGCGGGAATGTGGCCTGCAGGAGTGGCGGCTAGCGGTCCATCTGGTAGATGTATGTCCAACTGGCTGAGTGCTGGGCGTTGGGACGCCCATGGCGCTCAAGGACGCTGGGATAAGATTACCCGAGGACGAGCTCGTTGGGCGGGGGCATTGCTGACGGGCGCCGGCCGACATGCCTCAAAGTGGGTCCGAGTTACGGCCCACGAACCCTCCATAATGGGCCGAAAATGTTGCATGCTACATGCTTAGGGGCTGATAGAAGCCGCTGTCCGCTAAATCTGCATTGCGAAGTGGGCCGCATGTGGATGGCACATGCTTAAGCGCAAGACGAGGTTTAAAGTGACCGCTCGAGCTCGGTCACCAAGAGATGGCTCCGGGAGATGGGATGCAGAAAGTGCTCCCGTGCAAAGACCACCCACCAGAACGTTAGTACGTTCATGCTCACGGCATGGTTTGGTGGAATTCTGGGGCGCGCGGAACAATTTGCGAGTTTGCAGGATGAAACACGATTAGAGTCCGTAGGGCCTGGACAACAGAGCTGGTCAGCCAGTGCGAGTCACCCGCGTTGTGCGACGCCCGGAGAGTGCAGAGGAGCCAGCGGGGCCGGGTGCGAAGGGCAGTCCGGGTGACCACGGTGCATAAGATTAGCAACGGGGAGAATCTGAGGCAGATCTCCAAGTTAAGAGATGAAGTATGGACATCTGACAAGGATGTCGGCGGCATGACGCGGCAAGGGCGGATAATAAAGTGGCCGTCTCAGAAGGCGGGACGCTCATAAGATTGTGAGGGCAGGGGGACGCGGACCGTCTCACATCGACATTGCTCCACATCAACCTTGTCACTACCACTTCTGCAACTTGTCAGACTCTTGTCTCAGTCTCACCCAGGTTTCGTGTCTTGCCTCTCGCTGGGATGCGCCCGTACTCGGTCATCCCGAACCCCAACCATTCCCCGACATACCGTGGCGCCTTTAATGTGTGCAAAGAAAGGATGCATTCTTTGCACGTTTTATGAAGTAGTAAGAGGACTCTAACGTAAAGGGATGAGAAAAGAATGAAAAAGCGACACCGACGATGGAAACTAGTGCACACAAGCATTGCAAGCAGCAGTAGTTGGCGGCGAACTCCGCCCTCAATGCACTTGGCGAGAACCAAGCGATCAGGTCACTTGGACACCCGCCGGCGTTTACCACGGCGAAAAGAACAAAGTCCTTGTATGTGTGGCCACAATGACGCAGCCTATGTGAGCACCCCTTCGCGGGGCACTCGGAAGCTAGCTAAGCCCGCGCGACCTTGACGTCGCAGCGCGCCTCGAGAGCGACTCCCAGCGCGCGAACCCACTCAGTCGCAGTCATAACGGCGGCCTTTGACGCGGCGTCGTCTACGGGGACGGTCACGAGCGAGCCGAGCATGTTCTCGATGTCGGGTTTGAGAGCAGCCGCAACACGAGGGCCGTACTCCTCTGCCGGGCCAAAGCCTGACAAAATCTGGCGCTCATACTCAGCTTGCGTCCAGCCCCAGATCTCTGTCACCTCCCGAAGACGGAGAGGAGGGTTGTTGGGAAGCGCTCCCAGTGCAAGGTTGGCACGACGCTGAAGGAGGTTAAAGAGCTGGACAGAAGGAAGGTCCTCGAGCGCGTCGTCGAGCTTCTCGTCCGCCTCGTCGTCAATGTCGTCGCGCAGGCGGCGAACAGAAGCGAGAATACGAGACGAGGCGTTGTCACTGTGCGAAGCAGAAGTCGCAATGATGGCAGACTCGAGAGCCTCCATAGCCTCATGAAGAGCCTCACGCGCAATGTGCTCCTGCTCCTGGTCGTCGGTGTCCGCCGACGATGGAGGAGCGGTGGGGGGTTGGACGAGGCCGGTGACAAGACGCTTGACGAGGCCCTCGAAGGACATGAGCGAGTGCGTGGCCGGGTCAAACGGAGAAGCCGTGCGAGGAGGTGACGGAGGGCGCGAACTGGTGCCACGTGGAGTGAGAATGGCGAGCGAGGTAATCTTGGCAATGGAGGGGGACTGTACCACAGTGGGGGTTGCCTCCTTTCCAAGACCCGACAGCGCCTTGTGCACAGTGCTCGGGCTCGGGGAACGGAACGAGGAGTTGTCGGCCTCCATAATGACACGCATTCCGCGCCACACGACAGCGACCACGACCTTGACAATCCAGCCTTCACCGTCGTGGCCGCAAGGAGCGGCAACGGTCTCAAGGACCTTGCGGGCGCCATCGACACGGCTGGCAAACTGCTGGAGGGTACCGGGCACGGCAAGGGCACGAGGGTGGCCGCTGCCCGAGCTCTCCTTCGTAAGGCGTGGGACGCCCGAGTTGCTCTTTTCACGCACAAGAGGCGCACCGCTGACCGCGGCTGGCACGGTCATCGAGCCAGCTGAAGTCTTGGGAGCACCACCGGCCGTGTTGCTGACGCTGGCCTCGAGGTCAACCTTGAGCTGGAGGAAGATGGGGCGCACGACCTTGCCGACGACGGTGTCAAACTTGTCCAAAGTGGGGCGGAGCCCATCCTCGAGGAAGCGGGGGTACTGACCGAGGTCAAGCATCTGCTCGATCCTCTCACAGGTCTCCCACGCGGCATGCGCCACCGACACAGCATATGCCTGAGTCGCATTGAGTGGCGATGTGTGGTTGTGGACCGGGACCAAATTAAGGGCGGCCGAGAACTGCGGGTCCGAGAGAGCGGGAAGAAGCAGCGCGTCGAGTCGGGAGACGTAGATCGACAGAGCACGCACAGCGGTCCGAAGAATGGCACGAAGTAGATAGGTGTCCGTAGGTGCCGAGTTGCTAAGCTCACTGCGAGATGGTTAGTGACCCATCTCAAGACCAAAAATTCGGCAGGTACGACACAGGTGTACTCACTGGGCAATGCTTTCGCCGACTGTCCAGCCGGCATTCTTGCGGAAACCTTTCTTAGACTTGGCGTCGACACCGGCCAGAGCGCGGTTGACTGCCTCGTTGAAACGAAGGCCGATAGCATCGACGTGCGCTCCGGTGTGAGGGGTGTCCATGCCGGAGGAAGGCAGCGTAGCGGTGCCGCCAATGCGAGGAGTCGCCGAGCGGCTGTTAGGAGGGCTAGCCTTACGGGGAGCGGCGCCAACCGACTGAGAGCGTGGAACAACAGTAGGGGTGGGAATAGCTGCGTGAGCAAGGGGGTGGGGGAGGTGGCGTGCACGGGGCTCGGGGACGGGCGGGGGACCCAGCGGCGGAACGGCGGCGACACCGGGCCCGGGAAGCGAGGAGGCGGGCGTCGCGGTGCGCGAGGGGCGGTTGATAAGAGGAAGAGAGCGAATGGCGTTCATCTTGGGGAATTCTTTGTGTTGGAAAGAGGTGTCTGTGTCTGGCTGTGGCGGGGAGGAAGGTGGAGGTGTGAATGGATTAAGGGGAGAAGTAACGGGCCAGCTGTTCCCGGTGGCTGCTGTGCTTTACGAGGAACCTGGTGAAGAAGGGTTTTCTTATCCCATGTACGACGATGTCGAGGGGGGGATTGTGGGCTGCGACCAGCAGCAAATGCGCAAAGTGGCGCGACGAGCTCGAGTTACGTCGAGTTAGGGGGGCTTCTCGCCACTTGCGAGGAGCGTGTAGATCAGGGGTGGGAGGCGAAGTTGAGACGAGCCGGTGAGAAGGCTGGAGTGCGTAGTCGTGGTCATGCGTGAGGGCGCGCGCAAGCGAGGATCGAGAGATGGCGACGAGGAAGAGTGTGATGGGCGTGGCAATAATTGTGATCGGTGGCAAGGCGCGAATGAAAAAGGAAACACGGGTCAGCACAGACTCGCATAGAGTTTTAGTCGCGCGACCACGTTCGTGACTTGCAAACAACCTCCCGGTGCGCGATAAGCGCGCCGAGTGAGCCGGAGGGAGGCTGCGGAGGCGGGAAGACGACGATGGAAGCACGCGCGTGTTTGTACTCACTTCCGGACGTCTCCTTTAAGACTGCTTCGGGCACTACAAGGAAGTTTAAACTTCTTCATTGAAAATGGGGGCCGGTGGGAGTCGGCGTGGGTCTCTTGTGATGAGTTTGGATGTGCGAGGAGCTCAAGCTCTGCGCAGTAGTCGTCGCGAGTGGACGAGAGGATGTGTGAGAGCTGTGAGGCGAGGTTGCGCTTGGTGATGAGCACCAGAGATGGAGTTGTTGATGGAGAGAGAGAAAGAGAGAGAGAGAGAGAGAGAGAGAGAGAGAGAGAGAAAGAGTGAAGACGAGAAAGAGGTGCAAAGGGATGAATTCAGGGTCTGGGCGGGTGGGGATAATCCTGCATTCTGGTGCCCTGGACCTTGACTTGGCTATTTGACCCCGTTTACCTGTTTAGCTTTCGACTTTATTAGGATAACAGCACCCCCCTATATTCGGTTGAAGCGTGGGAAGCACTGCACCACGGCATTTCTGCTCAACGCTCCATGCACAGCAACAAACATCGACTCGACATGGATGTGTCGGAGCCGTCTGCAGCTACGCCGTCGTGTGTGCAAAATCGCGCATCATCGATAGGATGGCCGACTTGTGAGTGGCGATGACGCTGATGCTTGGGTGTCTATCCCTGGAACTGCCGGGGCCTCGGGACCGACCATACAAAATGCGCGCACTCGACACGCCCCCCCCCCCCCCC